ATATATATCAGACTCACAAAATTATATTCACCAGAATAAAGTCAGGTTGGACTACTAGTGTGTGTTGGATATATCACGGTATTTTTTCTATAAGTGAATTATAGAAAAAAGTATCCTATATTATACTACATTTAACATGTGGTGCATGTTGGCACTAAATTGAATATAGCTAATTCTTATTGTTGTAACGGATGCTGGTAATTCTAAAGAATAAATAAATATTTACAGTAAGTATGAAAGGTCCGGTCGCAAAATTATTGTTATTTTACGTTCATCTTGTTAATCTAAAACTGTACTTCTGCTAGTTGTCGAAGACTAGCGGCGAATCCTAGAAAATTCTGATTACTTTCAGCATACAGATTAAGCTCGGGAGAACCAAGCGAGAAACTCGACTAGTGCAGTTTTCAATTTTATCAATCTTTATCTTCATTATTTTATTCATATTTATGATTTCGTGTGATTATAAACTAACACACCTGTAGAGTAGTGGTCTTTTTTAATTTTAATATATCATAAAAATCGTATTTGTCTGTCTAGAAATATTTATTTTTCTTTTATCTGCCAATTATTATTAAAATTATTGTCATAGAAACAGTACCGTTTATTACTTCTAGGTCTCCTACTTAGTACAGTCATATATATATATATATATATATATATATATATATATATATAAATAAATATATATAGCAAATAACTTATAATATAATGTTAAATTTCAAGATATTTTAAAACATATTTGTAGACAAGAATAAGTAACGCTCTAACAGTGGCGCATCGATTGTGCAGGATGATAAGTTGACCATGAAGTCAGGCCCATTAGTCCATCGTGGCGAATTCACCACGAATCTATGGTAACCTTGGTTACCATAGATGACTAATAAGTCACTAGTTATCAATAATAAGTTCCTCCTCTCCCATTGCACACAATTAGAAATACAACAAAGTAAATAGTCATAGTAACTGAAAAAAAAAAATAAGCAGGATCTATTTCTATAAGTAGCACCCGTTGACATGACAAATGAACCAGACATTATTGTATTCAAACATGTTTTATGTACCCGTCCCTCAACGCCGCAGTGTTGCCTCATTTTAGAATAAAATGTCTGTATTTTGATAAGGTTTAGATACAACTTGATACCTATTATCATAATTTTAGAATAATAATAACACTAGAAGTTGTTATTATTCTGTCGTTTTTGTGTACCTTGAACATGTCATGTTCACTTAAACGTCTAGACTTAAAGACGGCGTATTGAAGGTCAACGGACTCCCTAAAACAGAATTCAGAATATGCAATAATTATTGAATACCTACTTTTGTCTCTAGCGGCCAGTTTTTGTTTTTATTAACAGCATAGTGATAGTAATAAATTTTTATAATTATTATTTTCATATTCTTAGAAATAAACAGTACTTGAACTGATAAAATATTTTCCAGGCTAGTGACTATCTAGGTAGGTACTATATCTATGAGAGTTTCCTTCTCTGTGTATATACTGTATTTCCCTATATTTACTCATACATATACAATATACCTTTTCAAAAATAAACAAATCTATTAAATGTATCGTAAGAAATATTTCAAGTGGAGGTTGTAAATAAATAAATTAAGAGGTTTGTGAAGTTTTCTAAGAAAATCAGTAAGAGCGATATTTTACGACGAAAATATAATACTCGTAAGTAATAGAATTTGTAAAAAATAAATACAATTACGTTACAAGAAGTTCGCTACAGTGTTAAAGAGATGGAATTATTGATTTATTTGCTTCACAAGTTTTAAAAGGTGGTATGTATATATATAAAATAGAAAACGATAGTAATTTTTAGGAATTACGATTACATTGATAATAATTAAACAAAACGATGAAATCTTTAGACATCGTAATTTTACACATCGTGCTTTCGTCGTAATCCTTTCGAACTAATAGTAATGAAATGATTTATTGAGCGAGAATGAGTGGATTTATTAGTAGGGGCCACCCTAGACAGACGCAATGCACGTCCACCAAACAAGTAACGTAAAAGGGGCAAGTAAAAAGTACCTACTCGTAACCTACAACCTGGCGGGAATGTATTGATGATAAATAGGGTGCTAAGTAGGTGTGATTAAATAGCAGCATTTGGTTTTTCATTGTCTCTGCCTACCCTGTACCTGTATATTAAGACTATTAAGATATGACGGTCGGTCTTCGGTAGTCTAGCGGTAAAATACATCACCTTATTTCCGATGGTCGCTAGTTCGATTCCTCACAGATAGAAACATTTGTATTCAAGAATGATATGAGGGAGCTTTAAAATTCACAATTGTAAGTGGTATTTTATCAAAGTTTTATAAGGATTATTATAGACTAGTGTGCGTTGCGCAGTGTAATTTGAATTGACAGTCAAATCCGAGCGAGAAATTTGCCTCGTCTGCGTCTGCTTATAGCGTGGGCTGTGAGTGGGATGTTCTCTGAATAAGTACTCAGAGGTATCGAATAACATTCAACGTAGACACAAAAACATTTGTTTTTGTAAATCGATATTTTGTGAGTTGCTACTTCTTGTGAACATTATCGTTGCCAGTTAGACTAAATAATTACAGCGTAGCTCTTTTTAAAGTACTATAGTCGGCATTTATACTATATTCAGACATACTACAGGTGACTCAACTTATTAAAAAGACGATCTAAGATCGAATATCGCCATAACAATGTCACACAGACACGATGTAAACTTTTAAATTACTAAAATAGTTTGAACTCAAAAAATAAATTTAATTATTATTAAAAAAAAAATTATCGATGTAACAATATAAGGACGCGTATACTCATTATTATATAAAGGTCTTATTGTCATCAAACAAATTAGTTTGCGTGAATAATATTTATATGCAATTGGCATTTATTTTTATATCGAAGCATAAAATTGATGTAGAAATAAATTTATATATTTGTCGCAAGCCGCAAATTTGTATAACTATTTTATAAAATTTTAGTCTCACGTATTAGTAGCCGACCCTACCGCCGTCTCTCTTATAAATTTAGTTTACTGTTGAATTTAGTGTTACCGATACCGGCTAATCATTCAAAGAAAACTACTAGGCCACGGCGCTCTCATTCTAATAATAATCTTTCTTTAAGGCAACAAATACTAAATTTAATAATTAAAATCAAATTTGTTCTGTCAAAAAATTTATTATTGAAAACATTAAAATTTAAGTGAGTTAACAATTTAGCGTACGCTACTGACTACCTCTTCGCGACTTCGTCTGCTTCTTATATCCGTTCTCGTAATGTATTTTCACGTCAAATTTCATTAAGATCCGTTCAGCCATTGAAAACGTCTAACAGAAGAACAGAAGTTGAAAAAAAATTAGAATATGCATAATGGCTCAAAGTGTTCTGTATGAATAAATTATTTTGACTTTGACTCTGAAAAAACGACACTTTCACATGTTCTAATAGTACCGAGTATATTATAGGTATAGTTTAGGACTGCAACAATATAGGGTGCATTGAAAGGGTGCAGTATAGTGTCACATCTCTAAATATCGAATGTCACCTGTGCTCTGTGTAGTCAAAGCGAATAGCTTTGCAGCACAAGTAACCTTTTTGCAGGCGTTCCTTTGCCATGTCCAACATTCGATTGGCCAGTTTATTACATTTTTCAATATAACTCGCTTTTGTTTGATGCTTCAATAATTTGGACGTAGTTGAAAAACTATGTTGCAGTTCAAGTTTTAGCTTTGACCTGTCAATATGAACGGGTGCTGAAAATTACAAAGCAACAAAATTCTATTCCACCATTCCCGTTCCACTATTTTTTCCTTTTGTTCTTTTTTGAAAGAGCTTACCGTTTTTCAATATGTCAGTCATGTCTGTTTTTAGATTTATTTCTACGAGTTACCTATTTTGAATCCGAATAATTAAATATTATATGTGACGCGATTTTTTTGCTAAGCTTTATCCGGTGCTATAGTAAATATATTTGCATGGGTACTAGGTAAAATATGGTGTTCGAAATATTCTGTTGTAATAACCAATTTGTACCCATGTTTATGCAAAGAAAGTACTGAATTGAATTCAATAGAATCAAATAAATTATGTTTAAGTTCGTGTTCCTAAGTGATCATATTGTGCGATCATTTAGGTATATATTTATTTAAGGAACATACCGCGCGGCGATGTGATCAGACTGAACAAGCTCTAATATGTCGAAATCACGTTGAATATATAAGGGCAGACACAAAAATATTTGAGACTTCATTTACAATGACAACATAAAGGTTCATATAAATATTTACCTTGTTGTCTTTCATTCAGAGGTTGACCCCTTTTCTGCCTAATATGACTGGACTATAATATCATTGCTGATTTAACGTAACATAATACATTTCAATACAGTCATGTTACATTAAAATTGTATGAAGACAACGTGTTGCATTATATGAACATGATAATGAAATTCTAGAAAATACTGATGAAAGATTTAATAAAAGTAGAACAAAGGCTCATTGTTCCGAGCACAAAGGTATCGACAGAGTGATATTTGTATCGAATTTCTTTAAATATTTGATCTATCTATTTATAAAAATGCCAGACGACTTATGAAGCTATTTAAGTATTTTCTTCTTAGCTATTTCTTAATAAAAGTGACAAGTTTGCAGTAATAGTTAACATGCATTTGTAGAGCGCTTTAATATTTATGCATTTTGAAAGGGGTTATTTGAAGGGAAATAGAAGATGTTCATGATATTACTCTTGAAAATAATCTTTATACCAAAATAGTTCATTCACGTTCTATTAGGTTTTTTTATGAGAATTATAAAGGATGTCTGCCGTCTGTCTATTGTGATATCCATAATACTGTTAAGTTTTCACTTGTTTATACAACTAAATGTATTTTTATGCGGTTACTATTATACAATATATATTGTACACGATAGCTATTAATTTAGATGATATATTACTTGTATTTAGAACACAACTTTAAATTATCTATATGTTTTGTTATCAGCCTCCCAAGAAACAGAGGAAGAAACGAAAAAGTCCTGTCAGTCTGAATGCTCCGACAATCTGTTGCTGGATTATCCACTAGCCACATTATACCTGCACTTTGCTCATGACCGAGAGCTTAAGGTAAACCTTATGACCTATACCTTAGAGTTTTGAATACATACGACGCTTTTAGTATCGTAGACACGATTTAGTTGTTTTTCGGAAACTAGACCCCGCGTTCGTTGCTAATAGGTACTTCGCACACATAGGTATACGCAGTCGTGATGATCACTTTTTATTTCGTCGTCGTTGACTGGACGCTATACTCAGCTGTAGCATCATCAATAATACGGCCTTTGGTCCAAAGTGGGTATAATGCTTTTGACATCGCATCGCCGTTATTAGATTTTTTATTACCGGCTTGAAAGGAAAATAGATTAAAGTCGGACTTTGTAACTTCATTCTTTGTACTGAAACTGTTTTAATGAGAGGTAGATATAGAGCGTAGTCTGGTAGCCATATTAGTAACGAAACAAATGAAGTCATAAGTTATAATTACAAATACACTTAAGATAAGTGCGTCAGTACAAAACTTTCTCTTATTATTGCAATGAGATTTTAATTTTTATATTAGTTTTTTTTTTTGCATATTTTACGGTATAGTTTAATATAAGAAGCATTTTGATACCGTGTAGTTAATATGGTTTATTACTTGAACTTGTTCAATACATGACGAAAACTTATTTTATCATACTTTAATGTACATGATATTTTAAATACATTCATAATGTAAACAGAAAGACCCATATCAATACAAATATACAAATATAAATAAATACAAATGTTTGCATCTATTGAATAACCTTGCATCGAATCGAGCTCCCGACCACCATACGTCACGGGTTCGATTTCTTGTACGATGTGCTAAACCGCCAGACTACTACATACCTTGTATAACGTCAGTCCACGCTTTTACAACGTTCCATTATAAACCATTAAAAACAAAACAGTCCCCTTTTACTCTGTATGTCCTTGAAAAGTCCGAACGCAGCCTCTAGCTAATTGAAACGTCTAAATCGATCGCCGATGCAATACGGGTCGTGTCTGTTATATGAGTACATCTATACTTTGTTCAAAATTTTAATTACTCAAATGTACAGTAAATTAATTGAATCCATTGTTGGAAATAAACGTGAATGCAGTATGTAATATTATTGAAATAGAGCCTTTGACGATCTATTGTTCTGCGTGTCATAATGGGAGACAGGTAATTGATAAGTAATATATTAAATATGCATTTATAGCTTCAACCAATCAAAATTCAAATTGAAACTTACCAATCTTGGTCCTTTCATTTCTATAATTTTTGTATAGTTTAAACATGTTTGTATGTCTAAGAGAATTTATAACTGACCTCGGTCACTAGGTCTGCCCCATATTTTGCCAGATTCTGCAGTATATTTTATTGCAGTTCCGCTCTTATTGATCGTAGCGGATAACCTTTCTCAATCAATGGGCTGTTCAATGAAATAGAATTTTCATAATCGAATCATTAGTACTGGAGACTACCCTAATTTTCCAAACTTTACCCCTTTATATAATATTAGTATATATTTAATTAGTTTAATTAGACAAAGTGCCCTAATAGAAGATCCTAAATCTACATTTTAAATGTAGTGTAACTCGCGTTCAATATCAAGTTTTATATATAACTTGCGAACCACAACGTCGTCGTACAGATATGTTAATTAATTTACAAAGATCTTAAAGAGACAAACACCTAAACCTTTTCTCAAACATCTGTTAATGTACAAAGTCAATTGAAATCCGTTCAATAGTTTTGACATTTTGATCTATATATATGAAAATATCACAAGAAATATTTCCACCGTAATATCTAATATACACCCTAAGAGCATTGCAAAGTGGCTGCAATACGAAGTTAGTAATAGAAAAGATATTTCTAGGAGCAATCATCGGAGCGCCGACTTCTGTAACTCGTTTTCTGTTATAGAAATACATTTTTCTTGAAATTAAGGTGAGAAATTAAGGTTTTAGAATAGTATTTTTTTTAGTCTGCTACGGTTGGTTTTGCTGATTTAACGAAAAAAAATGAAAAAGAACTTAGGCTGATGCTATTTTCATATAATAGGGACATACATGTATGTAGTACATTTATATCGATTCCATGTTTTGTGTGAAACAAAGTAACAAATATCACTATTATACGCATGTTCAAATCACGAAAAACCTGTTAACGATTTATGCATGGACATTCCTGGATGTAAATACCGCAACAACTTAACTAGAATTTGAATATTTCTTTTAATTATCTTAGGATCCATTTATCAGATCCTTATTCGGTAACAACGGAACCACTTCAGGAATTATATCTTTCAAAATAAATTAATTTTCATACAACTATCAAATTTTTTGTTGTATTTCATTTTAGTAAATTATAGACCGATGGTTTACGTTTAACTAGGATGTCGATGAATATATATAAAATAATACATTGCAATCAAACAAACAACCTGCTGTTTTTTGAAGTGGGTTAATAAAATAGTTGAGTTACAAAAATAAATCAGTCATAGTCTGTGTAGTATAATATTATAAATTGTACTTAATGTTAACTTTGGTGTCACAGAGTTGGCAGTTCATGATCCGACTGGCAGCTCATAACAACGGCACATATCTGCACCACCAGCAGCTCACCAAGGACGACGTGCCAGTAGTGGTCGACAAATGTCTCAGCTTTGTGTACGCACATGGTACGTATGTATATATATATATATATATATATATTGTGACGTGGCAACAGACAACAGACAACATATAGGGCATATCATGCGGAGCGAGGTACATGTCTTAAAGAAGTGCTTAAAATGAACGGGGATGAATGTAATGTTATAAAAGGAAGAAGAGGACGTGAATGATCATATGTGCAAAATAGAGTAAGCTCAGACATGAGAGCCGATGAGAGCATATTAACGAATATGCAGGTTTTAAACTCCCATGTGCATTTCTAAGAAATAATATAGTATTTTTAACCGATATTTTTTTGTTTTGTAAACAGTGGTTATTTTTTTTGTATAAAAAAATATAGATTTTCATTTTATCTGATTACTAAGAGTATGCATATATATATATATATATATACCTATATATAATAATTTAATTACAACTGTTACTTTTAAGATTTTTTTTTCGCCCGCGGTAAATTTGAAATATAAATATAATATATAATAAAAAATATAGCCTAACACATAGGCTATATTTTTTTTAATTCATGTATTGAAAATTTTGATGCATAAGCTATATTACTGTACAGTTTTATCAAAATCCATTTAGTACTTTTTGCGTGAAGGAGTAACAAACACCCATACTTACAAACATCCATATTTCCGCATTTATAATATTAATAAAAAGATACATATTTTTCCATTTAATTTTCCAGGCAGTCTCTCGGAGGGTATATACCGTCGTGCGGGCTCCAACTCCATGATATCCGACCTGCTCTCAAGGTTTCGGCGGGACGCGTGGTCAGTGCAGCTCTGCCACGGCCAACACTCAGAGCACGACGTCGCTGGAGCACTCAAGAGGTTCTTTAGGGAACTACCAGAATCACTTATACCCCAAAATAAACATGGCGAACTCATCGACACTCTACGTAAGGAATATTGTTACCCGAATTTTTAATTTTATTGTGGTGTTCAAAGGCGAGAATAATAGATACACAACTTGTCATACCCTAACAAAATATTCTAGGAGCCATCAAGTATAGGATCTACTTTTCAATACTTACTTGTAATATAAATATATTCGAAAGTTGGTCTGTCTGACCGTTTTCACGAATAAACGGCTGAATAATCTTACTGTCAAATTATGAAAGTTATCCTCACGAGTACGTACTCGTAGGATAACTTTTATATAGGTATCCTACGTGCAGGTTCAAAGTTTCATACAGACAGTCTCAGCGAAAAAAATAGAATAGAATATTCTTTCATCAATTAAGAATAGAGTCATGTAAAATATTAATTTAATTATTAAAATATTTAAATTTATAATAAATGTGTCAAATACATTTCTTATATCAATCATCTAATATATAATCATTTAGTTTTTTATATTGAAGCCCTTTTGTTCGCTTTACATTCGATTTGAGTACTAGGAACGCAGAAGTATCGAGAAGTCTTTATTGGGTAAAAATATTATACCTGCCATCTAGCGTCACTATGAACTACCACCTCATCTCAACTCTCTCGTATTTATTTTACTACAGGGGTTCGTATCGCTGTATTCTCGTAGTCTAGATTTAGTACTAAAAATTAGAATTCAAATAGCTCCATCTGCCAGATATTTTTAAAACTAAAATGCTTCTTTATTCCAATAATATTTAGTTAGTAAATTTGTCATGTACTTTAAATTCTTACGTATCATAAACATCTCTCTACACAAATTGAGAGCTAATTGAGCACTAATAATCACATGCGATATTGGAAGCATCCATCCCAGAGTGTTATTACCGTGTCGTTACATTGTAACGAATGGCAGTAATATTTTATATATAAGAGGTAAAAGACCTTAATAAGGCAGCCGTTACGGGACTATATTATATACAGGTGCCATTCCTATTTTACAGCAAATAAAGCGACAGTTCTCAGACTGATAATGTTAAAAACAATTAATAATAATAATAAAACTCTTCATTGTACATAAAAAAAGAAATAATTACAAAGAAGAAACCAAAGACGGCATTATCGCTCAAAGCAATCTCTTACAGACAACCTGGGAAATAGAAGTATTGTGCTAGGGAAAGGTAGGTGGCGCATTATAAAAAGATAATAAATGAATACTAAATGCATATACATACAAATACTAAAGGTACATAATCATAAATAAAATACATATACGTAAATGAAATGTAACAAATGAACGGTGTATTGAGTTTACACAGTTAAGAAAAAGTATAGAGTTTTTTACTCAAACCACACTAGTGGAGAATATTGTATATTCACGCCTTAATATTAACTTCGACGTGCTGTGTTAGGGTTCAAAATACGTAATTCTGTTGATATGCAGTGGACTTCTTTAAATAGCCCATTTTGATTTCGGTTTTTGTTTATTAATTTTCATACAAATTCTCTTATTGTATCGTGTTTTTGACTTCTAATAAGATACTGTATAAGTAATTACTATAAGAATAAACATTAAAAAATAATAATTCCAGGTATACCGAACGCGTTGGAGCGACACCAAACGTATAGACGAATATTCGCTTCCTTCCCACTGGTGGCATCCAATACAGCTAGGAAGCTGTTTGCACACCTAAACTTTGTGCATTCAATGATGTACGCGAACAAGATGGGAGCGGAGAATTTGGCGGCGGTCTGGGCACCCACTGTAATGCCGCAGGCCACTGTAAGTTGAAGTTGAATAATGTTCTTCTTAATTCTAGTTGTTATAAACTTTTGCGTTTCGTAGACATTATTAATATTTATATACTGATAATATTAGGTATATATTTAAAAAATAAGGAATTTACAGTGCATCTTTAATTTTTAATCAACATCATCAGCCCACTGCAGTCCACTGCTGGACATAGGCCTCTCCCAAGGCACGCCACTGGGCACGATCTTCAGCCCTTCTCTTCCATTTTTTACCCGCAACCCTACGTATGTCGTCGCTCCACCTATACCAATGAATATTTATGTACAGATTACATTTTTATATTAATATATTCTTAAATATATGTATGAAATTCAATATTTTTACAATATAATTGTAGCGCACATTTTAGCTGCTCATGTGTGCTATAATTATTTATTTAATCATGCTTATGATTAATAAGATAATACTACTTACCAAATTGTATATAGTTTTAAATATACATAGAATGAAAATAAGAGACAAATAACAGAACAATGTAATATGTAATACATATAAAATCTTTAATTCACACATGACGCCATCTAATATATTTTGTAAATACATACATTATATACAAACACTCAGACCGATACAAACAATCATACTCATGTCTACAAAATGTTCGTACTATGCGAGGGATCGAAGCCCCAACTGTTTGAAATAAAGAGATGTGTTAAACCACTAGACCGAGGCCGGGATGTGACGTATTTTTTATTTAATGTGTATTTATTTTTTACAGACTAGCGACCCAAACCAGAAAACGTGGACGACATGCTTGTACGTGATTAAAGATCTGATTGTGAACTTCGAAGCGATCTGGGAGCCCACTGACGCTGAGAAGCTCCGAGAGGCTGCCATCAGGAGGGTGCTGGTGAAGGTCTACGGATCACAGATCTCGGTCGCTCCGAAGGCGGCTGGAGATCTCCGAGCGTGGGTCTATATCAATGATAAGTCCACGTGCTACCATGTGGCGGTGAGCCCAGTTCATTTTAATATCTTAAATTGGTTACCATTATTTTTCTTGAGATACTCTTAAGGTAAATAATTACTTAAAGATTATTATACAACATTTAATATTATAAGAGTTATTCCCCCTTAAAACAGTTATATGAGGCGTTTGTATAGGCGACAGTTACCATAGACAATATGTTTACGCGTATTAATTCTGTATAATCTTTTAATTGATTGCTAAAATGGGGTTTGTTAATTTAACTGTGCAGTTTCTTTAACACTACAACGTATTTCATGATTCGTTTTGCAAAAAAATAAATTGTAGTTTTTTTTAATTCTGTAGCTAATTATTTCGTCTCAATTGACATTGTAAATCAAATTTTAAAACAAGCCTTTAAAATTGTTCTTAAGCCATTAAAAAAATTATTATAAAATAAATAAAGTTAAGAAAAATAATTATATTTTATATTAATAAAGTACATATTTTCATTTGAATTGCATAATTCTAAAAGTATTTGCATTTTCTAACAAATTCGCACATTCTGTCAAGATATACACAATATGTGTATTCATATAAGTGACATATTATGGTTATGTTACAAACAGATTACTTAAACTTTAATTCATTATGGATCAGTTACAAGTGCTGTAACATTGTACAATATGTTTTAAATAATAATTTTAAAAGCCAATTACTATTATTCAGGTATAGTTTTGAAGGAGACATTACTTTTTATAGAAAAAATATTGTAACATTAAAAATATATTATGGTTGGATATATCAATTGAATGAGGTGTACCCCACTAACACCGACTACAATTAAAATAATAAATACAGATTATACCTAATCAGTAATATATATTACCTTCATTATTATTAATAACAAAGATGTTACCATTGTACTAGTGGAAGGGAAAAACTTAAAATGAAACGGTTCTTGATTTATAATATAAAAAATACTGCCAGCATCATAATACTGAAGTTCACACGTGCTGTTAAAACTTGGAAATATGACGCCTTATCAAATTCTAAATTTATTTAGATCCTACAAATGGATCAAAGTTAGAAAACGTTTTATTATACATCGTAGATAGTCAGGCAATTATATAATTTAATTCATAATTTTTAGCGTGTAGTGGTATGTGTAACATTGGTTTTACTCATATTATGGCAATAGATTAATATGTGTCTGTAAATAAATGGATACTAATTATTTACGTATATATTCCACCATTCACACACACCAACACCTTAAACCAGTTATCATCTATACATATAAATAAAATTGGAGTGTCTGTTTGTAATATTAAAATAACCGTTTTTTATTACATGCATATGAATATAAATACGGTACATACAACAAAATAACATTTTAAAATTTTTATCTGTCTGTCTGTTCGTTCCGGCTAATCTCTGTAATGGCTGGACCGATTTTGACGGTTTTTTATTGGCAGGTAGCTGACGTATAAGGTGTAAATTAGGCTAGTTTTATTTTAGAAAAATAAAGTTCAATTCCACGTCATGCATGTAATGCTGACTTTACATGAGACGTATTATTTAATTGTATTAGTGAAGATAACTCCTATACAATTTTATACTATTTTAAACATGTCAATATTCTATTTATCCACAGCTCACCCCAAACAAAACAAGTGCGGACGTGTGTATAGAATTAGCCGAAAAAGCGAATACATACTCTCACCTTCTGATGTTGGAAGAGGTTGTTTGCGGCAATGCTATGCGAAGAATAATCCACATAAACGAAGTAGTTCTAGATGTAGTACTAAGATGGAGCTACTGGGACGAGGAGGATAGAAAAGAGAATTATCTATTGCTGACCAAAAACACAATGCTACATGACATAGAGGCTAACAAGAAGGCTCCACAGCTAAATGCAACTCTCAAGTTTGCTAACGAAACCACGAAAACATTCAAGTCTCACGTATTTGGTGTACACGGAACTAACTTGTGTTATTTTAAGGATAAACAAGTAAGTTTTCGAACATCTTAAATAATAGAAATATTATAGTAGGAGATAATGGATGGTTTACTCGCCTACGCTAACGGCATGCGCTGACGGGGCACCTGTAGAGGACGATTGAATGAAAGTGAGTCGAGTAGTAGATACTACTATCTACTAGTAACAGTAGGTCGTCTAACTATTGGTCTTTCCGGACCACATGGTGGTCGCATTAACATGGTATATTGCATTGTTAAATGCTGTAACATCAAGTGCGATTTTCTCTATTTGGGATCCGATACGGATCCACACGATAAACTAGTTCACCACTTGTCTAATACTAAACTGTTTTCCATAATTTTTCTCAAGAAATAAATACTATATTTGTCAATTCTGCAGATACTAATTTCGTCACAATTATCCTTGTAATCTAACTTTTGGTACAAAATCGTTAAAAAGTAATGTTTTGGTGTAATAAAAATAATACTCTTAAAATAAAAATACACCACTGGTGTATTCTAGTTGGACATTTATCTTGTTTAATATTGTTATAATACGGTCTATTTTTTACGATTTATATACCGATCTTTATGACCTTTATTTATTGAAAGAATTCTAACTCGTATTGGTTCTCAGAACGGTTGTATTAAATCTTGTAATATTTGCTGAAAACAAATTTTACATGTTTATTTATATGATACATTTTAGCATAGCATTCACTACTAATCTATGTTGAATAAATACATATTATTTAAAGAAAATTAACTAGTTAAAATAAACTCCAATGAATTAAGTGCACAAGCAAATGCTACAAGACTGCTATACTTTTATCTAATACTCTTTGGCAAGCTTGAAAATTAAACTAGCCTTAAAATTGTTATATATTTTAAGAGAAATCCCATATTTCAGGGTATAATGAAAGCAGAGGAGTGGAAAATTAAAGATCACCTGTGGTACCTCGGTCATGAGCCGAAGCGCAATCCTCAAGGACTGTGGGCTATAACCTTTATACCCAAAAACAACAAACCGAAACGGTAAGTATTCCAAATTCAAATTCATAAATTAGCGGAAACTACCAGAACGATGAGGTTCATAAAGACTAGAGTCATAAGTTTTGTTTCCATTGGGAGGGAGTAATGTGGTATAATAGATACTCTTTATAGACCAACGTCATATTTATTAATCATCTAGCTGTTGGTTGACGTTGTAGAACATACAAACCACTATTTTCGTAATATATTAAATGTATTCCTTAATTACTGTATCTTAATAAAACAATAAGAACCTAATGTTTCAAAACCTATCGGATATAAAAATAGACAAAGCGACATAATATATTCAAACGGATATATTATGTCGCTTTGCCTATTTTTATTTGTGAATTGAATGAAGGTTGAATAATATTATTTTTTCCATTGCAGAAGTAAAGAGAGACCATGGTTCGGCATCACGATATCAAGCCAAGTGGCCAAAAATGACTTGAAATGGTTGGCTGCTATAACGTTTGCGGAACACTCTAATATTATGCCGATACCTCGATTAATCGACACACAATAAATTGTTTCATTTTTATCTTAGAATCGAAACATCGTCTAGGCAGAGTAAGCAGCGTTTTATTTATCATATGATATTTTGATGGATAAATAATAAAAAGGTCGAACCTACGACTAAGTGACATTTATAATAATCAATATGAAAGAAATGATTAGAAAATTAAGCTTCGCTTTATACGTTATTTTGTAAACGGTATTCGTAAAATACAATTGTGAAAAGATTTTTTTTATTATAAATTTATATGTTTATTATAACATTAATAAACTGAAAGACATTTACTAATTAATATATACGGGAGTATAGAGTCATTTATATAAAATTTATAATTTTTAGTAATTAAATATATCATATATATACTATACACTGACTTTATATTATGAATTTAATAAAAAATCAGTTGCCTTATGAGCGTACAAATAATAATTATAAGAGTTTTAAACGTAGCGAATTAAATAAAATTATATGACATATCGAATGTTATTACTAATCAATAATGTAATTAATATATTTACATTCTTGACGTTTTGACTTGGTTAGAAGACACCAGCCGTGGTCCCCAGTAGTTTATAACAACTACAACGGTATTATTGTCAGTAGATATGGCATTTAGTCGTGTCTTGATGTAACCTTGTCAAATCATCGAGTGATGTAAAACTTATTTTTAATATACATGTAATAATCCATATTATCAATATATATTCATAATGTTTATAAAAAGCGAAAGCTTTTGACGCTTTTCTAATTTAGGGGATTCCATAAATAGCGAAAAATAATTTGCTAATATGAGTTGAATCGTATATACGAATTGTCATTCATTATGATCATTAATACAAGTTTTCAAAGTTCATGATGCTTTTAACAAGTGTTTTATAAGTGATATGTTAATGTACAACATTATTCAAATGGGATATTACCCATGTTAATATTATTCAAGAGCTCCAGGTCACGGGTCGACTGTAGTGGTCATTTGTAACAGCGGCGATATAACAGGAACTCTTAAATAATATCAAAATCAAATGGTCATTATATATATGTATAACGCGTACAATTCTATACAACAGTGAAAAAAGTTCAAACCGAAATTATCTTTCGTGCTGCTATGTTTGTTTTTATATGTTATAGACAATATTAGATTTCGTAGCTATACTATTGTGCAACACCGAGCTAAATAAGATATTATTAACAACTAGTATAAAATTTAAGAAAACTTCTACCTACTGTTGGATATTTACTAATGGAGAATGAAACATGAACTATTTGAAAAATAACAAGTATAACTTGCCAATGTTTAAATCTATATTTAACTATAAATCTATTATTCTATATTAATGTCTTAACTATCAATTAATGAATTAAAATATACATTCCACACTCTCATGTTGACACGATATAGGAATTAAGTTACAATAAGTTATGTCAAAATTTGAATTAAGTCTGAATTGGTGCTAATTTTAAATATAATTCGACACAAAAACATATAGTTCCTCTCAGCATTATTTACAAAGATCAAATAAGTATTTATAAATAAATCCCAGTCTAAATTTCATTGTTACTCAATAGTCTTGCCCAGGTATATTAAGGATTTCGCACTGAAGTGTGTATGTTTTACTTGCCATGTTTTATTAGCATGAGTGGTGACAATTGTAGTGTGCTTGACGTGACCATGTCACCTGCTTTAGACTGACTGTCCCGTTGTCTTCAGCCGGAGGAAACTTTAGATATATTGATAATATATGTAACCAATCTATATAAATTATATCAATGAAACGTCTTAGTTCTAACTAACATAGGATTGAGACGCTTACGATAGACAAAGAAAAGTATAGCAAGAATATTATAAACTTTTTTGACACGAAAAGATTTACATGTTTAGTTACATGATTACAACATGTAAAGTTTTACAGCGTATTAATATTCTGTAATATTAAAAATTAAAAGAATGAAAAATATATTTTATCTACATTCTTATGTGCATCACAATGATGCAAAGGGGCATGAATCCTATTTTTTTTTAATTATTTTATACCGCAAGTGTACCGTCCTGATAAAAATAAATGGTCACGTTAAGTATGTAATTTGATGTTTAAACATAACTTGTTTTATGTTTCTTTGTCATTAATGTTTTCTTCTCGCCTTTGTCTATGTCGGCCATATGAGGTCATGAATACTAACACTGTATTTCAGAACCTTCCGTTATAACTTTTATGACTATATAATATTGCTTTATTATTATATTACATTGCTCATAATTTGTTTTGTACCATTGTTTTATTAGGTGCTATCATTAGACTGCAAGAAAATAATGTTTTCCTAATAACAGTGCTCAAATGTGTAAGATTTACAAACGACCATATTTTATGTGATTAAATTAAATTGATATCTGTTCACGAGTTTTGTGATAGACTTTAAAAAATATTAAAAAACCTATCTACGAGTCCTTTTGCATGTGTAACAAAATTGAAAATGGTAATTATTGTGTCTAATTATTAAACAATGTGATACGTAAATATTACCAAAGTTTACAATGCATAATTTTAATATATTATACAGTGTTGTTTTGTGATGTTTAGAAATTTATCTCGATAATACAAAAATAACAGGTATAGTTTATTGTATGATTATTGTAGATTAGACAATTGTAATATTATATAATATATTGATGAGAGTGTATGTTGTTTTATTAATTCGAGCACCCCTCTAAATAAGTAATATTTAGAAAATAAATGGCCATATCCAAACTAATATAAATTGAAAGTGACTTAGTTTTTTTATCTGTGGCTGCACTAATCACTTAACAGAAATAAATTAGTTTTTAGCCAGCACAGCACTACTTATACAACCATATGTAGATGACATACAACTACAGCAAGTTACAGAAGCCTAACTATTTTCACAACAATTCTGTAGCACTGAATAAGTAATAGTAATACTACTACTAGTCCCCCTTATCAATTTTATTTTTGTAAATTCATACATAATAAACACCCAGACTGTTACAAACAATCATACCTACATATACATGAATACAAATGTTTGTACCGTGAGAGAAATCGATCCTGCGACCATTAGAATAAAAGCGGTGTACTAAAACGCTTGATCACCGAGGCCGTCAAATATTGAATTCCTGGCGAATTCGCCACAATGTGATAAATATTCTCACTTCATATTATTTTTGGCTAACAGTAATTTTTGGAGGGGAATTGTCTTATTAGTAATGTGGGTTAAGGTCCCCATTGCTATCAGTATCCTTGCTTGCTCGACCTCCACGCGGTTCCCCCAGGAAACCATTGTGATAAGTTCCTGGTTAATTTGGCACGATGATCCGACCTCATCCTCATCACATGGTGGGACACCACAGGAGGATGTCCAGTGGTGTCCCGCCAGCATAAACCATTAACGCCGTCTATGTTAATAGTTCCTCATTTAATCATTGCAGTAAAAATATAGCAAATTTCATATGGATATGGTATCTTATATGGATTGCGTAGTGTGACAATACGTGGGTAGGCCTCCCAACTAAGTGGACCATCGATCTGGTCAAAATCGCTGCAAAGTGTGGGATGCGAGAAGCGTAGGACCGATTCTTGTGGAGATTTTTGTGGGAGGCCTTTGTTTACCAGTGGCCGTTACGGGTTGAAATGATAAGGATGTGTATAATAATATGGTTCCCGACGAGATCATACAAAACATTGGCAATATAATAATAAGACAATGCATAGAATCGATGTGAGTGGCGCGGTGCCACTGCGCGCCGTCGCGGGCGCGCGTGACCGCACGCCACTACGGGCCTGTCCCCCGCATCCGAACAAAATTACTTTTAACATTAATAAACCATATTGCTCTAATTTGCCTTCACTTTCTGCTTCTTTTAATAAACCTCAGGAAAACGTCCCCGTAAATTGTGTACCAGTTGTTTTTTACCTCCATAGCACACCGGCTGACTTTTTTTTCGGTTGCCTTTACAATTAGTTTCTAGATATGTCTAATTAATTTTGTGGTGTTTTGACATTATCATTAAGTTAATTGCATCATTATAAGTTTGTAGTAGTTTTGTTTGGAAGGCAAAATGTCTAAGCAACTGACTGAAGAGGAGATTAGCCGGGTAAGTGGGTAGGTAGCTAGTGGCGCATTCGTAGACAGTTGACGGTCGAATACGAGTGCTCCTCGTATTATCTGATGTCACGCCATACGTCTTGACACGCACACATATAGTGGTATATTTTATTCGTTGTTGAATTATCTTTGTCATTTATAGAATGCATAGGTATATCAGGATATAGAAACGCTTAGTATCGTTGGTTCAGTATGAAACTGTTATTATCTCATACATAACTAGATATGTACCTTTAAGAATAAGAATTACATAATATACAAAATAATCTTTAATTTATCACTTTATATAAATTTTAAGTAGGTAGATAGCTATCTAAAAAGATGTATAAAGCAAACAGAAATAGAAATGCATGGGATAGATTAACAAGTAATTAGACGCTTGCGATTCGATAATTAAAAATCTTAAATTTTCTCCTCTCAAAATAAATATATTTACATTATCTCAAAAAAACAGTCAAATACAATTAATTATAGTTTTGTTGAAAGTTATAATGAAATAAAATGAGAGTGTGAGAAGAAATATCAATAGGTAATGAAGAAGCTTGAGATTGTAATAGTAGGTATATACCTAGAGGTTTTCAATATAATACTTTTTTTTGTAAAATATATATGGTAGATGTCGTTTTACATAAACCTTTGTTGGCGGCAAAGTGTATTATTTATAAAATACTATATGGGTACCCATATACCTATATTTATTCTATATATTCTTAATTGCTTAACATAACTTATAACCTTAATTATACTAATTAATACACATGTTCAGTAACAATTGCAAAACTCCATTATTACTATTAAGTATTCTTAAATTGTCCGCAAAACGGCGAAATTCTTAATAATTCATAACACTAGACGGCGTTAGTGACAAAATAGGTACAAGATATAAAAAATTCCTGTCAACCTATGTCACTAACGCCGTATATATGATATCATATATATGACCCATTAAACCTGTTTAATATATCACTTCCAAATCAACTGTTATACTCTGAAGGTTATATAAGTCTGTATATTTACGAAATATTTCCTTTAGTCTTGAAAGTGTAGAATAACAAAAAGGGAAGACTCATTCCTATAGTAGATTATAAAAATTAGCCTACATACTCCACTGTCAGTCTCATTTTAAGCAGCTTGCTTTTTAAGCTGAGTTTTGATTGTAGGTAGGTAAAGGTAGACAGTGAAATTACAGGATAAAAAGCATGTTATCTTAGTCCTCTAGAATGGCAACTCATTTTGGTATCGCGGGTGTCACATGGTAATGTTCAATTCTATAGACGACGGTTACTGCTTACCATCAGGTAGGCTGTCAGTTTGTTTGCCATTCCGGATACAATTTAAAAAATGTGAAGAAAAAAGAAGAAAATGTGTCATACTATAAATATCTATTGACCTTGGTGTATGCTTCTATTTGTAGTTACGCCTCTTTAGTATTTGCAAAAGTAAAGTAATATTATTTGTCCGTATAAGATTTATTCTGTGGCACTAGTTTCTTTGCTCCCGTAGTATATTTTAGTAGCAACCTCTTACAACTTTCTGTAGTCCTGTTTCCGAATGTAATCTAAATATCGATTTAGATAGATAGAGATATTGTTTACCTGGTTTACAAATCATATTTTAAGTATATCGAAATGGAATTTTTAAATAAATATGATACAGTTACATAGTTCAGTACCACTATACAAAAAGTATCTATTTAGGCACAATTACTCTGACTACCCCGTACGGATAGAAGAGATAACTATATGTTCTTGTTGTTGAAATTAAAAATAAATTAAATATATCGCATACAATATCGGCTATTTCAAATGATCAACAAATGTGCAACTAACACGAATAATAGTGTACAATTAGAGAGTTATTAAACGACGAGACGACATGGCTTGATTCAATCAATGTCAATTGATCGGAATTGGTTTTAAATATAGACTTCTAGTAATTAAAGGTGGTGGTGATGTAGATTCATATACTCTTATTCTAAATTCCTGTAAGTTAACTTTTACGTACCAACTTATCTACTGTACCTACCAATATTTCGCAAATAATTTAATTAAATGCCTCAGTAGTAATGACTACAATCTCGCCATTCAAACAGAAATAAATAGGTACACTTGCACAAGACGGTAGAAAAGTATATTAAAATTGTCACCTTTTAATAATTCCGAGATTGATTTTTATAAAGTGCGTGGACAACTCTCTTTCAGCTTCAGTGTACCTACCTTGTAACGACAGCATAATGTCTGTGTTATGGGGGAAAGGGGATTGTTAGTAATGTGGATTGATGATCTTATTGCTAGCAATGTACCATGTCAGGTTGAGCTGCACCGTAACAAATTTACCAAGAATTTATCAGGGGGAACCGTGTAGAGGTCACACGGTTCCCCCTGATAAATTCTTGGTAAATTTGTTACGGTGGACCAACTAACCTGACCTCATGCTCATCTTACTAATGCCAGCGGAAACCTTTTGCGCAAGCGGGAGCACCATTACATTGTCTACTATAAAAAAATCTATGTTGCTCTTCAGGTAGGTATATAGATAACGGTCACAACTAACAATGAAGAAATCAAATCATTTAGTATTTTAGTTCCATTAAAATATTTGGCAGTAAAGTTGATAAATGCAAATCTGTTAGACAAACAGTGAAGGTTCACTGATAGATATATATGAAACTTCTGGTCATATCTCACAGGGCGTAGGTAGTAGAGGAACGTAATTCATGCTGCACAAGTTTAATTAAAATTAATTCAGCTAAATATAATTCAATTGTAGTTAAGTTGACTAATAATAATATCAAATAAAGGATCTTGCAATATAGGACCTATATATCGTGTATCATTTAAAGATTTATGAAATGTTTGACGCTTCATTCATTATCGGTTTGAAAACTGAAATAAAATATGAATACTAAAATGCACACTTCAGTAATATAGAAATGAAAATGAATAGTGGAGTTGTGGTAGAAATAACTATAAATAATATATAAACTAATAAATATATAGCAGATATTATTATTCATAAAGATTCATCATTCACTGTACTGTACCAAGGTACCATTCAATGGGTTAACGAATTTCTTCCTGATACCAGACTGAAATAGATCTAGTATTATATTATCTAAATATATATGAAACCCATAACGACATCAGGGCGGCTACTGGGTCTTATATAAAATTTCGATGAGTTAGGTACTTAGGTTACCATTTCTAAGTTAAACCTTGAACGTTAGATAAAAATCATTGTCAACATTACGAAGAACCTTGAGAAATACCTTATAAATATATCTCCTAGCTCATACCTGCACCAAACATGTGTTATTTTTACACAATATTTTAGGGATTCACGACAACTTGTTTAACTTGTCTAACTAAATTCAAAACTTTAGGAAATATATTCGTCTCGTTTAACTCTGAATTGAATATAAATCAAAAACGAAATATAGAAAACAAAATGGCACAGTGTCGATATATCTATTTAAATTGTACAGTTCTGTTTTATAATTAAATACATTAATCTTTTTCTATACTCAAAGTTTTTATACCTTTAAAAGATATTACAGAACCATAGCTGAAAAGTTTTAAGAACTATAAAATACCTCTAATGACTATATGAACACGTACCACTCTCGGTCCCAACACGTGCTAACACCTCGGCTTGTTTTGTCAATAATTTTACACGTTGCACGTTAGCTGCCACCCAAAGTAGATACGAAATATAATTCATACCACATTCCTATATCTTTGAAATGGGGGGCGTGTGAACAACTTGGCATAACTTTGAAAGTTGAAAATAGAACGCGTTATTTCTGTAATAAAATTTTAATCAACTAGCCAACTATCTTAATTTCTATATTTCATTTAGAATGTGAAATACGATCTAATTAATTGATTATAAAATAACCCTATGAACTAATGACGTCTGTGTATGATTTAAAATAATAAAAAATTGTGTTTATTGAAATACAAATGAAACAAAGTGATCTTTTTAATAATGAATAAATTAAGTGCTAAAGAAAAAGCGGAGGCACGCGAGAATTTTGAAAATCAGCTACGATACGCATTTGTGCAATATGATAACAACACAGAAGATGATGAAGAGAATACTGAGGTACAGTAGTGGCCAAGTTTTATAATCTATAAATTTATTAATATTATAAAAATCCACAACATGAGACAATTATTAATAATGATCGATTAATAATTAATAATGGAAGTAATAAGGATACACTTATATTAAATTATCAGCATTCAGATCATACCTAGGAGCAATTAAAGGTGGCATAGTAATGGTATACAGTCATTGTGTATCTCATGTGCTACTTTAATTCACATTTATAAATATAACAAAATCTGATATATAATAAAATCTGCGTGGTAAATTAACACAAAAATATTCATTGGGATGCAGTAACGACAATATTAATCTGTATATTCATTAATCATGAGAAAATGTACAACACAATATACAACGAATTTAAATTATATTTTATATTTAAGTAGTATAAAGAGCCTTTAAAAACAGTTGTAAAATTTATCAGAACCAAGTTAAACGAATCTTGAGGTACAATTTAGAACGTCCACTGTTGTGAAGCCGTGAATTAACTTTGCTAATTGAAAGGTCAGACATATTGATTGATCGTCACCTAACCGATACGTCTAATACTGGCTATATACGATGCTACGAAATTATCTACATTGCCAACCAGATGGTATAATATAGGGTGAATAAATGTCATATATGTAAATATATACATAATAAATTAAAATGTTGCGTACTTATATATTTAAATCTGTTGTCACTTTCATAACTATTAACTTAACTTTGACAGGTACTATAAGGAATCGACAATTTACAATTTACTAAAGTATTTTTCTAAAAAAAATAAATTGATGGATCGCTGAACAAATAGATATTCGAAATTGTATTTTGTCAATTCATTTGGTCTGTCCAAAATATAATCTCTTATAAAAATATAAATTAAATAATAATGAGGACAGAAATTATTTAGCTTTAAAACGAACTTAATACTACTTACTTACAAAGCTTCTATCCAGCCACTGTCAACTCTGATTTTAAAGTGGAGCCATCATGATTCCATTCTATTAAATTAAATACAATATTCAGATTGCTATCAGTTCCTATCTCATTTCTATTCTCAATAAAAAGAGTTAAACTTTCATTACGGCCACGCAATGGTAATCTGTTTGTAAGAAAATTACCCTATTCTACGTAATATACCATCGAACATGTCATGGCATGGAATTGACACGAATCAGTTGAATACTTGGAGAAAAAACATTCCGATACCAATCCGCGAAAGACGCGGAAATGGGTTAGTGCGTTTTCGCCCGCCCATTTAAGTTTTTAATCCGTCACTTTTGTTGTTTTGTTTTTTTTAGTTCATTAATTAATTATAATAGTTTGTAATTATGTATTGTGAGAGTCGTTTTTAGCGCGTGATTTTAGATTTTCCAATTGTTTTCAAATTAAATTTGTCAAGATGAATCCGGACATGAAGGTAGGTAAAGATAAATATAATTCAGTTTATAGTTAATAGGATACTTATCAACTTCAGTTATGTGGAAATTTTACAATGAAGTAAAATTTTACAATAAATATTTAAGTATGTACCTCCTTTAGATTTTGCAAAACATCTTGCAACACTTATGGTGTTGCAAGATGTTTTGCAAAATCTAATATGAAAAATTCTAATATGAACGTCTAATATGAAAAATTATAAAAAAAAGAAATTTTGTAAAATAGTCACAGGCTGTTTGTTACCTAGGGAAAACACAGGTCAGGGTCATTCACACAAGGCCCGTCTCTACTTTTACTTAAATAGTTTCATGATTAAAATAAAATATAGGTAACTATGTAATAAAATTATGTTATATATATCTATTGCTTTTTATAGTATATATTTACTTTTCTATTCCTAAGAAATAAGAAATGTAATGCTACAAACATGTATACCTATATAGATTACATACTATTACCACAGACAAGATAATATTACAGATATTACCTACTAATAAATACCTACATATAAAATCTTACATAATTTTAACTTTATTTACTTTAATGAACGTTTAAATTTCAATTTATTTATCTTATTAGTTTCTAATTTATAGAGTCTAATTTATTTATCTTGTTAATTACATTTTGATTATTAACTTATTTATTAAGTTAATAATCAAAATGTAACTAACTGGAATGGCTACTATGGCTACTCGGCCCTCCTCCTAAAACTTCTCTCGAATCACTCTATCTATTAAAAAAACCGTGTCAAAATCCATTGCGTAGTTTTAAAGATTTAACATACATAGGGATAAACAGCAACAGTGACTTTATTTTATACTACCTATGTAATGATGATGATGATAAATAATATAATAACGCTGTTAATCGGTTGGTGATATGTATATATATTTATATACATAACATAAATCTTCCGACATTTTATTTAATTTTAATACATTACCTATAGTCCTCATATAATACCTCGGCTTTAGAAATATTACAAAACAAAGATTTCATGCGGAGCTCTATTCCTCAAGTACCTACTAGTGGTTGGTTACAAGCGTGACGTTGTCATCGTGCGACAAAAATAATAGTAAAACTTTTTGATACACCGCTTTCGTGCAAAATGTCACTAATAACGAATGATCTTATCGTTCTACATGTGAGCATAAAAATTCTGATGTGTAAGCTAGCGCTGGCGTCTACAAATATTTCGTACAATTGTGGTTAGTCTTGCCATTTCTTTTGCACGCATTCAACGATTTTATCGTTTAAATATTGTATTATATTATTCCTACGCACTATAAAGGAGTTCGATCAGTTTACGAATAGTATTGAAATGACTGTCACGTTTTTTGTGCATTTCTAAAAGAGTCATTAAGCGGAATTTTGTGGGGTGTTATTTATTTGCCAAAATGGATCTGACTGTGCTTGGTAAAGCCATCAGTAATTTTGTAAGTTTGGCGATATTTTTAAGTGCTATTTCCTAATAGATTAATATTATCTACATAAGTATACTAATATTATAAAGACGTAATCAAGCTACGAGAAATAGCAGCGGAGCTGCAATGAAAAGTGTGGCTAAATAAAATTCATTAAGACGGCGCTACGTAAAAGTTGCGCAAAAAAAATATGAAGGATTTGTTCTCCTTTAAATGTTAATAATGTTATAAAAATATGTCTCTTTTAAGATTAACTCATTCCTTTTTTATGCAATTAAAAATTTCGTTTAAAATTATGCGTTATTAGCCAACGTGTTTTTATAACGTATAATTTAGATAAAAAAAACATATTTTAAGGGCTCTTATTATGCCAATCCTACTGATAATCAATTAATTTTAACGCCAAATATTATTAAGATCTGTCGGACATTTAATTCTGAATAGGTAACAGACAGACTGATTTTAGCGATTATAATATTTATTTCTGCAAAGCATGGCTATAACTTTTATAAGGATAGAATATAGTAGTCAAGTCGACATGTCGACGAGTATAGCAATTTAGCTATCAATTTTGGCCACGCATGGTATCACATGTATTTAAGTAGATGTCGCAATGATTGTAGATTAATGAGAAAACAGATTTTGTTAAATCCGTTCTCTCTTCTGGTTAAAGTAAACTTGAAACCTTTGCACCGATTTGACGAAAGACTATTATATTATGTTTTTATATATTACACAAGATTTATCTACACAGTTATGTACACCTGGGGAAAGACAGGGTAATACACGAGTCACATAACGGTTAGCTTATAAACTTCACCATAATAAGCAATTATTATTATCCGTTAGCGGGAAACTGTCGTCGTCTTTATCTTTTTTTTATAATGTTCTTAATCACTATTGATTAAGAACATCTCATAAGTAAATTCCGGATACATTATGTACGTTAAATAAAATTGCTAATGAAGTGACGTAAAAAAAATGACATCCCCTAATTTTGACGCTTTGAGAAATAATCAGTCGTCATATTTTGAGGGATGTTGTAATGCATCTAAAAGAGAATATACGAGTATCATCGAAGCTTTAAAGTTAATAGGATAGACATAGGAGTATTCCATAAAATATTGACTGAGCCAGCTTCCAATGCAGACAAGTTATTGTTCTGGGTCTGATTTTATGTTTTTTCATTTTTAATTTAATATATGTACGATGTGATTGTCATCGTCACATTTTGTGTACAAAAATACCAAACGAAAAATAGAGAGAATAAAATAGTGATATCCGTATTCGTGATACAATTGTGTCTTATTTTCAAAATTCTTCAAGATCGAATCTAATTTACAATAGGTATTACTGTAGATACACTACGCTACGCTACGATACATTTCTACCTTTATTTCCCAATATTCATATATAAGAATGTTGGAAATCATATCATATTGGAGTAATATTTGTATATTACTTCAACTGTATAATAATTGAATAATATTAGTATAACGTATATATTTTTCAATAAATTTAAGTTCTTAAATAAAACTCTGATCTAGATACTGTTATAATACACAGAAGTTCGTTAAATATATACATAGTTCGATTGAACTTAATGTAACGACTAAATCAAATGAAGTTCTAAATGGTCTGACTAAATGTGTGTAAATTTAAGAGCAAATTGATCGATCCGATATCGATAGACACTTGAGGTCAACTAGATAGCTACTGCATGCATGAAATAGAACGAGATAGAGATATTTTCGAAATAACGCTGTTTGTGTAGCAAAAGGAAAATAATATTAACGATAGTAAGGAATTAACTTATGCCCAGTGAAAACAATAAAAAAATAAATAAATACATGTATAAAATGGCTGTAAACGTATAAATACGTATTGGAAACATAAATATACATACTCAAATAATTAAATAGATACAAAATAATAATATTTATAGCTAGATTCAAAGAAGAAAAGTCTTATGATTCTAAAGGCCTTAACGAAGCGGTTTAGCATACGTTTCTTTCAATGAAGGCTCATTGGAAGTAAGGTACAAACTACAAGGTACAAAAAAGTTGCTTGGAATTATACTAAAATAATTAATTAACTATTTCGGTTAGTTATTTATTAACTATACGTAGTCCAAGCTTTGCTTATAATTTAAAACTAGATCGCTGTGTGAATTATACTGGAATTTTTATTTCTGTTCTGTTTATTTTTCAAAGTATGCTGTTCTGTATAAAATGAATGTTTCAAAAAACTGATTTTAAAATGCCTTTGTAAAGTATACAGTTTTCGTGTGGCTAAATGAATATAAATATGTATAACAATATTTATAATTAACCATTATAACTAATGGCAGCAGTAGACACGGAGGACGAACGACCGGTGACGTAGCATGGAGATTACAGAGAAAGTCCCAGGCGGTATACTAAAAGGCGTGGCAGGCGGCAAACACTGCGATTTTTATTAGTCAAATATTTATGGAACTTAATGAAAAACAAACATGAAAAGTACATTATTTTTATTTCTATTAATACAATAATGTTTTATAAATATTAAAGTAAATAAATTTATCAATTATTAAAATAATATATAGATATAAGGTTTGATTGAACCTTAAAATAAAAATAATTTTTCGCGACTGCTAATTAAGTTCTGAATTTATATCTTCGGTCTTCTATGGTTCTACCAGTTCTACAGTTCTTGTAGTACGTTCATTTTCAATGTATTCGATCGCTCGCAACCTCTTCGCCTTTATGTGTCCCTGGTACTTTAGGCAGCAAATATGGTTTTTAGGCCTCGACAAACAATATTTTGTTGATGTTGCCAGCAATATTTTGTTGTTTTGTGGTCTTGCTAAAAAACTAATACAAAGTATTAGTTTTTTACCAAGACGTAGTACAATGGTACTACTTATTAGGTGATGTAACTAACAAAGAACGAAGTTTCATCAAAAGCGAAATGACTAACATTGGGACCTAAATGGTACCTTAGAGGTCTTCGTGACAACTTTCATTAGTCTAATTTCATGATGTAACATAATTAATCATAAGAATTGTGGCTATGGTTCTTTAATAAACCGGCGCGTCGTTGTTATTATTTACACGCTATCTCGTCTATATCTAATATAAGGATACTACAATAATATTTTTAGTTGTCATCACAAAAACCAATATTTGTATTGTGCGAGGAATCTAATCCGTAACCATCACAAGTATTGAGGTGTGCTAAACCGCTAAACCACTATCTACTGCTATAGTACATAATAAGGAGGGGTTGTACAACCCCTCCCACTTTCCGAAAGCGGTCCCAGAAAGCTACTCGTTTATAGAGTAATCATGTCCTCCCCCACAATTAAAAATTATGTATTGGAACCATTACCATGAGTTGTTAATAGAAATTACTCCGAAATACCTACAATGAATATTTACTGAAAATTATTAGACGTGCAAATGTATTGCATATACATATACTGAACTTGAATTTTAAAGGGTTTATAAATTACGAGTACTATGTTTAACTACTGCCATAGATTGTATATGAAACAGTATAAAAATATTAATTAAAAATTTTATAAAGCAGAATATTACAGTAATTACCATTTTTTTAAATTTACCTACTCTGTAAATTACAAAAACGAAATAAAATTAAAAAATCATTACACCATTATAGCTAGACAATGACCTGCTGTTCACAATAGGTACCTATTTATAACTTGGCGCCTTACACCATGGGATATTAATCAACGACAACCGGGTTGAAAACATTGCGTGCTACCTACAGGATTAGTACAAGCAAGTGCGACGCCGTACCACCCCCTTCCCTTATAATGACACTCTCTACTTGTCCGTTTAATTTGCATATTACAACAATAGTTTCGCCTATTCTTGTGCAGCGTTTGTCGCTGGATAGTTCTCTCGTGGAACGTGAGGCAATACAAGAAGGCAATAAGTCAACTGAAAACTTTTCAAAGACATCCAAGGCATATATACAACAAAACGAAAAATTTCTCACGCTAATACCAGCTATCGTTCTCGAATGTTTACTGTAGCAGAAATTTTAAACATGTCGAGACAGTAGGTTGTATTTCACAAAGTAATAGCATCGGTTTTGGAGTTATCAAATTTATATAATCACGCGGAAGTTAATACTCTAAAAGACGTTTAGTAAAAATGTTTGTCCAAGGTATTAAGCCTGGGTCGAGTGAGGAAGAAGAAGAAGATATTATGGATTTGCTTCAGGTCTGCTTAATATCACCGTCATGAATATTTAGTACGTCCTGAGTTATCCGCTGTAGTCTTTCAAACAAATCAGAAAAAATATTAAAAAAATATACGTAAAAAAAGTCTAAAAGAAAGTAATTGAGGCGTTCTTTTAAAAGAGTAATTATGTTTTGTAGAAAAGGCGAGAAGAATGCGAGCGCAAAGCGAGAAGGGGGGAAATGGACCCCAGGTTGGAGTTCACATTCCAACTTCTGATAGACGGCACAGGTTTACCACGGCATGCTATAATGGACCATGTTTTCGAAGGGAACATGGTGAGATCCAATCTGACTAAGGTAAAAATTATGTATGTACATGAAGTGTCTGGCTCAACAATGTATGATTTGTTCTTCTCAGTTGGATGACATCAATCAGTTATTCCTCCCGCACATGAGAAATAAACTTCTCTGGTATTATCAAGATGTGGAGGAAGTGGAACAAAGATCACAGGGTGACGCTGGTAAACCTCGACAACAAGGCCAGGGGAAGCAACCACCTCCTCAAGTTACCTTGAAGAAGAAGCTGTTCCTATCAGATGGCTGGGATGTGAGATTTACAGGAATATGTATTTACATGTTTAGAATTAATGTCAGTAAACAACTCCCAGAAGAAGGATTTCATAAAGATTTGTTAGTAAATTTAGTAATCATATATATGTAATATCATTTCAGTTATTATTATTGTTAGTAAAGAACTTTGTACATTTTGCCTTTCTAGATTTTGTGGTATTTTAAACGCCGAAAAAGTAGGATTAGTGACGGCTATAGAAAGAGTAATGGAACATGTATATATGAACGCGCTGGCACATCCTAGTAGTGATGGTGATGAAGACGAAACCAAATTTCCTATAGTGAAGAATCAACTGCTGCCGGGGTTGAGGTCCTTTTGCAGTGCGTTGAAAGGTCAGTTGTTAGTTCACTACATGTTAAACTAATGCTTCAATGGAATATTCAAATGATTTAAATAGCAATTATATGAATTGTACAAAATAGAGCACTATATTAATTTCGTTCCATAGTATTCACATAATAAATTAGATTGTTAACATTATATAACTATTTGCAATTGCGACAGTATGCGAGGATGTCTGTAATCAAACAAATTTATTCGATGATGGCCAAGCGCATATGGTAGATATTCAAGATCCCAGTGAACTAAAAGAAATGACTAAGAATCCCAATACAATAACTATGTTGGAGGATCGTGTAACCGAATGGATAAAGAAAGTAATGGAGGTAAATAAAAATGATGACTTTTAGCAAAGTAATTTGCATTTGATTTATCAAATTATTGTACATTTTTGCATATTCTTTCTTAATTTCTTGCTTATTCTTCTTCTAGAGAGTCTGCGTTCCTAATGAGTGATAAAGTAAAAAATAAAATTTATTTAAAAGTGTTTTATTTAATAAAGATTATTTATTCCTTTCTATTAGATACTGAGTGAAAGCGAACAACTTCGACGAGAAGTGGACTCAAGCGGACCTCAAGATGAACTGGAGTATTGGAAGAAGAGAGGAGCTCAATTCTCACAGCTAGTCTCCTACTTACAAGTACGTATATACAAATCTATCAATTTGTACTGTAGCATAGTAATTGCATACAGTATAGCAACGCTGCTCTGTTAATTATGTTTTATTAGATATATAATGTTTAATTAATTATAGAGTGGTTATGCAGTTTTTTTAGAATAAAAATTTTATTGTACAATTATTAAATAACAATTTTAAAAAATGTGTACACTAATTCTAGCAGCTAGTTAAGGCATTTTAGCAAACACTAATTATTCTATGTAAATATTATATGGTAATGTTTTTGAATGAAATAAATAAATAAATATAAGATTTCCTCTGATAACCTTGAATGATTGATATCGTTATATACGATTATTGTTGTGTCATTCAATATCACAATAGGACAGTAGGCTTTGAGTTTTCTTTCCGGCAGTATTAAAATGTAATAATGTTGTAGGATTCAGAAGTTCAGCTAACGCTAACGTGTCTCCAACTATCAAATTCCAAAGTCATAAGGATTTGGCGAGATACAGACCACAAGATAACGTTTTGTTATAATGAAGCCAAAGACAATGCCAAATTCATTCAAGCCATGGAAAAATGTTGCCATTCTCTGTATTTGGATGACCCAGTCAAAATTAAAGATTCCATACTGAGCTTGTTGCAAACAGTCAGACTGATTCACAGCGTATCACAGTTTTATAATACTTCAGAGAGGATTTCTTCATTGATGGTGAAGGTAAGTTTATATTAAAATTGCTTAAAACGATTCTTACGTTGTTAGTTAAAGATCTTTATTTAACTTGTCTATTCGTTCAATATCTAAATCTATGTGACTGTCCATTTCTTATTTTTTTCTCCTTATTCTTATTACTTCTCATTGAAATATAATCAAATAAATAAAACAATCAATATAATCAAACTCATTTACAGATTACGAACCAAATGATTGATACCTGCAAACAATATATAACGTGTCGATTCAAAGAGACCATATGGTCACAAGATCGACCTGTAGTTAGAGAAAAATTAATCCACTGCATCAACCTTAATAAGACCTACAGAGAAACCTATTTATTTGTAAAGAATCAACCATTTCTACCTAACACGGAGCAATTCAGTTTCTCAGAGAATTATGTTTTCGGTAAATTCGACACGTTTTGTAAAAGGTTAAACAAGATTATCGCTATATTTGACCTTATGGACGATTACAATAATCTATTTGAGAAAAGAATGGAAGGATTACTCTTGGGAGAAGGTAAAATATCAAATTTGTTTACAATAATTAGTTTAGGTACTAATATTTAAGAAAATATATTACGCATTTATTTTCAAGTTAAATCTAAGGTAAACTTTACGTAAAGATATTAATATTTATTTATTAAACATAATATTAGTTACTAATACTATTACTGGGAAATAATAGGAATATAATCCTTATAAATTACTTTTTCTGCTTACGTTGCATGCAGATTTGGAAGAGGCCATGCATACATTCGGAGAGGCTAAGAAAGCAGTGACTACGTGTCAATACGACTACCTAGACTATAGAAACAACGAGTTTGACAAAGACTACCGGATATTTGAGGAAAAGACAAATGCACTTCGCGAATCAATAGGAAATACAATAGAAATTAACTTCTCAAGCGTATGGGAAACACCGCAGGGTATTAAGTTCCTGACTAGATTTGAAAAAGTAAGTGACCGTTTAAGAAGCATATATATTTCTGTTGTGTTTAAAATATTAATATGCATATTTACTAGCTATAGAAGTGACAGCTATTTGAGAAATAATTAATGCTACCCATTTCAAATTTGGAGTAATATAACTGCTTTAGATGATGCTTTAGCTATATGTATGTGTGTGTAATGATACATAGCTTTAAAAACATGCATATAATATGCAGAAAAATTCACAAACAGATGCATACAGGCTCTATAATACTATCTCGGAAGTTTTATTTATAGTAAGCTAAGACAAGTAGCGTTTAAAGATGTGGATAAATAATATTAGTATTCATTACGATATACAATCATAATACTTTTGTTATTACAGGTTAGTCAAAAAATTCTAATTACGAAACTGAGTGAAAAGTACGACCGAGTACTGCGGTATTGCGAAAAGGAGGTGGATAAAATAATGAAAATGTTTAAAAGACAAAAAGAGGATCCACCGCTACCTAGAAATTACTCGCCAGTCGCAGGTTAGTACGGTATATATAAAATTAAAAGAAAAGAAAATTAAGAAGTTAAATTTTTTTATTGGTGACTATTCTATTCGTGACTACATAATTGGCTAAAACTTTCGATATATCTCGTAAATAATGCATGTTCTTGGATAATACATATAAAAATATTTTTGTATGACACGACAATGTTATTCGTGTCTTATATCGCATTATAATACTGCAAAGGGAAACCATCACTGTAATTGTTTAATATATATATTCAGTATTTTTTTATACTTGCTTTGACGACTAATATGGAATGATAATAGCCTTTACATGATACACTGTATCATTTTTTATTTATATGAATCACGGTAGATCGTAGTAATGTTATATTTTAAAATAAAATTACGTTTATTAATTTGGTTTAGAAATGTTTGTAGAACTCCAAGAAAGATTTAGAAGTGGTGAGAAAATATGAAAGAATGAAAAAATGGTATGGAAAATACTAAAAAATAATTTTATCTTCGCTTAGAAACGGTTCATTCTTGGTCCATTCAGTTTATTTCGTAACAAAGCTTCAAAGTACCTTTGATAGTTCTGAGACGGAACAGAATTCGTGGGGTCAGATATACAAAAGATAAATATATAAATAAAGTGAAAATACAATAATTTGTTACTAAATTGTATTGTACAATGCAGGTCGTATTAAATGGTCGCGTTGTTTGATGCACAATATGACTGAAACTGTGGAGAGTGTGTGTGCTCACCCGGTGCTGCGCTCGCTGCCGGCGGCTGCCGACATGATGCGCAAGTATACCAACACCAGGTCGCTCATACACAACTACGAGGAAACCATGCGAGCCGTCTGGATGAATCAGAATGTGAGTGTTAATATCATACACCGTGATAGACTGTACAAAGTCGTCTGCTCACATACCTTTACCCTATATATTTCTTTGTTTAATATTTAAACTTTATTGTACACACACATAGGAAAAATAAACAGTGATATAATAAATATAATATATGAGTGAGCTTATCTCTAAAAAGAGATTTCTTCCAGCAAGCCTAGAAAATGTTATAAGATTTTTAAATGGTAAGCAGTATTTTTTGTTGAGTTAGTAGTAAAATTATTGTGTACGTAAACATGAAAGCTTCGTCCTCCAGGTAACTCATAAAAGGGAATCACTTGACGACTTTTTGTTTACAGGCTGACATATTCTGTCTGTTTACTGTCATTCCAGTAAAATAAAAAAATCGGTTTTAAAGGCAAACATAGGCTTTTAATTTCCTGCTTATCGCTCTATAGTCTTTGTATGGCAGTGAGGAGGTATTTCTGTTTATACAAAGCATGCTCTCGTAGATGTTATTAAACGATCCTGCCTTGTACAAACAAATAAGAGATAGAGAAAAATAATAAGCGGGCTAACTGACATCTCTATATAGAAACCTAAGGTCCACTTGTACCTCTTGAGAAAGCTGTTGATGTACTATATCTACTGTAATGCAGCCATTATGTAACAGTAAAAGCATCTAATTTAACAAATACATACAATACATTAGATGACGGCGAAAAGATGTTTGTAATAATATAAATTATATTACATTTCTAAATTATGGTTCATGTTTTAACGGGGAGGTTGCATGTTTTTTAATTTAATGAAGTAGAATACTTGTTTACATCATTGAAAAATACTACGGTATATGTCAGTAGATTCTGTATTCCTAGTAGTCTGCCTTAATGTTAGGTTATGTATAATAAATTGACGTGTAGCCGCGACGGTCTTTACAAAATACATCGATACAAAGTTATGTCTGCATAGCATAAGTAGTGTAAAATTTCGATTATTACTTGAATGTATAATTTTGACTTTATATTTTATTAAAGTTATGGGACGTGGACGATAGTTTAAGCAACACATTACTGAAGATCGACGAGAGTGGCTGCATCAGCGTGAACTTGGATCACGCCATCAAACTCCTTATCAGGGAATCCGACTGCCTCGTCAAGATGGGCATACAACTACCTATCGTGTGCCACTCTCTATACGCAAAGAAAAATTATTTTACACTTATCAACGATTCCTTACAGGTTATTTTATTATTATTAATATACATTTAAAATTTGTTTTCTTTTATTATACGTATTGTATATTTGATAAAATAAATGTACAGTGGGTTGATAATAATTAATATTATCTGACTGCCGCAAAAAAAGTTTTTAGGAAATTTGTTTGTACTATCTTTGATTAGGTTTGTCATAATCTTTATAAGAAATATAAATTATTGTATTTCTGCTATGGGTAAGTTAGTTATACTGCGTACATAGGTGAAAGTTCCTAGAAAACAATACGTTATTCTTATATATTTTTTTCGTTATGTTTACAATTCAATCTGTTTTAAAATTTGGCAAACATATATTGGGGATGGCAATTGATATGGATATATTAATAACTAAACTATTTATCCGGTTGATTATTATATCTTATACATCTCGAATCGCGGACAATGGTATATTATGTGGTTATAAACATTTACCTAAAAATTGTTTTTTTCTAATTGAGTGTAATATTTTTGATAACGTTGCGTAAATTTTGTAAGATACAACTCTGTTAGTGTTCTTTGTTCTTTAGTTTCTTCTAGAGGACTACCTGCGAACAGTTCGCCGTGTAATGTTGGAAGTACGTCCTCTCTTTCTGCCACAAGTGGTCCGCCTTTCTTCACTCCTGCTTCCCGGTCTTCGTTCCGTGAGCTGGACCAGTGAAGACTGGCAGGAATTCATCGACCGCGCAAATGCGGCCATCAAATGCTTCGACGTTCTCGTAACTAGAGTCCATGACATATACACGAACAGAATAATTTACGTCTTGTCTGGCATGCAAGAAGTAACACTGATATGTTTACCAGGTAATAATGTTGAATAATAACTTTTTAATTCAAAATAAAACCTACTTTCGCTAATGGTTTAGACTGGCGTGGATCAATGAAGATATGATAAGATGAGCATGAGGTTAGGTCAGTTAGCCTATAATGACAAATTCACACGGAGTTTATCAAGAAACTAATTATACTATTACTCCCTAAAATTAGGATATATAGAATATATGATTATACGATAGATTATGTCGTATTGTCCAGCGTTATTATTATTATATATAAATATGTATTTCTTAAATCTTTTGCAGAAGAAACACCTTGGTCCATGGATGAATTTATAGATATCGTCGAAACGGGGTGTCGGTATGTATTCCATTGTACATACAATGAATATTAATAAATAGTGACTTTATCTTAGTAAAATGGATTATATGCAATCTACAAAAGTACCTAATGAAGAAGCAATATAATTTTAGGGGATGCTTTATTCACCTGTGTGTTTCATGTTCTTCTTTATTGAGAAGAATAGGCACATACTGCTGACGGCCTCAGTGCTCTAGCGGTTTAGCACACCGCTTTATTTCCAATGGTCGCAGGTACGATTCCTCGTCCCATGCAAACATTTGCATTATTTGTATCGATCTGAGTGTTTTCTTTGTATATTATGAATGTATTAAAAATGGTATTTGTATCAGTTGTATATATAGCCTAAAAACACAAAATCTGCTTAGCTTAAGACTAGAAGAATGTGAATATCCACGGTTATGATTATTATAAAACTGAGGCACTGACTGTATGTGAATGTTACAGTACAATTTCTAATGTACATAACGCATCAGTAATAAATATCATTATCATTACATACTATAAAACAAAGTCGTTGTCGCTGCCTGTCCCTATGTATGCTTAAATCTTTAAAACGCAACGAATTTTGAAGCGGTTTTTTTTAATAAATAGAGTGATTCAAGATGAAGGTTTATAGATATAATAATGCATGTACACCCGTGCGAATCGGGGGAGTAGCAAGTAAATAATATACTGAACAATCAACAGGAATGCGTGTGTTGAGTTGAATCGTAAAAGTCTAATGGTGGAAGAAGCTGTAGAAGAGGTTTTGGATCTCGTGAAGAAAGCTGCTCAGCAAATTAAACCTACCGAAATCAATCCGGACTTCGAGTTCCTAATTGCCGAAGGTTGATAAGATACTGAATATTACTTATATGCTTTCTGGTTCAAAATATACTCAATACATTTTTAACGTATCTTTTAATACCCGATTGAACCCGATTAAACTATTTATTAAGACGAATCACATTTGCTGAGGATATTAGAAAAAAATAATAAAATAATTCAATCTATGAATTACGAACATATTCAATTTCTATGACAGGCAGGTATATTGAGAAAAAATATTATTTATTTGTCGTTATAACATATTACTACAAAAAATAATTATATTCTACTTTTCTCCAATACTATTTATCCTTTTTCAAATTGTATAGTTATTAACTATTAAAATCAACGAACGATCAAATGTATCCATGAAAAAATGGATATACAATTTGAAAACGGATATATATTACATATATTCTTAATATATTCTTCAGACGAGACCGCGGGAGGCAGCGGCACAGCCTCTTTAGCAAATGAATCAACGTCCAGCGGTCAGCAGGACTGGTCAGCTGTTTGGGAGTGCTTCGAGAATCCGCATAGACTTCTCTCCACTCCTGCTGGTGGTTTATCAAAAGGCATGCAGGTATAGCAAGTAGCTGAGACCTAATACTTTATATTCTGCTGCCAGGCGATTCACAGATATTTTGTAAAATAAAAATAGAAACAATATTTCGTATACGTCATAGTATAATATTTTACAATACCATACGTTATCTTCTACAACGAATTAAAGTATGATGTACATATACTAAATAATATTTAGTCAGTTGTTATACATATAATATAACATTGCCGTTACGATGGATCAAGGTTTTGACTATCACTGGATACATTCTACGAAACGGCGACAGTACTATGATTATGCAATCTTAGTGCGAAATATAGACAAATCTCAATAATATACGGGAATGCTAGTGCGAGAAACCTTGTATAGGTAATACAAGGATTTGTTCTACTGAAATTGGTTAAAATCGAATTAGATATGTATTAGGTTAGATAGTCAAATAAAACTTTAATATGCGACGTTTTTACCTCTTTACAGGAGGATAAATTTTATGTTTGTTATATTCCAATATAAATAAAACAAAATCATAATCTTAAAACATTTTAAGCTAAGAAGTTATACAGGTACGAACTGGCAAGCTCAACTATGTATAATAGTATTTAATATGTATTATATGAACATTGTAGGAAATGGTGAAAAATGCAGTAAGCGAAATGAGAAGATACTACAGCCGAAAGGTGGTGGATGTTTTAATCAGGGTCACACGTAGGGCACTGGACCTAATCATCAAGCAGTTTTCTACGGAGCCAGCCGATGATGGTAAGTTCTAAGACCAGATATTTAATCTTCAATGTATAATCAATATATTGAAATGCACACGGAGTAGCCCAGGCCTAAACCTTTTCGGTTGCAGAAAAAGTGCCTTATAACTTATTTATAGAAATGTAAAAAAAATATTTCTATTTTAAATAAAGTAATTAGTGGTGTCTGGTTGATTACTAATACTTTGTTAATACTATGAGCACCTATCATGTTTTGATGTTAACAATATCTATGTTTTCCAATAAGGAATCCGATTTCAACAAAATACCTTGCTGATGAAACTTATTAAACTTTAGTTTACTCGTAAACTTTTGTATATGTACGTACTGAAATACCCTCAGTCTATAGTTGACGTCATTAGTCTCAGATCGTGACGCTGCTTGTATTTTATTACAGCCTGGTAGTTTGTCGATATTTACCCCTTGTTCTCAAATTTTGAACATGCGCAGTAGTTATTTACTCCACGTGCATTTCCTATCCCTATATATAAAATTACACCGACAATTATCAACCTTACGACACACGTTACGTTGGTACAATTTTCAGTCTTAATATAATACCTAGAAGGTAAATATTAGATTATAGCGAACAAATGATGGTTTTTAAAACACCTCTAGTGTTTATAGGAGCCTGGTATAAGTGCGGACAAAAATTTCGTATTCAGCGGAATATCCGTTAGTGTTAAAGTTTATTTTACCCTAAAATTGAAAATATTGTTGTGAAATTCCTACTAGTTCGGAAAAGTCTGAATGGGTTTCCGAATTGATTTTCCAGCTGAGACATAACTTGGTCTCCGCTTTTCCGGAAATGAGAGAGAACTAGAATTACCTCTATTTTTTTCTACAACAACACTGAACATTTCTCTATAAGCGCTATATTTTCCTGTAAACCTAGTATGTCGTCTAGTTGCTTCCTTGTCCTAGATATTTATTGAACATGCGCAGTTCTGCGTCACAGAGAACGCTTACCTTGCTGTACTTAATAGTGTTGATGATTGTACTGCACATCTTTATTTCTTACACCATAAGGTTCAAGTTCTCAAAATATGGAAAATTGTTCTCTTCATAGTTTCTACAATCCTGGTAACAGTGCGGGTAAAAATCTGTTGCCGCTCGCGTATCGGAGAGAAGTAAAATAGCCGCAACTATTAAATTAATTAATATAAAATGTCCCGACACTGCAATATTCATAAAATATTCCTAATAAAATATAATAAATAGCCTGTTATACTTAAGGATTTTTAATTTTTATGTGACAATATTCTATAACTATGTAGAATCAAATTTTCATTTTATTTTATTCTGTCACTATGAAGTATGAAACTATAAAATATTATTAATTATTACTATGCAAAGGTATGAGATACATATATTTTTCAGATTTAATATTTCAATTCAAAACAATATAAAATAACTTATAACTAATTGAAGTTCATATTATAATTAAATTAAATTATAAGTTTGAAACATTATTAAAGTTATTATTTATGCGTGCGTGTGTCAAATTACATACGTGTCATGTTTTTATTAATTTAATGTATTTTTATGCCTAATAACTAAAATATATTAGTTTTTGCACTCCTTCTCAATATAAACTATAAGTGGCCTAAATTTTATACTCCTCCGTCCACGCAATAGTCGTAAAAAGAGATATTAAGTTTTTGAATAATGTATTAATATAGTGATAACTTTCATGTTGATTTGCGACAATAAACAGATGTTCAAAAGAAGCCTATATTTCTGCTGCACGCTGCGCTTATGATACCGAACGTATCTGTTAAGCCAACGTTGGAAGAAATCCAAGACGCACTTGTGCTAGCCGGAAAGCACATCTCGGGCTTGTCCAAGGGCGTCGCGCAGTGGACTGGTGGCAAAACTTCTAGGGTAAATACTCCTACATATAGAATAATTCAATAATTTTTACAACACTAATAATACATGTAACATTATCTAAATTGCACAAGAATAAAAACACAATTGCCAATCGTAGCAGTTTATCAAAATCGGTATATGTTTATTTACATTAATTTAAAAAAATATATTGTCATCAAAAATAAACATATTTATATACGTGAAAATAATAAAATTAAGAACCCCTAATATCTTATATGTGTATTTACTAGTTGTTACTCCGCGTGGAATTTAACTTTTTTGTTATTAAAATAAATAAAATTTCTAAAATAAAAGTAGCCCAAGTTACTTCTTTTAACAGCTATCTGTGAGTATAGGTCCCTTCAAATTAGTCCCCCTCAAATTGTTACAGTACAAGATCAAACAGACAGACATACAAACATTTTCACAATATTTTTGAAGTAGTTACTGTATATGTATATATATATATATATATATTGATATGCATTTAAAGAAAAGCTGTAAATAAATAAGACTTCAATGTTATTTATTTGTACAGATATCCAATTAACCTAAATTATATGCCAAGTTAAATCAGTTATCAATTTTTATTAAAAAAAACTATTAAATAGAAAAAAAAACAGTACAAAATACACGATTCTTGTCAACATTTTTGGAATGTTTCATCTTTTTTCTTCACTTATTTACACTGTAACTCCATAATTATGGCAGATAATGTTACTTTATGTAGTAGGTGTATATTAAATTAATTTATTTTTGTATTTTTACTCTTCCACTGTGTGATGTTAATTGTATTGTGCTATGTTCAAAAACCTACACTATTCACTTGTGTATGACTGTGACTTCGTCTGCAAAATCGCCGTTACCGTGTGCTCTCATGTTCCCATATTTATTACTTGCTAAACACTCGATGTCGCTTAATTTTACTTTCAACCTCACCCTTGGTTTCACTGTCGTCTTTGAAATCCTTCACTATGCTTGTTCCCCCTTCGCCTTGTTCGCCAAATCCATGACCAGGTTAGCTGGAAGAAATTGGCGGGCCCTCAGTCCAACCAACTGCTAGAAATAGTCACGCAGCTTGACGAACAGGTCCAATCAGTGTCGGTACCTATGGCCATGGCGCAAAAATCCTTGAAAATGATGGACGCAGCTAAAATTAAAAGAAAGAAGCATTATAGACTGGAATCAGAAGAGAAGCCCACCTTCCCTTTTCAACAGAAGAATTTCTATAGTCACGTGATGGATAATAAAGAAATAGTAAAAACACTATCTTTGTTGTCGACATGTTCACAAAATATTAAAACGGTGAGTTATTAAATGAAATCATTAGTAGACGCTCCAATTGTATTTCTCATTTGTCACGATTAAATTATTTTAAATTTTCAGGAATTAAACACGCTAGTAAAACGTTGGCGGCCGTATCACTACTTGTGGAAATGCGAGAAAACTTTACGTCAATTGCTAGCGTGGCATCTCAATGATTTTGAAATAGCTCTCAAGAGGCACAGCGAGCTAGATGCCAAATTGGCCACTGAACCAGATGTGCTGGTCATTGGGAACTGTCTCGCGGTGTCCACTGAAAAACTAAAGCTTGGCCTTACAACTGAACTCAAAAGTAAGGCATTTTTTTATTACATTTGAAATGTACTGTCCGATTCGGTTTCGCATTAGTGGAAATATCATAAAGCAAAGATTATGTCTCATTTATTAGTACCACTTCCGTCAATATTTTAACAATTACAAGCTCTAAGTAGAACTTCTAATAGGTCAGACATATTTTTTATATATCAATATATAATTTAAATGTATATTTCTAATAATGTTACTATTCCATACTTTTAACGTTGGTTAATTTACCTGGGAACTACAATATAGGTATATTGGTATATTAAAAATGTCGTAATGCATATACTTATAATTTTGTATAAACAATTTATAAACACGTTTACGTAGTAGTAAAGTAAAGTAATTAGAAATTAATAATTTTATACCAACTATTTCAGATGGCACCCACAGAATAAGTCAAGCCATGCGTAAAAAATACAAACGAGAAATGGATTATGTTTACGCAATCATGAATGATCTGGAAAGAAAGCTTGAACGACCGATCAGAGATTTAGATGATGTCCGTACAATAATGGAAACCCTCAAGAAGATCAGAGAACAGGAAGTCGATATGGAGCTGAAGATTGACCCCGTCGAGGTAACACGGTTACTTTTATTTTTTAGTACCTAGGCCTTAGCCTTAAGAAAACCGAACTACGAAACCATGTACTAACAGTTGTAGACTAAATATATACTAATAGTATATAATCTTTTTTGATGATTGTATAGACAATTATTAAATTACATTACATTATAAAATGGATTAAAACATTTTTTTTTACCATATTTTAAAATTCTATTCAATACTATATATGTACAAAAGTACACTATTAATACACTATAGGCTGTCTCAAGCGATCCACGCTGCTAAGCAAACAGCAAGCGGCCACGCAACGCAGCTAGTTATCGATTTAAAAACGCAGAATTATTTATTAATATTGAAGAGTTAATTTAAAAATCATTTTAAAGAAATGCCTACCTATGTTTCTATATAACTGTGGACAATTAAATAAATAAATAACACCATATGATATATCTCCGAACCGCCCATAGTCACTCGATACAAGATGTATTTATTCATGCAGGTATAATAGTGTCATATTACGGAGGGGTTTAAATACTTATTTTTATTTACCTACATATTTATACGTACGTACGGCCTACATATTTATTTTTATTATCAGGCCTACAAAATATACCTCATAAATTTCCTAAAAATCAGACAATCGGATGAGTTCTATAACAATGACTCGAGATATTTATATATTAGAATATATATAATATGTTAATTGACGATTTCTATCATTACAGGAGGCCTTCAATATAATAACGCGATATGAACTACCAGTAAGCAAAGAAGATCTAGACCAAGTAGACAACCTTCGTTACACTTGGCAACAGCTGCAAGCGACCGCGCTCGCATCTCATGTTCAACTTCTCGTAATGCAGCCGCAGCTAGAGGAAGACCTCAGAAATAACCTGGACAGGTTCAGGGACGATAATACAGACTACTGTCACGAATACAGACACGCTGGTCCGATGCAGTCGGGCCTCACGCCAAGGGAAGCGTCCGATCGCCTGATCCTCTTCCAGGTACAAAAGAAATTCTTTATTTCAAAGAATAGAATAAGTTTTATTGTGGCGGTATTTACGTCGTCACATTATATATAATAATAATGTAAAACCTTAGTACACCGCTTAACGGATGGTGATGAAGATGGTGGCGGTTCCGAAACCTCGCACGGTGCAAGCATTTGTATTCATGGATATGATTGTTTGTATCGGTCTCGGTGTTTTCCATGTATGTCATGTATGTACTGAAAAAGATATCATTTGTCTAGTACCTATAACACAAACTTTGTATACAGGTGTATATTATGATATATATATATATATATCATATAATACAATATATATTGTAGTTATTGAATACTAGCTTGCTATCAATGGCAAATATATATTTATACTATATAATATTAATGTTGGGAACCAACATTGCCTTCTGTATTCTAACATTCTCTTCCGTTTATACCGACTTGTAGACCGACCAAAATATAATATACGTTTTTTCCGAAGCGCCTCTTTCAATCAAACGACAGCGATAGCTTCCCACAAATCAAATAACATACTTAATTTCATTACTAGAATCGATTCGACGGTATGTGGCGCAAACTTCAAACGTATCAAAGTGGCGAGGAATTGTTTGGTCTACCGCATACGGAGTATCCAGAATTGGCACAAATTAGGAAAGAATTGAACCTGCTGCAGAAACTATACAAGTTGTATAATGACGTCATCGACAGAGTCAGCAGTTACTACGACATACCCTGGGGCGAGGTCAACATCGAAGAGATCAATAACGAACTCATGGAATTCCAGAATAGATGCCGCAAACTGCCTAAAGGGTAAAAGACTGTATAATTTTAGTCGTAATGTTCAACAAAAATTATTAGACTGTATGATTTGCCAGTCCGCTTCTGGGTAAAATATTACAACTACTATGTAATATTATCTTATCTGTGAAAGTTTAAATGTAATTGTAATTAAAGTGTAATTAAGATTTATTTAATATATAATAGAATTTATTCAAATCGAGTTAACATGTGAGATTTTCGTTTTAATACAGTGTTTGTCATGTATCGGAAACGATTAAACCATCAGAAAGTCCGTTAGCTTTGTTAACAATACAATAAAATAAAGAAAAAAGTAATTAGAGTTCCCGAACCCAATTTAGATACTTTGTGCACTCTGTTCCTTCTTACCTATTGCTTGAAAGAAAATTTATGACTTAGATACATTTTTCATATGATTTTCATTTTGTATTTCATATTTTAGGTGACCCGCACAACTTCGTCCGCGTCACATTATACGCTATTTGCAATATTTTTCACTTACAGTATGTGTAGAAGTTTGCTTGATAAATAAACTGTTCAATAGAAATCAGAAAATCAGTCTGTCCGTAGAGCCGGAGATTATCTGCAACATTCCAACATTACTTCTTTATAATTTTAAAATGAGTACAGATTTCTTTAAATAAATAATATTTATATTATACACTTTATTGTTATTGTACTAAAGGTTAAAAGAGTGGCCGGCCTTCTTTGCTCTGAAGAAAACTATAGATGACTTCAACGATATGTGCCCTCTGTTGGAGTTGATGGCGAATAAAGCTATGAAACCTCGTCATTGGCAGCGTATCATGGAAGTCACTAAGTACAACTTCGAGTTAGACAATGAGGACTTTTGTCTCAAGAATATTCTAGAAGCTCCGTTGCTGCCGAACAAGGAGGATATTGAGGTAAATTACAACTTTTTTTAAGAATGTTACTATTTTTTTACCCACATATACCTAATTGTCTCTGCACATAATCATTTAAACTAATATTATCAAGAGCAAAATCTATTTTTTATTTAAATATCATCGTAAGTACGTGCGTACATTTATGTGTATATTATTTATATTATAACATTAAGCAATGTGATACAACATTTACATAAAAAATGTGAAATTAAATAAATACGTACATTATTTACCACTGTTTTCACAGAAAATCAGTTTTTGGGTTTTTATTGTTATTAGACAAAAAGTTGAGTATTACCATTTCGATAGCATATAGGAATTGTATTTATTAATTTAAATACCTTATAATAAATTGTTTGTGGTATCCGCAAAGTACCATTTTCTTTTTTCCTTCACTGATACACATTTTCAAATATCTGAAATGCATATATCATCCAAACAGAACAGGACGCTCTCTTATAATTTCTGAATTCCTAGTAACATAACCAGCAAATTGTGTCCGTGGCTGGCCTACGTTGCAACACTTCTATGGAAAGTAAGAAAGGGTCTGTGGGAAGGCTATTTAAAAACGGTTTCAGGGTACTGGGTAAATGGGGGTATTAGGTTCTATGTCTGGCATGGTATTACAGCAGTCTGTAATATAAAGTACTACAAAATTTAGATTAATGTTACCGAAAATATGTTCCGAGAATACATTTTTTCTTCAGGGTGATATAATTTATATATAATAGTATCTTATATTGTTATTTTAATACATAAATATATGATAAAATATAGTTTTTTTTCTCTTCTTTTGGCTCTGGCGGTTTATCTTGCCATTAGCCAATAGTAATAATTATTTTTTATCAATTCCTATTGAATATTTGGAATAGAATATTCACATTGTTTTTTATTCATCGACTACCTTTACAAATTTATATACTCTGTAATACGAGTATAATAATTTATTCGGAATCTGTATTTTTATTCGCACCAGTAGGATACTAACTAATTCATGGTATTTGTCGATAATTTATCTCTGGGCATTTTTGAGTGGAATATACATGTAAGACGAGATAGAAAGAAAACACATAAAAAATTATATTCTAACCTAAATAAATGTAGCAAAAATATACAATGACAATTTAAAACACATTCAAACTTAATACGAAAATAAATATTATACAAATTATAATTAAATAGTCGTAGTTAAATGAGAAATATATAATTAAGATAACCGGATGTCTAAAATTAGTAATATTTAGAAAACATCTTTTTTCAATAAATAGCACAAACTCCTTTTGACCATTATTAAAATTTTTCCAAGTGCACAATTTTTTTTTTATTGAGATAGATGCCAACGGAAACACTAAGAACGACTGAAAAATATCCGCAGCTGAAGTTGCGTGCGAATTTTGCGGATTGCGGATGAAACTTACACGTGAATTTTCCGCTGCTATACCAGGAACCGAGAACATTAAAGAGATCTCGCGCGGATGTAAAGCCCTATTTATGTAGTGATTGCCGTTTTAGTATTTTGAAATAGCTGTTTAAGACAATAAATAATATGTTATTTATTATACCAGTACCAAAATGTAAATAATGCCCTAGTTCATTTCTTTTATATTTCATTCACTTCATAAGTGAATGTAATGACGATGTATATAATCTTCGAAATATAGATATTTAATAAATCTTTAGCATTCTTACTGAACATTTAATAAATATGTGTTAATACGTACTCGTAATTCAGATTTCCCTCAATAAAATGAAAAAAAGATTTAATCTGGCAAAAATTACACATATAAATTTGCAAGTACATGTTTAGCTGTGAACAGATAATAAATAGTTGAAAGTTTATTTACTATCAATTTACTATTTACTACATAAACCGTATACCTAATTACAATTTAAATAAGATAAAAAATATGTATTACTAATTTTTTAAATCATTGTTGTAGCCATAACAATAATATTACATAAAAGAAATTGGAATACATATAAGCATTCATTTGTTTTTAATTAAGAATACCTACTAGTGAAGCCTTGTCAGTATAAAATAATTGCTTTTCAATTTTATAGAATGCACATGTGAAAGAGGTTATTTATTGATTTATGTCACGTGGTCTAAATCGTAATGCGCATGTGCGGAATTCAACACAGGTTGCTGGCGTTCATAAGTTACCAGGAGAAAATAACTGTACAGGAATGTCATTCACGTTAGATAAGGATGCTATGATAATATTTCTCCTGCTTAAAATATAGATTCCTATTGACCTATAGAAATAAAATAAATATGGTTATGCTCTTTACTCCTATTACACAATTGTTATCAGGACAGAGATAAAATATGTACAGGACTTAAAATTGCAAGGGTGTATAGGTATGAAGGTGTTTCTATTTAGATAAGGACCCTATGATGAATTACCTATCTGCTTTAAATACTGCATCCCAGATAAAACAGGAACTAAACCTATATATTTGTCATGTTTTGATTTATGGAGGTACCAATGAGTTAGATGAGAACGCATATACAAATATCGATTCGGAATTTTAAAACAAGAAGTAACATAGAATCCCATTTTAAAATAGCTAACTATAGTTTAATGGCATACCATTGGATAATTTTAATTTATAGAGTTACTAATGTGTTAGAAGAGATCACACGTACAAATGTCAATTTGAAATTTAAAAAAAAGAAAAAGATTGTCACTATTTTCGACATTTACAGAAATTCTAGTTACTGACGTTCACGAGTTACTAGGAGAACATGGTTGTATAGGAGTATTATGTCCGAGTTTCGATAAAATGTCATTTGGAAAACTTCAAAATTTTGAAATTTCTATTGTGCAATTGGAAATTTCAAAATTAGATTGGAAATTTCAAAAGTAGCTGTCTACCTTGGAAATTTCCAGTTTGGAAATTTCAATGTCTGGAAATTTCAAAGGGACCTGTGCAAAATGTACGCAGTTTGTTCACGTGATACTAGGAGAACATGGGTTCAGAGGAATGTCATTTTCATGTTTAGATAAGGATGCAATGATAATAGCGCTTCTTGCTTTAAACACAAACTCCAAATAGGCACTAAACCCTGTATATTTGTATTTGTTTGACGTATGAAAACACCAATGAATTAGAAGAGATAGCATATATGTATCTTAATTTGAAAGAACTAAAGTTATTACTAGTTTCAACTTGCTCTAAAGTCATATACACAGGTTACGGGTGTTCACGAATTACCAAGAGAACATGGATGTTTAGGAACATCATCTATGCGAATAGACAAGGATGCCATGATATACTTCTTAAAACACAGATTCCATTTGCAGTAATAGAAAGAAAATAAATATGGTTATGCTCTTTACTCGTTATGTAACTTCTCGTTGCCAGAAAGGACAGGGATAATATTTTAACAGGTTGTTAAATTGCAATATCATGCATAGGAACATCATCTATGCGAATAGACAAGGATGCCATGATATACTTCTTAAAACACAGATTCCATTTGCAGTAATAGAAAGAAAATAAATATGGTTATGCTCTTTACTCGTTATGTAACTTCTCGTAGCCAGAAAGGACAGGGATAATATTTTAACAGGTTGTTAAATTGCAATATAGTGCACGTATAAAGCGGTCTAAACCCGGCATTAAAACTGGGGAATATCCGTGCAGTGATGGGTATCGCCTGGTTTGCTTTCTAGTTCATAGTGTTTAGTGAAAATCAGGAAGGATTCACCGAGTTGACCCGCATAAACTCCTCCGATTTAGCCCATAATTTTAGTGTTGTTTGTAGACCGTTTTAAATTTAATTGGAATAAAATATTTTATCAACAAGATGTTGCACGAAGTTAACATAATTACATTGCTTGATGGTAAGTTAAAGAGGGCGGTTAATACAATTTGGTAGCATTAAAACGACTCATTCTTTATATTTATTTGATAACTTAGTGTGCTTAGGTAAGTAAATGATGATTAGTTTTCTATATTTTAATTTGAAGCATTTATTCGAAATGGAGTACATATATTATATATATAATTGCGCGATCTTTTTACAGTCATTAACAACTGTGTGACAAGCAAGTAGAAGTAAACTAAAATTCGTGACATCGTCACATTTGAAAATCTAAGTATTAAAACACAAACAATTATTTTTTTTATATTTGATAATGGTGTGGTACACCCGACTGTGCTAACGGTTTACGCTGGCAGGGCACCAGTAGAGGATGAGGTACGGTCAGTTAGACCAACGCGACAAATTTACCGAGAATTTATCACGATGGTTTCCAGGGGGAACCACGTGGAGGTCAACCTGACATGGTACATTGCTCGCAATAAGATCATCAGTCCACATTACTAACAATCAAAACTTTTTCCCCACCACAAACAATTTGAACTATTAACTAAAATCTTTAAAATATTTCCAATTTATTTACTGGTTTACTAATGAATTATAAGATATATTACGTCACACTGGAGATGTAGGAGTACCATAGTTGTGACAAGGGCGTAAGAAGAGGTTAAAATAGTAACATTAATGTGACGTATTTATCAAGTTCTACACGCCGACCACGAATTTATAATCAGTAAAAATAATACTAAGAAAATTAAAACAATAAACAGTTCCCGCGACTTTGTCCGCGTGGAATTTAACTTTATTTTTCCAAAATAAAAGTAGTAGATTTTTCTAAAATATAAGTTACTCCTTATTACATCAGCTACCTGCCAAAAAAGTCCCGTCAAAATCGGTTTAGCCATTTCAGAGATTAGCCGGAACAAACAGTCAGACAAAAAATGTTATTTTAATGTATGTATCGTATTTATATTGATATGTGGTTATTTCAATATTACAGACACTTCATTTTTATTTATATGTATAGATTAATGAAGCTTCCTTATATCTAGGACATATGTATATCAGCGATGAAAGAAAAGGACATAGAAGCGAAACTACGGCAAGTGACGAACGAGTGGTCGGTGCAAGAATTGACCTTCCAGACATTCAATAACCGTGGTGAGCTGCTCTTAAGGGGCGACACCACGGCCGAGTCTATCGGACAGTTGGAGGACAGCCTCATGATTTTAGGCTCTCTCCTGTCCAACCGGTAACTATTACTCTTATCACATACTTTTATGTAGTCGACTGGACATTCTATGGATTATTGTAAAACTGCCTGAATTATTAAAAATCTCTTTTAGATTTAGATATTGATATTTCTGGCATAACTTTAAATATTCATGAAATATAAATCATTCAATTAAAAGTATTAAAGATATCAATAGTATAATTACAATTCTTGACTGCTTCGGACCTAAATAGATATTTAACTAAAGAAATTTTGTATATAGGTAAGTCACAACGGACTGATAAAAAGATAGATTAACATTGTTATTAAAATTCACAGATACAATGCGCCATTCAGAAAACAAATACAACAATGGCTATATGACTTACAAAGCACGAACGAAATCCTGGAGAGGTGGCTGCTTGTACAGAACATGTGGGTGTATTTAGAAGCAGTGTTCGTCGGCGGCGACATTGCAAAACAGCTACCAAAGGAAGCCAAAAGGTTTTCCAAAATCGACAAGTCCTGGCAAAAGATAATGCAGCGAGCTCACGAGACACCTGGTGTGGTATCCTGCTGTGTTGGCGACGATCTCCTAAAGCAACTGTTGCCCCATCTACAAGAACAATTAGAACTCTGCCAGAAAAGTCTCAGCGGTTACTTAGAGAAAAAAAGAACGATGTTCCCGAGGTTTTTCTTCGTATCGGATCCGGCATTACTAGAGATCTTAGGTCAAGCCTCCGATTCGCATACTATTCAGAACCATTTACTATCAATATTTGATAATATTCGATACGTAAAGTTCCATGATATTGGTAAGTAAAATCAATTTTCCAAAATGCAATAAATGACATTACTTTTATAACTTTCAAGAGTTGAAGTAAAACTGAACGCTTTAAACGTAAAATCGTATCAATTATAACAACATTGGATAAAACTCCATTCTACTTGAAGCGATGATACTTTGTTAAAGACAAAACTTTTCCTAATCTTATGAATGTTATGAAAAAGGACTATTTTCTATTGGTCTAAGATATGTTTTAGGAGAGACATGCTCTCATATGTTAATGGGTAATGACAATGTTTATATGATTGTCAATATATAAATTTAGAAATCGCACTTTAACATAGCTCTTCAATAATATAATTAATCTATGTTTGGTGTAATATTATGTCGATTTATGCTTGATTTTGATGTATAACAAATGAGAACTTATAATCGTAGTCATTTCGAATAACAGATGACAGTACACCTTTCCAATAACGTATCTACTACTATACATATTGTAGTTATGCAAATTCTATCATCCCACCCCTCTTTCATTGCAATATTATTTTCATTAACCAATACTCGATTCAGTCTGATTTTTATGCGCTTGCCGCTACTGGGGCTGCGCGATTTCAATAATCTGGCGTGGTTTCCTTACGCGGGAAATTAAAATATACTTTTTTTTATTTCTGATAAATAGCAGCTATTTATATTTTATCAGAAATAATAAAAAGTAGTCCTCCTTACTAATTTCCCAATGTTTAGATTTTTCTACCGCTGTATTTATTAGCAAATAGATATCTCTTAGAGTTGATTATTAGTAATAGGTTTAGAATGGTGTATAGGGCGCATAAGGTCGACCTCCACGTGATACCCAATGTAAACAATCGCGGTCGCCATCCCATCTTCTTCCACTAACGCCCCATATTATTGTGTGCATCATTCACTCATATACATATATATCTCAGAATCGGCTACTATCTATTTTTATACCCTTAAGTGTTAAGGTTGTCCAATCCTAACATTTTTTTATTTTATTTGGACATTTTTTTTAATTATAAAATTATAATAAATTAAATTTTATAATTAAAAAATTAAAAACATTAAAAACACATTCCCTAAATTTTCACCCTTCTATTTCAAACCCCTATTTTTAATAGCGATTTTTATTGTATGGCAAAACAACGTTGTGACAAAAAACGCGTGGTCAGCCTTTATTTGTAGAAGTAATGCTTTTATGTGCACTAAAAAAATACATATGACAATTGTATTTTTTGAGGGTATCTTATATAGTTAACAATTTATGTAACGTATATAGGTATAGTTAATTTTGTTACAGATAAATTATTGTTATTCTTCACATTCTTTTCATTGGTATTGCAGAATACAATAAAATGATAGCAATAGTGTCGTCGGAAGGCGAAGAAATAAAGTTGGAGCGCCCTGTGCGAGCGGAGGGGTCGGTGGAGACGTGGCTTACGTCTCTTCTCCAGTCCGCTCAGGGTAGCCTACATTCCATCATCAGGAACGCAGTGGCCTTCATCAACGACCCTGCCTTCAATCTATTAATGTTTCTAGACAAAATGCCCGCACAGGTAAATTTACTGAAATTTATATATAACTTAATAATCATAATAACCCTGGACATTTCACACAGCGCCACCTAGTTCCAAGTTACACACACATGAGATACCCATAGCACTGTTCATGTATATAAGGAATTATTATGAATCATATCACAAAAATTAATCAATAAAAAAAATTAAAATTGCCTAGTACTGGCCCTTATTCTATAGCAATAAAAATATACAATAAATTACCCTACATAATAGAAACGAAAATAAGTATAATTAATTTATTATCAAGTTAAAATGTTGACAAATAAAACCTATTACAGGGTCAGGTCACAACATGCAGATGAGTAATATTAAAACGTCCGGCTCTCTTCCACGTTTCTATACCGGATAGGTGCACATTGTGTGTGTGAATTAATAATTGTATCATAATTGTGCAATCCAACATAAATAAATTAAAATAAAATAACTTATGGGTTGCACCTGTGCCCTTAGTTCGGCTGTCAGCCATTTTAAACACCATGCCAAGCTTCTCCAATGCCTTTAGTGTTATAATGTTATGTTATAATATTTTGAAAAGTGAATTACTACGTTTTCAATAAACAAAATGAATATTATTTTTTAAATTCTAGATCGGCCTACTCGGCATCCAAATAATTTGGACACGGGATGGTGAGCTGGCCCTGATGCAGGCAAGGCAAGACAAGAAAATAATGATGGAGACTAACAACAAGTTCCTGGAGTTACTAAACACCCTCATCGACCAAACCACGAGAGATCTCCTCAAGATTGAGCGCATCAAGTTCGAAACGCTTATCACGATACATGTCCACCAGCGGGACATTTTTGATATGCTGGTGAGTTAAACGAGTGTTAAATGAATTAATTAACTATTAATTTAAACATTATTAATTTGGATAACACAATTTTTACCTCATTGTACAAATTGTTGAAGCCTCCTTTTAAGCATAAAAATGCCTGTGTCAAGAGACTGCGGTCTTCCATGGCATATTCATATTAGTGTTTTAACTTTGTACACAATAGTGTATTATAAATATAAATTATTTTCTATATATATTTTAACTGCTTTATATAGCATGAGAATATGCGCGAGTTGAAATAAATATGACTGTTGTGTGGGAGTGTGCTTAAGTCTGTGTGTATGTGTATACGAGTGTATGTATGTGTATGCGAGTGTGTATGGTATGTGTAAAAATGTAGTTATTCCAACACAACTGTAATATATATATGTTATGGCGGACTTTTTTGGAGATATTGATATCTAAAAAACAAATATATTTTTTAGTGTCGACTGAACGTACGCTCTGCGACCGATTTCGAATGGTTAAAACAATGTCGTTTCTACTTCAAAGAAGATGCGGATAAAACTTTAATATCAGTGACAGACGTCACTTTCGCTTACCAGAACGAGTACCTCGGGTGTACTGAGAGATTGGTCATCACACCGCTGACTGACAGGTGAATATTAGGACGCCCCTATGTATAGATACATGTACCCAATTTTATATACACTATGTATATAATCTGTGCACATATTATTATTATTATTATCATCATCACTATACTTATCATTATTTGATGTCGGCACAGTATGTCGTCTTCTCCCATTAATACCTATCGGCTGTCATATCCGAGCATAATCTTTATTATAGCAAATATTATGGCAAATAGCTAGAATGTTCTAACATTTGCCACTACTTCCTCAGCTTTTTATAAGATAAAAGATAGCCCATAACCGACTTCGCAATACAATCTTTATACCAAATTTAGATAGTATAGAAAAAAGATGTTACTACATCATCTAATATTCCAATTGCAAGCAAATGGTCTCATAATAAATGATGAATTTATTGATAAATGAACTGATGAATTCGACTAATACTGATTGCATCCATATCGTTCCAGCCAAATTTAACGGTAATGCATTTTTGTACATCTTAACTATAAAGGGCTACTTAACAAACTTCAATGTCCCGTATATATATGCTATTATGTAATGAAACTGAAAATTTGTTTTTATGTATCAAACTAGCTTTTGCTTCGTTTGCGTTATTTTATATCCTTAGCGGTGGAATTTATCAAAATCCTTTCTTAGGGAATGCCTACGTCATAGTAACTTTATGCATGCAAAGTATCAGCCCGATCGGTTTAATATTGACAAAGTTTCGTACAAACTTTCATCCCCTATTTTATCCCATTGGGGGTAGAATTAATCAAAATCCTTTCTTAACGGATGCCTACGTCTTAACATCTACCTGCATGCCAAATTTCAACCCGATCCGTCCTGTGGTTTGGGCTGTGCGTTGATAGATCACTATGTCAGTCTCCTTTGAGTTATATATATTTAGATTCCTCTGAATTTAAATCTAAAATATCGAGTCCAATTTTTTTATTATATCATGGCTATTGAAAAAATATAGTATTACTATGACAAAATGTGTTAAATTGCAGATGCTACATAACGCTAGCTCAAGCTTTGGCAATGAGTATGGGAGGCGCGCCCTGTGGCCCTGCGGGGACGGGTAAAACGGAGACTGTCAAAGATATGGGCAAGACACTCGCCAAGTACGTCGTCGTATTCAATTGCTCCGATCAAATGGACTACAGGTATGAATTGTCGTACTCTGTTACTATATTCTATGATACTCCCTCTCACGCATGAGGAGTATCACAGAAGTCGTGAAGGTACTTTTTTAATATTTGTGATGCTTGTATATGTCTTCAGCATTATTTTATTATTGTCTTTAGAATATTTGACTAAATTCTGTTTTTTAAAAATTATACGGAAAATGAAAAAACAATTGTAATAAATGAATACTAAAATAAACATTTTGAAACTAGCAGTCACACATAACTGAATCTGCTTTCTTTTGAGATAAATGATTTTCAAGTATTTTATTTTAAATGTAGGTAATAAGATCTTTTCAGCCATGTAGCCGTGAATATGAAAGTGAACACTATTTTAATTTGCTAGGTATAGATTGGAGTGAATTATAATTAGTCTGAATTATTATTTCATATATTATAAACATTTATTCATTACCTAACACAAAATTGGAGGTGCCAGCATTCATAAATAAACAAAGAATTATCGACTTTTTATTCCAGAGGTTTAGGTCGGATATACAAGGGTCTGGCTCAATCTGGCTCTTGGGGTTGTTTCGACGAGTTCAACCGGATTGAGCTCCCAGTGCTGTCGGTGGCTGCGCAGCAAGTCGCCGTCGTGCTCTCAGCCAAGAAGGAAAAGAAGAAGACATTCATCTTCACTGATGGAGACACATCGGAAATGTGCCCAGAGTTTGGCATATTTATTACAATGGTAGATATTAGAGGATTTTTTTTTAACTCAGGATCATAACACCGTTTACTTTTATATCCATGTACGGGAATTTAATGAACTTATTTTTAGAGTAAAACTAACTAACAATAGTCTCGTAATTTATTTTCTTTATTTATTATTGGTGATATATGTATTAAGCTATCTGCCTAATACTTTCTCTAATATAATGTAGTTCATTCGCTATCTGATGACTTTAAAAATTTAATATTAAAATAAAATTTTTAAACTCTTATTATTAAAACATTAATAGTTAAGCAAAAATACACAGATAGATTATACATATATTAGATTATCCAGATATAAACAATTTAATAACGCCTGCTCCTTATGTAGAACCCAGGATACGCCGGCCGTAAAGAGTTGCCTGAAAATCTCAAGATCCAATTCCGCACCGTTGCTATGATGGTGCCCGATCGGCAAATCATCATACGAGTGAAACTCGCCTCCTGTGGCTTCTTAGAGAACATCACACTTGCAAGAAAATTCTACACCCTTTACAAGCTGTGTGAGGAACAACTAACTAAGCAGGTGACATTAAAATTTTATTGGAATATACCTACAGGAAAAAGAATGCGAGTTACCTCCATTTTTCTTTCGAAAGATGAAGCGGTATTTAGAAAAATCAATAACTAATAGACATGTTTTAGAGAAAGAAAACTCCTGGGTATATATCATATATAATAATTTTAATCCTATCATCCTATCACTGATGCGCCGCGCCGCTAGCGTACTGTGTATAACGTATGGCGCATAATATTATAAAAAGACGCAGGTCTTTTTATAATATTATAGTAGTGGTACGGATAATTATGATAATGATAAATAAGTAACTAAGAGTTGAATTGTTAAGCAACCGTTTGAGCTTTATTCTTATGCAGAGTAAAATAGATTCTACCACATTCTATGTATCGAACACTGTTTCTGTGGGTATTAATCATTTTTATTGCACAACATGTTTTACATTTAATTAAATTATGTAATTTATATCCTATTAAATTCAACTCTCACAACTACTATTGTTATGCGAAGGTCCATTATGACTTCGGTCTTCGCAACATTCTCTCCGTGCTCCGGACGCTCGGTGCGGTCAAACGAGTCAATTCCAAGGACAATGAAAGTACTATAGTGATGCGGGTTCTCAGGGACATGAACTTGTCTAAACTGATAGACGAGGATGAACCACTCTTCATATCGCTCGTCGCTGACCTTTTCCCGAACCAAGCGTTGGAGAAGACAACCTATACGGAGTTAGAAGAGAGTGTAAAGAAACAAGTAGCACAAACCGGGCTAATTTATCATCCACCTTGGGTCTTGAAAATCATTCAGGTAAGATTTTTACCAATTATTATGCTAATGCATTCAAATCATTCTTTTCCGGCTATATCTATAATAAATAAATTCAGTTTAAAACAAGTTCTTACATTTTCTTGCAGTTGTATGAAACACAAAGAGTCCGACACGGAATAATGACCTTAGGTCCTCCCGGAGCAGGAAAAACAACTTGTATTCATACCCTTATGAACGCACTATCTGAAACTGAAAATCCACACAAGTACATGATTATATTTAAAAAAAAATAGTTATATGTTTCCAGTTGTAATAATTAACATTTTTATTGTATAAACTTTTTAGAGAAATGCGCATGAACCCCAAATCTATAACAGCAGCTCAAATGTTCGGACGTCTGGACGTTGCCACCAACGATTGGACAGATGGAATATTTTCCGCATTATGGAGGAAGACACTAAAAATAAAAACAGGAGAGCACATATGGTTAGTTTTAGATGGACCGGTAGACAGCATATGGATTGAAAATTTGAACTCTGTCTTAGATGACAACAAAACGTTAACGTTGGCTAACGGAGATCGACTAACAATGTCACCTACATCAAAAATAATATTTGAACCCGAAAATATAGATAATGCTTCACCAGCGACAGTATCCAGAAATGGAATGGTTTATATGAGCTCCTCAGGTTTGGATTGGGACCCAGGTAAAATATTATCTTCTTATTAATAATATAGTAACTGATTATTTAGTAATCTTCTTTTTTAAATTTCAGTTCTTCGAGCTTGGTTAAATTCACGCTCGCCTTTAGAAGTAGATATATTTGGCGCATTGTTCGAAAAAACATTTCCTGTCGTATACACTTGGTGTACTCAAAACCTAGTGTTTAGTATGAAAGTCCTTCAAAGCAATATTGTGTTGCAAATGCTCAGTCTTTTAGAAGGTCTAGTTCCACCTCAAGTAGTGGAACCTGAAGAACCATCTGGATCTAAATCAGTAAACGGTGATGTAGACGATGAAGAAGAAAAAGAGAAAACAGAAGAAATTGTATTATTCACTCCTGAACACTTACACAAAATTTACGTTTTTACACTATTTTGGGGATTTGGATCGTTATTAGAAACAAACGACAGGATGCGCCTTGATTCATACATTAAGAAAAATTTCTCAGAAGTACTTGATATACCTAAACATCCCAATAATAAACCATGTATTTCTTTCGATTTTTACGTAAAGCATCCAGGTAAATGGGAGCTATGGGATGACCTAGTTATGAATTATCAGTATCCCGACACGGCTACACCAGACTATTCAACCATTTTGGTCCCCATCGTTGATAATGTGAGAATCAATTATCTTATTCATTGTATTGCTAAACAAGGAAAAGCAGTACTACTTTTAGGTGAACAAGGCTCCGCAAAAACGGTCATGATGAAAGCTTACATGAAAAATGCAAATCCAGAGCAGTTTATGGGCCGTTCATTCAATTTCTCCTCGGCTACAAGTCCGTACCAATTCCAAAAAACAATAGAGAGTTATGTAGAAAAGAGAAGTGGTATGACCTTTGGGCCGCCAGGAGGAAAGAAAATGCTGGTTTTCATAGACGATATTAATTTACCACAAATAAATGAATGGGGCGATCAAATTACAAACGAAATCGTTAGACAGACGATGAGCATGGGTGGATTTTATAGTTTGGAGAAACCAGGAGACTTTACTACAATTGTTGATATTCAATTTTTGGGCGCAATGGGACAGCCGGGTAAAAGTTTAAAACAAGATGTAATACTGTTAATAATGGGTAATGGTAAAATAATAGTAATTCTTAATGTTATATTTTACAGGTGGAGGTAGAAATGATATTCCAGCACGACTGAAACGACAGTTTGCAATATTCAACTGTCCTCTTCCAAATAACGACGCTATAGATAAGATATTTAAAGTTATTGGCGAAGGTCATTACAACGCAAAGCGAGGATTCACTATTGAAGTTAGAAATCTCATTAAGAAAGTAATACCTTTGACTAGAGAATTATGGATAAGAACTAGACAAAATTTATTACCGACCCCAGCAAAATTTCATTACGTTTTTTCTTTGAGAGATTTATCTCGAGTTTGGCAAGGTTTAGTGGGGACTTTACCTACAGTAATTGAATCGGAAAAATGTTTAATGTTATTATGGAAACACGAATGCTCTAGAGTGTTTTCAGACAGATTTACACATCAAGCTGACAAAGATTGGTTTAATAAAGCTTTATTTGATATAGCAGAGGAAATATTAGGATCTGAATATAAAAAAATGATGGAAAAAGAACCTGTATTCGTAGATTTTATGAGGTAACCTTCATCATATTCAGTTATATTTGATTTTTTTTCTAAAATGATAAATACTAAATATCTTATTACAGAGATGCACCAGAGCCTACTGGTGAAGAAGGTGAAGATGCAGATATGGAACTGCCCAAAGTATATGAGCCTGTATTTGATTACAGTGAACTACGCGAACGTTTGGACATGTTTCTTGCACAGTTTAATGAAATGGTCAGAGGATCAGGCATGGATCTCGTTTTCTTCCCTGACGCCATGTTACATTTGGTGAAAATCTCAAGGGTGATAAGGCATCCGCGAGGAAACGTCATGCTTGTAGGAGTAGGAGGCTCAGGCAAACAGTCTTTAACTAAATTATCCACGTTCATAGCTGGATACCGATCCTTTCAGATTGCTTTAACCAGATCGTACAACGTTGGCAACTTCTTAGAAGATTTAAAGCTACTGTACAGATCATGTGGAGTGCAAGGTAAAGGAACGACATTTATATTTACGGATTTGGATATAAAAGAAGAAGGTTTCCTAGAGTATTTAAATAATATTTTGTCCTCTGGTGTGATATCAAATCTATTCACGAAAGACGAACAACAAGAAATAATTTCCGAATTGACTCCAATTATGAAGCGTGAGAATCAAAAGCGAACGATAACCAATGAATTGGTGATGGAGTATTTTTTGAATAGAACATGTCAAAATTTGCATGTCGTATTGTGTTTTTCACCTGTGAGTGTTTATGTGTATATAATTCATTCATATATATACAATTATACTAGTTAATTTATTTGTTAAAATAAAGTGACTTTTCGAGTGTAATGTAACCTTCGTAATATTTTTTATAATATAATAATTCATATTTTAGGTAAGTGAAGCATTCAGATACAGGGCGATGCGGTTTCCTGCATTAATATCGGGTTGTACCATTGATTGGTTTCAACCATGGCCTAAAGACGCCCTCGTGTCGGTAGCTGATCACTTTTTAGCAGAGTTTGAAATCGAATGTACAATAGAAGTTAAAAAAGAATTAGTTACAGTTTTAGGTACGATTCAAGATGTAGTATCAAAAGTCTCCACTGAATACTTCCAAAGATTTCGGCGATCCTCACATGTTACCCCTAAATCATATCTCAGTTTCATTGGAGGATACAAAACTATCTACCAAATGAAACAGAAGGAATTAGGGGACGGAGCTTTGCGAATGGATACAGGCTTGGAAAAACTACGCGAAGCTTCGATTGCTGTGGAAGTCTTGAAGAAAGATTTATCTGTGATGGAACAAGATTTAGCGTTGGCTTCAGAGAAAGCTGGTCGTGTTTTAACAGAAGTTACTGAGAGAGCTATGCAAGCTGAAATTGTTAAAAACCAAGTCCAAATAGTAAAAGAAAAAGCTGAGGCTCTAGTAGCATATATTGCAGAAGAAAAAGAAAAAGCAGAAAGAAAATTAGAAGCAGCTAAACCAGCTTTAGAAGAAGCAGAAGCTGCTTTGAATACTATAAAACCAGCACATATTGCAACCGTACGGAAATTAGGACGACCACCACATCTTATCATGAGAATTATGGATTGCGTGTTGATACTATTCCAGAGAAGATTACATCCGCTGATACCGGATACAGCTGCACCATGTCCAAAACCATCGTGGGCTGAGTCATTAAAGGTAATAACAATTATATGTCGAATAATAGAACAACAAACAATTAAAAGATCGATAAATCAATGGCATCATCTTCATGTACCTATTGTGCTACACATTTTCCGGTCATTACAATCAATCTATCGTTTAATTTCTAATTAAAATTAGCTTCAGGTATTAAAATTGTTAGATACATAGATTATCACATTATAAATTGTTATTTACATGACTATTATGTATTTAGATGATGGCCAGCACCACATTTTTGCTTCAATTGCAAAACTATCCAAAAGATATCATCAACAATGAGATGGTGGAACATCTCGTTCCATACTTTGAAATGGAAGATTATAACATGGACACAGCTAAGCGGGTCTGCGGTGACGTTGCTGGTTTACTGTCATGGACTAAAGCTATGGCATTTTTCCACAGCGTTAATAAAGAAGTATTACCTTTAAAGGCAAACTTAATGATGCAAGAGGCTAGATTAAAGGTATAAATTTTTATCTTCCTTCTATATAATTAAATTTTATAAAGTGTATTCATATTACACTTCATATATATATGTATATTGTGGCGTAGAATACTGTATGTATGCAACATAATCTAAACTTCACATAAATTTTAGGTAGCTATGGAAGATTTAGCATCAGCAGAAAGACAACTGGAAGAACGAGAAATGTCGTTAAGAAAAGTAAAAGAACAATATGAATCCGCTGTATCTGAGAAACAGCAATTAACTGATGCAGCAAACGTGTGCTTGAGAAAAATGACTGCTGCAACTGCACTGATAAATGGTTTAGGAGGCGAAAAAATCAGATGGACCCAACAAAGTAAGGACTTCAAAGAACAACTTGGTAGGTTAGTTGGAGATGTAGTCTTAGCCACTGGATTTTTATCCTATTGTGGGCCATACAATCAAGAGTTTAGAAATAGTTTGCTCGATACATGGATGGGGATTTTAAAGAAAAAAGAGATACCTGTCACTGATAATTTGAATATTACGAACATGCTTGTTGAAAACGCGACTATTTCGGAATGGACACTGCAAGGACTTCCGAATGATGATCTATCAGTTCAAAATGCTCTGATTGTTACAAAAGCAAGTTCATATCCACTATTGGTCGATCCTCAAAGTCAAGGAAAGAATTGGATAAAAAATAAAGAAAGTACAAATGAATTACAAATTACCTCCCTAAACCACAAATATTTCCGAACCCATTTAGAAGATAGTTTATCATTAGGAAGACCATTATTAATAGAAGATGTCGGTATAGAATTGGATCCTGTAATCGACAATGTTTTAGAAAAAAACTTTATAAAATCAGGGTCAATAGAAAAAGTAATGGTAGGTGACAAGGAATGTGACGTAATGCCTGGTTTTATGCTATATATTACAACAAAATTACCTAATCCGGCATATTCGCCTGAAATTAGTGCTAAAACATCTATAATAGATTTTACTGTCACAATGAGAGGTCTTGAAGACCAGTTATTAGGTCGAGTAATACTAATGGAGAAATCTGATTTGGAAGAAGAACGTGTTGCTCTGTTTGAATCGGTAATGAAAAATCAAAGAAGTATGAAAGAATTGGAAAGTAACTTGCTTTGTCGATTGACATCTTCTGAAGGCTCCTTGGTAGATGACGAAGCCCTTATTCAAGTACTACAAATAACAAAAACTACAGCCGAAGAGGTGAACGAGAAATTAAAAGTAGCAGAAGTTACAGAGAAAAAAATTGTTAAAGCTAGAGAAGAATTTAGAGCAGTTGCAGCAAGAGGATCGATTTTATATTTTTTGATCGTCGAAATGAGTAACGTTAATTTAATGTATCAAAATTCCTTAAAACAATTTCTGACTATATTTGATAATTCCATTACTAAATCTACTAAAAGTAATGATACAGAAGAAAGAATCAATATAATTTTGAAATATTTGACGCACGAAGTTTGGGCATTTACGCTGCGTAGTTTATATGAACGACACAAGGCTTTATTTACATTGATGTTGGCTATGAAAATTGACTGTCACAGAGGCTTGATATCCCATGATGAATTTACTGCGTTTGTTAAGGGCGGGGCTTCTCTCGACCTGAATGCTGTCACTCCGAAACCGTTCAGATGGATTTTAGACATCACATGGCTGAACTTAGTAGAAATAAGTAAACTAAAAACCTTTTCAGACGTGCTCGGTAGGGTAAGTTGACTGTGCCATTCATATTTTTAATAAATACCACAATTAGCCAATGGTTTGTAATTTAATATTCATTTGTGCAGATATCGTCGAACGAGAAGGAGTGGCGTACCTGGTACGAGAAAGCCAAGCCCGAGGAAGAAGCGATACCCAGTGGGTACAACGATAGCCTCGATGTGTTTCGGAAGCTCCTCCTCATTAGATCATGGAGTCCCGATCGCACTTTGTCTCAAGCAAGAAAATATATAGTTGGTAAGTAACTGCTTGGAATACTATAAAACAAGAGGTGTATTTAGATATTTTAAAAGTTTTAGATAATTTAGATAGTTTAAAAGCAGACACTCTATTCTAACAAATAGACGACAATATGATGTACAAAGCATATGATGAATAAAATGAAATTTGATTGCTTTAAAATTTTATTAATTGATTATTAAAGAAAATAGTCAAATCATGCAGTCAATAAATTTTTATTTCCAGATTTGACTATTTTCTTTAATAATCAATTAATATACATGACTTTACCAGGGCATTTTCTAATACCACCCCATCTAATAGTAATTCATTTCATTAAAGAATATTTATATTACGTTTGACCTATTTTAAACGTGTGATAGAACGTTAAATTATTTCTTAGATATAACATATGAAACAAATGCAACTATATAGAAACAAGATAAAAATATTAAACAACTTTCCAGACTCTCTTGGTCCCGAATATGGTGAAGGTTGTATACTGAACCTGGAAGCAACGTGGGAGGAATCAGAACCACGAACCCCGCTTATCTGCATACTGTCTATCGGATCTGATCCCTCAGCACAGATTGCCGCTCTCGCCAAAGCTAAGGAAATTGGTAATAATCTAGCTTCACACTGTAGTCATTATTATTATGGCATATAAGATACATTTTTCGAGTTTGGAAAGGTAAACAAGCTGATATTAAGTAGCAACCAAAGCTTATATACACAAACAACACGACGGACCCGACATCATCATGCAACGCCCTTAGTACCCTTGCCATTCCGGAGGACTAAGGTGTTCATTTACATTTTAACAAATATATAGCTTACAAGACAAGCTGCGGGAAATTAAATAACGTATATTTTAATTGCAGTTTTAAAGGCAGTGTCTATGGGTCAAGGTCAAGAAATTGTTGCGCGCAAAATGATCTCAGACTCGATGAACGAAGGGGGCTGGGTGCTGTTACAGAATATTCACCTTTCATTACCATTCTGCGTTGAAGCTATGGATGCCCTCATCGAGACTGAACATATACAGGAGTCATTTCGCTTGTGGCTTACTACCGAAGTGCACACGGAATTCCCTATAGGCCTACTACAAATGGCCATAAAGTTCACAAACGAACCACCACAAGGAATCCGAGCAAGTATGAAAAGGACCTATCAAAACATCACACAAGACTCTCTGGACTATTCATCATTAGCGCAATGGCCACCTTTATTGTATGCCGTGGCGTTTTTGCATACGATAGTCCAAGAAAGACGAAAGTTCGGGCCTCTCGGATGGAATATTCCATATGAATTCAATCAAGCCGATTATGCTGCTAGCGTTCAATTTGTCCAAAATCATCTCGATGAAATAGACCCAAAAAAGGGTATTTCCTGGCCGACCATCTGTTATATGCTTGGCGAAGTTCAGTATGGTGGTCGTGTCACTGACGATTTTGATAAACGATTACTCACAACTTTCACAAATGTATGGTTCTGCGACGTACTTCTGAGGCCTGGATTTGAATTTTATAAAGGCTACAAAGTACCCCAGACGCGAAATTTACAAGGTTATGTGGATTATATAAATCAATTGCCCTTAACGGATACCCCGGAAGTGTTCGGTTTACACGGCAACGCTGACATAACGTTTCAAATCAATAGTGCTAAAGACATATTGGATACTATTTTAAGCGTACAACCGAAAGAGGGTGGAAGTCAAGGCGGAGAGACCAGAGAAAGTATCGTTTATCGTTTAGCCGAAGACATGTTAGAAAAATTGCCAAAACAGTACGTTAGTTTCGAAGTAAAGGAAGCTTTACAGAAGATGGGTGCATTTCTCCCTATGAATATCTTTTTGAGGTATGTTTTATATGTACATATAATAGTTGAACCATTGTAGATATTATCTCTGCTTAATAATTCATATATAATTTTAGACAGGAGATAGACAGAATTCAGCGAGTAATCAAGACGGTTCACTCAACGCTGTGCGATCTAAAACTAGCGATTGATGGAACTATTGTGATGAGCCAGGGGCTCCGAGAGTCCCTTGATGCCATGTACGACGCCCGTATTCCACAGAAATGGTTGAAGGTAATAATAATATTCAACATTAATTAAAGTTAGCAATACATACTAAACGATCAATATAGAAAATATATCTCTACATGGATCATTACCCTATAGTATTACCAAATTCATCTAAGTTAATGTTAATACCGGCATTTTTTTACATATAGATACCTAAAAATGTCGTAAAATTATAATGAGCCATAATTTTTCTATTTATATCAATTATAGTTGATATACTTAAATAGAAAAATGTTGACTAGGAAATCACATACAATATCCCTCAAAAAGATTAAATAATTATTTTTATGAATATTTTGCAGTACGCCACCTTATTAATTATTGTATTGTAGTGGATAGCATTGTATATCTGCAGGTATATTTTTTTTTATTCCTGATTATTGTCAATAGATATCGTCAACAAATGTACACGCGGACACAACTATTTGATAATGTAATAATAATAAAGTTTATATTGGTATCTGTAGGTGTCGTGGGAGTCGGCTACACTAGGCTTCTGGTACACAGAGCTGCTTGAACGTGAGCAACAATACCGCATATGGCTACGAAACGGCAGACCTAGCACGTTTTGGATGACCGGCTTCTTCAACCCACAGGGATTTCTCACCGCTATGAGACAAGTACCCATAATATTATATTTAATCATAGACAACAGTAAATAAAACATTTTGATATTAGTTTAAAATATTCTAAATTACAACAACTTATGCTGACTGTTGTATTACATTTGCGCTCATAATATTGATGCATTTAATTTTTTGCACAAGAATAATCACAGATCAGCTAACACATTATAAGAGTTCTATATATGAGAGCGAGAGAGATCTCATATAAAAACAAAGATACAAATTATCTTAGTAGTAAAAAATCTGAGACTTATTATTATTAATCACAAACAGTATTAGTAACTTTGTTTAACGCAGATCTTCCATGTAATTTCTGAGTGCATACTGTAACTACATACTTGTCTATTTCTAGGAAGTGACACGTAGTCACAAAGGTTGGGCACTCGATTCGGTGGTATTGCAAAATCTTATCACCAAACTTAACAGAGAGGACGTACATGAAGGGCCAGCGGAAGGTGTTTACGTTTACGGACTGTTCCTTGAAGGTAAGTAAGGTCTTGTACCTAAATTATGATTGTTCCAAACTAAAAACAAAACGTCCTTAGGCACATGTTAAGTTTAAATTTATATATATGTGTTACATTTAAATATGTTTGTGGCATCATTTTATCATTCTCTCTATAGGTTTATCGAAAAAGTTTAAGTTTCGTACAAGTTACAGATAATAAAAACGGATGAAAGTATCGTTAATTAGAAAATTATTGTTGATTAAATTCTAAATTCAACTGTTAAAACAAATGTTCACGAAAGTTCTAGAAGATACATTACTGTACCTACTGTCTATTCATTTCCAGGAGCATCATTGGACCGGAAGACGGGTAAACTCATTGAATCCAAGCCCAAAGTACTTTACGAGCAGATGCCTGTCATCTACATATTCGCAATCAACACTACAGCTGGAAAGGACCCTCGCCTTTACGAGTGTCCTATATACAGAAAGCCACAAAGGACCGATGCCAAATATGTGGGGTCAATTGATTTCGAGACGGACAGTAACCCACGACACTGGACGTTAAGAGGAGTGGCGCTCTTGTGCGATATCAAGTAGATGAAAGAAGAGTATAATTATGTTCTTCTCTTAGAACATGTTGGAATGGGTATAGGTCTCTGCGAAGTTGGACCTTTGAAAATTGACACCCCAGGATCGGGCAAACTTTATTAGAAGCTCTACATCTGCACTAATATATTGTGCTTTCTATAACCACTTGCAACAGGAATGAAAAGTGGGCAGGACGAATTATCTCGATAGATGTCTACGCTAACCCTATAAGGGCTACAGTAATAGAGACATGTGAAGATTGAATATAAATTTCTTATTAGTTGGGATCATTCAAATATTCGCTTTACCCTATAGTTGCAAAAAATACACGTCTTTGACTTTGAGACACTTCTTTAACTCAACTATGCGTGATTTCATTTTGCAAGCTTAAGTACCATTTTAAATTTTGAAGTGTAGGTACATATTTAGATGAATCCTTAAAATGCAATTGAAGCATCTTCCATTTCTTAATGCATATGCATGAATCCTCAAAATACAATTGAGGCAACTTCCATTTCTGAATGCATATGCATGTTCCTTCTAAATATAATTGAAGCAACTTCCACTTCTGAATTTAAAGTACACGAGTACTTCCCAGCTGATCTGTAACTCCACAATATATTCTGGTATTAAAACATATTCACAGATTTATTTTAGAAAAGTTTACTTGTGTATCACACTTATATTTAATTAAAAAAAAACATTGTTTCTTTCCTCTTCGAAGGAAATCTATGAAGCACAGTCAGACCAACAAAATTTACAAGTATTATTAATTATAATACTTATCTATGCAAGTACGGAATATATTCAACATAATATTCATTTAATAGACCTATTCACATATCCACATATACGCATCCTTCGTAACCCATCTTGTCGTTTATCTAAGACAGTACATTCTCATATATATGGGGTAGGCAGATATACAAACTCATAGATACAGATCGCTACCTGCACATTTTTATCAATCACGCCAGGTAGGTACTTATTAGTACTAGAAGAAAAGAATAAATATGTTTCATCTGCTCACTGTCGTTATTTTTTATACCCTTCCTATTATTATAATAGTGTAGGTATAATAGTAAGTAACCCACAGTGGTGTGCTGGTGGTAAACCACTAGACCATAGAAGCCGTCTAACGCACATGAGAACAAGTCTCAATTTTTTTATAGTTTACATAAGTTTTGTATAGGTATTGCTATCTAAAAATTAAACGAATGGCACATTACGAAATAAAAATGTATTAAATAATTATGAAACAACAAAGAAAACTCTATAATGCACCTTCTTAAAAAATATATAAGTAGATATATAGTACACACAAAGTATAAATAGTAAAATAAATTAACACAAAGTCACCGCGCAAAGTCATATGTACAGTATTTTTAGGTTAACATATGAAATCCTAAAAATACCACATCGTAAAGACCATAACCATAACATACTAAATAATAAGTTTATGGAACGAGACACTCAATTACATAAACAAACAAGTTTTTTTCCTTTGGTGTTGAGTCGTAAGTAGTCTACAATCAAGAGAAGAACTGGAACACAACTCTAGAAAATGAAACTTGTGCAGAAAAAAATCTTTTACTTGACACCTGTACTGCGCAAGTCAAATGGTACTACAATATTTTACAATTGTGTTGTATTAAAGCCATTGAACTGTCTGCTCATCACGCTACCATTGAATATAATGTTCTAAAGCACTTTCTTTATTTCATCATATAAAACCAGAACGAATGCTCCGCCAGTGCCTCTCAGTACATTCGAAAAAGCACCCTTGAAGAATGCGCCGATACCTTCGGTTCGGAAAATGGTCGCCCAACAGTGTAGTGTATTTTTATATAGGCGTTCCTGAGCTGGCCGACCTGACTGCATCATCATACGCCTCCTCACTGTATCTAATGGGTACGATGTGATCCCAGCCAATGTTGTCACGGACTGGAATGCAAACAAAACATTATGAAGGCGCCAATTATTTGCACAGACTATAGTCTGTGTCTAAACCTGTTCGTATGAGACAGATATATCATAATATAACAGATAAGTCTATACTTATCTTATTTGGGAGAAAAAGCGAAGGAAATATTTGCTTAGCTTAAATTTTAAAGTGATAAAATAACTGTAATTTAAGTACAGTAGGACCTACGCGGTAGATCTGGAATAGTTCTTTGGTTTGCTTATATATACCTAGATACTATTTTATGAAACAAATTCGACAGCGAGGAATCTGCAAATTAGTTCTCGTAATTCATCTTTGTAAACACTCATTGGAACTAGTTCGTTAAGACTATACAACAGCTTATCCAGTGCTCTTGTTTTTTGGTGTCTTTGGCTACCCTTAGATAACGTATATCAGCAATAAAATACCTGTGCAATAAGCCAAGTGATGAGCAACGGCGTGTTCTTCGGATCTGGCAGCATATCACGCGCCGTGTCATAAAACCCGAAGTATGTAGCGCGGTAGATGATGATGCCTTGCACAGAAACTATAAATCCTCGGTAGAGACCAATAGGACCGTCAGACTTCAATGTCTTCAATAAACAATCAATCAAGCCATTAAACTCTTTATCTTTTCCTTTACCAACATCCGCAGCCAATCTGTAATAATATTGTTTAACAAACAGGTTACATTGCTCCGTATGGAAAAATACTATTAGCTTAGTGGCCGAAGTTCGACCATATTTTATATAAATTATAATTTTGAACTTATTAAGGAAATAAACAAAAGGGTATATAGTGTGTGTCAAATAGGTGCTAATCAGTGTAATGTTTGTTTACTGATTTAACTTTTTTATGCTTAATTCTAAACAAATATGAGCTATAGAGAAGAGAACAAACTATTTTTATATATACTATATAAAATATATAATTTTATATAAACTGCGTTTATAATATTAGTAGATAAGAAGTAAGATAAGTGTGCGAAATTTCATACTCGTCTGTCCGTGTAATTTTCGTAAAAAGCTATATATACCAACTAATATAAAAATAAATATAAAAAAATATTATTATTTTACCTAGTTCGTGCAAAATCCAAAGGATACACGAAACATAGCGAGGTCGCTCCTGCGGCTCCCCCCGAAGCTAAGTTACCAGCAAAATATCTCCAAAATTGAGTATTTTTGTTAACCCCTTCAAGAAACATGCCCTTGTAGACGTCCTTAAAGGCGAAATTAAGCGCCTGTGTAGGGAAGTATCGGATAACATTTGCAAGATTTCCTCGCCAGAATGATGATATCCCTTGTTCCTTAGGTATTCGAATAAACGCGTCCACAATACCTGCAAAATATACAGACTTGATCACACTAATATTCTTGTACACAGACATCAGTACCACTCTTAGTCTTTGGCCGCTATAACAAGCCTTGCAAACTGTGTTCCAATGTGAAGGGAATTGTTTCAATCATAGGATTGGGAAACATAACTATTACTAGTTCTGGAGAATGACGGCAAATAATGGATTGACGACACAAACCGCGTGATGTCGAACGATTTAGTACACTGTCTTATTTCTGGCTCGATTCCTAACACAGTACCTACAGACACTTGAATTCACGTGGATGATTATTTATTATCGGTCTAAGTGTTTTCTATATATCTATTTACAAATATATACCTACTATATTTCTATTAGTTGTCTATTACCGTAACACAAGTTCTGCATAGATTGAGACTAAGTTGCACTGTATGTATGCCAAAAAATAAGCATTGCTTGCTTACCACTTATCACTTTTCACTTTTCACAATACTTAACAGCATATTTGCTATATCTTAAAAAAAATCTATAGTGCAATTTCTTAATATATGTTACCTTTATATCGTTTATCTGCAGCAATTTGTTTCGATACGTGTTGAACTTGCAAAATTAGTTTCACTCGTTCTATAGGAGCCACAGCTGTTTTGGAAACTGCGGCCGATATTCCGCCCGCGATGAAATCTTTCATAAACGCACTACTATCGTGCCCCTTGTCTTCTTTCCCTTTCTTTTTATCTTTATCAGACATTTCTATAGAAAGTTCTTGAAGACGTCTTAAATTTATAACTACGACTAACCACGGCAACTGATCTCAGCGGTTGGAAACATTTTTACAGTTTTTGGCTCCTCTCTTGGTAAAAGTCTAGTAATTGCACTAGTAATAAGAAAAATAACATAAGCTCCTTCTGTAAAATTTGCTTGGCTTCTGTAAAACTGTTGACTTTTGTGCAGATATTACAAAAGAAGTACGTTTCGAGTTTGAATTTGGAAAAATATAAGAAGTTTCGATGAAACATCAATTTATGCACCAGCGATATCATGTTAGAAAATTGAAAAAAAGAAAAGAAATATATAGTACCTATATTATCCCGATGGTATTCAGCATTCTACGTCATAGTAAATGCAGCAGTTATCATTCCTACTTTTCGCTGGTTGTTTTGAAACTAAAGCGCCTATTACCACATTGAATGAATAATTAGTGAGTTATTACTCAAGTAATTAATTTAATTAGTAGCCGTAACATGTATTAATAAAATTAATGTTTGTTATTTCATCGGTATTCCCTTAAAATATAAGTTCATATAACTATAAAAACTTCTAATTTGAACAGTATAGTAGTTTGTATAATATTTTTTATTCTACAGCTCATTTAGAAACACTCCTCACAAGAACGAACAAATAATTTGTATTATTCATTTAAACAAGAGTTGCCGAAGATTGCATATTTGATTTTGTGTGAATCCGTTATATAACAACTTTGACAAAAGTAAATAAATATAACAGCTTGAGTAACAAAATAAATGGCATGGTTATCAAAGCCCCCTCCGATCGATCTCCCGTCCAATTCAAACGGGGATCGATATTACTACGGCCTGAGCCAAGGTTTGAACCCCTATTGGTGCCCTCATACTGAAGTCGTATCCGTCAGACAGGAGTTGATCTTCAGCCGCTCCATAAGTCCTTCCGCGGGTTTGGGATGCCGTCTGCACTCGCCCCCTAACGTCCGGTGTAGCTGTAAAGGCCAGCTGCGCCCTACAGCATTAGAGTAGTCCGAAAAAAAAAATGCAGCCCCGTCCATACATGCAACACCCGTTCACATCTATAAGAGTTATTAATTTAGCTACTATTAACACTCAACAACTTTAGCTTACCGACACAATCACTTTAATATTAATCAATCAGTCATTTTAAAATTAAAATTTGGGGGAATAGTGACCACTAGCATAATATGTTATTACAATTTTATCCAAAGCAAATAGTCTAATTAGTGTTTATAACCTGAATAGACCAGTCCCCATAAGCAGTACCCGTTCCCACGAGTATAACGGATGAACCAGCCATTATAACTTCAGATTTCACTCTCATTCACATTATAAGTGATCAAGTAGTGGTGACGCGATAAATGCGATTCCAACTTAAAAAAATAATACGAGAGCCGGCGCCAGGCTTACCCTCACTAGAGTTAAATTCCAATATACCTACACAGCAAAATATGAGCTTGTCCAATATTGCGTTCACCATCAAGTTTAGATTTGGCAATTTTTTTTATTACCATCTGATAGAACAGTCTTGAAGGTATATTTATTACAATGCACTTACGACATTAGTAAAAAATGTATATATGTAAGCACAAAAACAAGAGGATAAAACATAACTGTAACTTTATTAAAATATGTTTCTGACCTTAAAATGTTAAGAAAGAAAACTTCAGTAATTGTAGTTGTATTGAATGTTTAATAGGTTTGGAAAAAAATATTTCAATCAAGCGTAATTGCGTTATTAATATTATAGTATAACAAATCGACAAGGAGTGTATGATTATTGATTACAAACAGATGCCAAATCGAAGGCGAACTTAAATTTTACCTTACTTTTATAATAATAAAGATATCCACGACACTGCAGATCAATTCTGTCAACAGAATTATATGCAATATCGTGTATATCTTTTATATATATTTATACATAAAAATTCAATATGGTAATAAATATTCCCCGCTTTTTTAATTAAAGATGTGACCGACCTAAGTGGGTTTTATAATGAAAAACAAATTTCTATTTGCTTTTAACTCCACTTACTTTATGGGTTTCATGCCCTTAAATTAAGTTTAGCTAAAAGAGCATTATTAAAAGTTATTATTTGTATTAATTTAATAATTCATTACTAAATCATATTTAGAATTTTTATACTAAAGAAACTTATATTTACTTCAATAAAAAGTAATAATGTAGATTTATGAGCGATTTTAAATATTTAGTAATAAAGAAGATGGTGAGCAGTAAAGTGCTGAAATATAAACCGAGCCAGAACTTGCGATACAGCTCCGAAATAAAATATTATTGAGAACGAAGCGTGATTTTTCTTCTATTTAAGATTTTTTATCAATTCACCTAAGGCATTGCATTAAATTCTAGCTATTAAATTATGCTAAATACAAGTAAACCTTTCGTTATATAAGTATATGACAACTCGTAAAATAATTTATAATGGTACCTTCGATCAATACACTCTGCACACGAGTCATATAGCCGTAAATGATGATTAGTCATATTACACACGCTAAATAAATTTATTCGACACCTAACATTTATATTACTGAAATAGTTAATCGGGCTTACGATCGGACCAACTATTTTAATAATATCACGAATAATTTTATGGTAAATAATGTACCTCTCTTGAGAGATATTAATATAATATGTAATGTAATGTGTAATAAATACAATGTGTACTAAAATCGTTTAAAAATATTTTTTATATAGCGTTAACATTTAAATACTACTTATCTATGGTTGTGTATATGTTTTTTTTAAAGGTTACATGTCTTGTGATTCATTGCAAAAACAACTTTTGCAGTATCTCTACGTACTCAATATTAATCTACAATGGAGACTAGGCAGTAGTGATGTGCATGTTACTAAGGCAACTCATCTATCAGGCATTACTAATATCTAGCTGAAAACTAGCTAATAACAACTATTATTATATTCATCACTATCAAATTTAATTGTCATAATTTATTAAGAGGTAGGACTCAGTTTAGACGTTTGTATCATTTATACATATACTTACATATCCCTTCTTCTTCTTCATTAGTCTTTCGAGTATGTTTATTGCTATTGTCATTATCTAGTCTGTGCTATAATATGCAAACAACATTGATACCAAACCTATTAGCGTTGAATTTTAACAGTGCTCATAAGTGAATCACTAATTATTAGGACACAGGGAATAATTGGAAATCTTCTAAGCGCTTGTAAAAACCAATAACTAATCTAAAGTAACTATTACTAACATGGTAATATTACGTTGTGGTTTAGTTAGTCCATGATTTCCAACAACTGTAACTGAAATTTGGGGCACCTGTATATGTTACCTTATTAAGCTTATACAGATATAATAAAAGATAATAAAAAAAACTATAACAAAATTAAGCAGTTACATTACATTCGCTAAGAGGGTAACTTAGAAGCAATAATATTCATAATATAAATAATAATAAAAAAAATCTTTTACAACGCATTCCTTTCTTTGCATAGATATACAGCACAATTTACTTACTGACCCACTGGCCACGATCAGTCGTAGTCTATCTAAATCTGATGCTACTACTAATTTTCTTGCGAACTACGCCTACACGTTTTATTAAATCTATATTTTCTTCATAACATCGGCACTAATTTTAACAATTTTTTCTATCAAATTCATGTATATATAATTGGAGTCATAAAACATCTTCTATATTAATTCATAACAGATAATTGCTTATTATTCCTTATTTTAACAAAACTAAGCGTTACTACGTTAAAGCCTTAATTTGCTTTGCTATTACATCTAATATAAGTTTCATCAATCAATGATATTACATTTTATTTCCCATTTTTATAATAACCATCATGAATATATAATATTTCTCTTTATTATGCTTATTACTTTGGCTAAAATATTAAATGTGTTAAGGCCGTACGAACTAACGCCATCTTGTATTATGTCAACTTGTGGTCTTTCATAAAGAACATTATTTCAAAATCTACTAATTACTAAATTTTATTAACTATATTTATTGCTAAATAGTTTGTATAGTGGTAACACGTTGTGATGTTGTAGAGATTATTATATAGAATTTTAAATATTTGTCAATGATTTTTTTTATATTTATTCCTATAGGATAATTATATAATATGTAAAAGATACTACCCGTCACCCTATAGCACGGTGCTTCTGAAATTTGACGTTATAACACCTTTTAAAAATAAGCAGTATAAATACTGCGTGATAATCATGGATTCAAAATCAATCTTTTTAGATTCATTTTGTGTGAATATATCACATACATTGCGATTAATCCCGAGTGATAATGTTCCAATTAATTAATAAGATAAATACTGTGAACATTTTTTTAAATCACTTTCAATATATAACTGTCATCCACACTGTGCTATAATGCACGTATAGTATAACAATAATTCGTATAATTCTAATAGATTTTGAAATATGCCAGCAAATTAATGTTATATAATAATTATTAAGACCCACAATCACTCTTATTACATATAGGTAAATTTAGTTTAAAAACACCAACAAAAACCGATTGCTATATTTAAGACAAACCGTGTTATTACGTAACAAGACGTTTATAACTATATCTCAAGTAGGCAACTTAAGGAATCACAATCCTACATCTGTTGATCACAAACTTGTTACGACTATCTCCGTTGACGCCTCACTTATAAACGTAAATGTGATGATACCTCGCAGCTGCATTAGAACAAAATTACAGGACCTATCAGACGTCACTTATTTTCTGATGAACAAAATGGGTATGATTCGAGTAGTGCTATTATTATGTATATATAATAATTACACTACACAATCATACATATTTTGTTTATCAAAAAATTAAGCCTAGCAGCCCTGGGGCTGTTTTTACCAATTTAGTACCAAGATCCCAGGATCTTGGTACTAGAACAAATAATGCATAATTCTATATAGGTCCGCGTACACAACAAACATAAACATATGACGCTTTTTTGTTAATTCAGCATAAATTGGGAATGCGAAATCAAGAATCATTCGTATCCATTCAAAAAATTCAAGCATATGACCACTCTTAAATAAGTTATATTTACCTAAATGCAGACTACACATCTTCCGTAATTCATTATTAAGTAAGTAATTGCGTTATATTTCATAATAAACTGCCAGAATCTGCTCTAAATCTGACAGAGGCAATTCAAAGTCTTATATTAAATAATTTTTGTGTAAAAGAAGCCTATAGTCATACATGACAACTATTTATCTAGTAAAAAAATATTTTATTTGCATAGAACGTACTAGTTTATTTTTTTTATTGCTTTCCTGATTTACTTGAGAAATATGAAAGCATAGCGTTTTTTGTATTGATTGCCGCATGCATTCATAAGTAAAATGTGAATACTATAACTAAGTCACGAGTAAGCAATAAGTAATTTTAAGTAGCTATTTTTGTAGTATTAAGTAGCTATAATCATGCTCACATCCAGTCATGTTCATGTCCAGACATGTGACGGTGTGGTGGGCGGGGTCATTGAACTCCCTAAAATATGATCAAGCGCAGTGATGAGTTGCTCGTCCGTTATATTCGTGAACGAGTGCTGCTTGTATGGACTGGTCTGCTCTAATCACTAAGACTGATTTATTTTGTTACTAAACCAGTTGGTTGTGTATTTAATATTTTGACTAAATTCACAGTGTTGTAAAATATTGTAATATGCCATTCTTTCTGTACATATAAAATATACATAATAATAATAATAATAAAATACAGTCCTTTCGATGTCACAGATGTGATAACAATAGTAATATTGATATATAAGGCTGCATAAGACACGTAATACACACAATAAAATATTGAGTTTATATTATTATTGCTAGAATATTTTACATCAAATATAATAATATAGCTTCAATATAGTCCAAAATGAAATCAATTACAATTTACAAGACAAGATTATATTAGACCTCTGGAACTTACTACTGCTTAATTACACATTTTCTTTTCCCGATATTTTCATAATTACAAGGCAGAGGAATGTTAAATTGGTATTCCATATTATTCTCATTTAATGAATCATTTTTTTTCTAAATGTATGACATAATATAAATAAAGAAAAATATGTGTATATAGACGTTTTTTTCGACAGCAGAACTTAGAAGACTGGTTCTAGTGATATTATTGCTAGATATACAAATTACATATAAAAGCTAGATAATACTGGGTCGATAAATATTAGTCTGTATTTTGTATGGGTTTGTTATTAACTGTATTATTAATTACCCATTGCTGGCCGAAATAAAGGATTTTTATACCACAGATCGATTTTTACAAGTGAATTTAACATAAATGTATAGGTATTACAAGATACGAACTACACGCTTGTCCCCTGTGCTATAAAAAAAAACAAAAACTGGAGAACTACTTGTGGTGAATTGTGTAGGCGTCCGGTACAGAGATAGTCGCTTGTTATATACTAAATGTAAGTTAAGTATTCGACTATTTGCGTATTTTGGCCGCAATGTCAGCGTTCTCCTTCAGGATCTTGGATTTCAGATGATCCTTGTATTTCAGGATGCCTCCCTCCCATTTTGTGACTGCACCATTTTCACAAATCCAAATTTCTTCTGCTACCTGTATTTAAATTACAATTATTTATTTCTGAGACCATTCTGGCTTAATGATTTAGTTCCCCGTCTCAGAGAGCGTAAGGTCAAATTTAAATTATCCCGTTAAATTACGAGGATAAAAGGCAAGACATCTTAATCTTAATACTCCGAAATGGTAAAGCATTACATGATAATGTGAAGACCATAGTGCTGTTCACTTATATAAGTGATTCGTAACTGTTGCTTATATAAGCAACAGTTACCACTGAACATTAAGTGAGCCATCAGTTCCGTTGTCATTGCAATTACATAAAAAAACAACTTACCTGGTTTATGAGCCTGAAGTCGTGGCTAACAAGCACCATGCCGCCCTCGAAGTCGTTGATGGCGTCTGCGAGCGCATCGATGGTCTCCATATCGAGATGGTTAGTGGGTTCGTCCATGAGAAGCAAATGAGGCGTTTGCCACGCGAGCCAAGCGAATACAACGCGGCATCGCTGCCCGTCGGACAACTGTCGCATTGGGCAGACCTGTAAATTGTTAGTGATTGTTTATTATTTATTTTATTTAGTACTCTTTATTGCGCTTTATAAACATAAAAAAGGAAAACAGAATATGTAAAGTACGTATGTACAAAAGGCGGTCTTATCGCTTAAGCGATCTCTTCCATACACAAACATTGGCTAGAGGTGCAAAGAAAGAAAGGAAAATATACAATTTAATACAACAGGGATGTACCTATAGTAGGCTACGGTAACCGTTCACCATCAGATGAGCCGTATGCATGTTTGCCGCCATTGTAGTATAAAAAGTAAGTTTAAATAACAAAAAATAAAATATTTGTATATTAGTTTTTAGAAATACAACACCACATCTGGATTGCAAATTCAAATGAAGAATGGGTAATAATCTCAATGATGGGTCTATTGATAAAATCATCTTATATTTTGTATGAATATTATACACTTTTTTTGTGTGTGGCCACATTAATTGCTGTAATCTTATTTTCCTATCACATAGTCCTTTATATATAATAATGACGATGCATATATATCGATTTTCTGTAATTGTAAACACACTTTCTCACACACAATTACTAATCTATATTTTACTTTCTTCCTATGTTTCTTAAGATATACTACACACCATTAAACTTAAACAATAAATTCTCAATAAGCTGCTTCACTCAAGTGAATATATGATTTACTTACGAGACCATCTTGATAAAAATTAAATTATTAGCAGTCAACTAAATAGAACAGAATGAAAATGAAATGTAATTAATATTAATTTCCGAAACTCTATTAAGAAATTGCAAAACGCTAACTACATAGGTAATGTCAAATATGTCTCTGGGATAAAAAAAGACTATAGTTAGAGTATAATCATTTGATGCAGCGTATATGTAGCTAATGGATCCATTGTTACCTGTTGCCGGCCAGTGAGTCCGTATCTGCCTATAATCTTCCTCATCTCTTCACGCTCGCGCACCTCGGGGAACTCCTTCATCATGTATTCCAGCGGCGAGAGGTCAAGGTCGAGCAGCTCGTGTAGATGCTGATGGTACCGTCCTATGCGCAGGTGAGAATTCTTACGGATCATGCCCGTTGATGGTACCAACTAATAAAATTAATAATTTGACATAAAAATTTACATAAATTATAATTTATCTTTCAGTGCAAAATATAAAATATATGGATCATAATTGAAATAAACTCATTTGCCACCATTTGTAGTATAAAAAAAATTGATTAAATTTGTTTACTTCAGTATAAATTCAATCTTTGTGTCATCACAAGGTAGGTTTTGTAAAAATTCACCCGTATGAGAACGTCAGCCAAACAGCTATTTTTCTAAGATAATTCAGTTAAAGGATAAGATAACACAATGTAATTACAGGATAAGAGACATGAACTGAGTTCTCAAGAAATGATACCCATGAATAGTATCAAAGGAGCCACATGTTAACGAAATGTATGTAATGTTGTTGGTTTGCCATTACAATAATATACAAAACACTTAAATATATCTTCTCCACCGATTTCGTAAGGAATTATTATATTGCTTAAAATAATGACATAATGGCATAGCGTCCAAAAAAATGGAAGCATAAATGGATCATTTTAATATGGTTGAAAAATTTGTTCAATCTGAACAACAGAAAATATTTTACATTATTCTGTACACACTGCAGTACAGTAAATATAGTAACCTAGCTGAGCCCGCGGTTTCACCCGCATGAAATTTATTCCCTGTGTAGATTATTCAGATGAATAAACTTTATTACAAGTAAAACTTCATCCATACCATTTAGTAGTTTTTGCGTGAAAGAGTAACAAACATTCATCCATACTTTTTTTTTCGGACTACTCTAATGCTGTTCGCCGCAGCTGGCCTTTACAGCGTCACCGGACGATAGAGGGTGACTAACGGAAGAAAACGCAAATGGCACTCTATCTATCTATTAGTATATAGTATTAGTAAGATTGACTACAAATACAAGAAAAACACTTTCCGGGATATTGGAATTATCTTTTTTTTAAGATTTAGTATTAATAATTAATGTTAACTACAACCGTGCAAATACCAATATCACCTAACTTATGTTTCTGCAAATTGTTCTAATAGAAAATTCTTTATATTTGCATTGAGATATAATGTAAATAATTCTATTATTAAGATGTATATTATGGTAAGAAAAATACATACATCACCATATAATAATTTGAGTAGTGTCGACTTGCCAGCTCCATTGGGGCCTACGAGCGCCAGTCGAGTGTCCAGATCAATACCGAACTCGAGGTTCTTATAGATCCAGGGACTACTGTCAGTATATCTAAAGGCTACATTCTGTAACAAATTTATACAATTATGTAAAAACAGGCATATAAATTGCGTGCGGAACAATTATAAAATAAATGTACTGGTTTATTATTAGGAGACAATTACAAATTATCATCATTCTAAGTCCCGTCTTATTTATATTTTCCAATACTATTTTGCATATATTACTAACGGAAGCAAAAACTTTGTGCCCCGTCGCACACTTATATTTTATATAAAGGTGTGCTAAATGTTTTATAATGTTAATATTTTTTTTTAGACAACAATAAATACATTAAACCAATAAAAATCGTTACACACTACCATTTGACAGTATTTGACACACATACACATAAAATTACTTTGAAAATAGAAACTTATTAATTTTCAAACATCTAATATAAATTAATTAATATTTATTATTATTTTATTTTCTTCGACTAGCAACACCAACGACAGTTGTCATTATCAGCTGGCCGAAATAAATAAATAATTTTTAATAGTCTATCACATAAATATTATAGTTTCGATATAGTTATTAGTGATTTAATAGTGCAATAAGTGTCGATATTATATGTGTACAATTTGCAAAAATCGACATTAAAAATATGGTACCATCCATCTGTCAAACTTCTATCGTTGGTAAATAACTAAATTAATATTTATAACTATTTTATAAGTAAGAAGTATTGAATTTTATAGTTGTTGTAAGCTTTGAACAAAATTGTCCGCGCTAGCCTCCAAGCAGCTTGCTTTGTAAGCTTATTTCGGTGACATATGGAAGAGAAATTACATTCATGACTATCTATCTGTCTTAGAATCACACAATCTTGTGAGGCTGTCAAAATTGGTAATCAGACCCTTATGGAGAGATAACCGAAATAGATATACATACCTGAACCATAATAACTGGCGGAGGTACTTTCCCGCACGAAGGGAAATAGAAGTTGAGCGTCTTGTCGTCGACCACCTTTTCCGTGAGGCCCTGAGCGATCATCTTGGCTAATGTCTTCTCCTTGGATTGAGCCTGTCGCGCCAACTTTGCGGAACCGTGACCAAACCTTGCTATGTAATTCTATAGGACAATTTTACAAGAATTACATTAGTTACATGAAATTTATTTAAAACTAGCTGTACACGTACATAACTTCGTCCGCGTGGAATTTAACTTTATTATAATCTTAAATAGTCAATTTAAAATTGTATGCCACGCTAACCCATTAGGGCCGTGTAGCACCATCTACTCTCTCTCTAATAAGACAATGACTAAAATACCAATAACTAATAACAAACTCAAACATTTACACTCACATATGCTACAATGTGCTACTTTTATTTATTTATTTAATACTACCACAGATAATATAATATTACATACAGATACCCCATCCCATACAAGAAAATGGTTCCTTCCTAACTCGGGCTATTCTTCGGGCTATTTTATTTCGCCGCCGTAGGCGCTAGATGTCGCTATATCTGAAGCAGTTCGGATTACTAGTGGGTGATTAGTAATAAAGCATGAAAATAGATGGCAGAGAATTCGGTCTACATGACATCTGTTTTGCAAAGATACGTACATAATAGATATATAACTGTATCGAACTCCTGATTGGGTACAATCGAAAATTCAATGTAGGTATAATATTGTTCGCTGACAGTCTACAGACACGGCTAATGTACCTATGTATCTATGTACTATTTATATACAGTTACTTTTTTACATGCCTACTTTTTTTTCTCCCGACGAAGATATGTCGTAACGCGTCTGCACTAAAATCGGGCTATCGGTTAAGGAGCAATAGCTCCTTAACGAATAGCCCGATTTTAATACGGTTTTTTTTTATTTAAATTGTTATGTGATAGTGATAGATTTTAGCTATAATCAATTGATGTGCATATGGGTACCTCATATAATTTTCAGTGTATAATTATTTCTCAATATGTACCTAGTTAATTATGGTAAACTGGCAATTTGTAAAACTGAAAATAATATCTGCAAACCATCAATCTGTTATATGTAGGTTCTTTCAGGGATACTACATCGGTGCTAATGACATGTAGGTACTTATTTTGATGTTATACCTATTTGTAGAACCTTCGATGTCTACAAACTACGCCTTTACTGCTAGTTTTATGGTATTTATGTAAGTTGTTATTCAGTTGAAATTAAGCTGCGAAATTACAGGATATTTGGACATAACATCTATGTTCTCCGGCATGATAATGTATGCGGGATATAGCGGGCACGACATGATGACGTAATGCTGTTTAATAATATATGTGTATGTATGTACGTCGGATAGCGTCGTGGTTGGATGGATCGTCAGCTTATTTACCATTTCAGTTAATAATAGTAGGTAGTAACTTTTGACAATATGGATGAAGGAGGGTAACGGTGATGATGATGAGATCAATAATGACTGTTGACGATAGTGACGGTGGTATTTATTTATGACCACCATAAAATTCATCATTGGCAGTATTCTCAACATTATCATCATTGTTCATCATGATGATTGAGATCAAATTAATTAATTGATTAAAAAAGTAGCAAGTATTAGGTAGGTACTAAGTCCTTATATGACTTAAATACAAGGTTCTGGGATGCTGTGATATACTACAGTCTCTAGATTTTGTTTCTTATTAGTATTCCACGACCAAAGTCTATAGACAGGGAAATATAGATTTACACAAAGTTTTTTGATGTAAATGGGAATTATTATACACATTGCATTAAAAAATATATATGATTACCATCTAATACAAAATCATTATGTAGTAAATAATTCCTGACATTTTAAATCGAATGAGGTGAAACTAACATTGCATGAACACAACACTTGAAGATCATAACATTTTTATTTCAGGTAATAAAACACTTTTAAATAATTTATTAATCACAGAATAAACAATTGTTAATAAATTACAATAATATTTCTTTCACTGCTTGTCTGTTATACCACTAAAACTTCAAACAATTCTGTTATTTTTATATTCTATTCCAAATAAATCAATATCAAGACATAATATTTCATCAAAATCATTTCATAATTCATTCCTGGTACACAAAATATTCCTGGATTTGTTGATGAACCAATATAATAATAATCATGAGCTTAAATCATAAACTTATTTGCAGTCGGTTACACATAATATAATTACTTGGAATTTCTTCTCATCACTAGTCCATTGCTTTCTTACTTATTTAATTATATTATTAATTGCATTGTGATTAATAATTTATAGATTTTTCTTCTGCTTTTTTCTCTTATTTTTACTTGCATTATTATTTTATACAGTAAAATGTTCATATATATATTTCTTATTCTTTTGAACTCCTGTTCTTTACAGTAAAAATGTTATTTATCTTCATCTGAATGACTAGGAGATTTAGAATATCATCTCTTATTTGTTTAAACTTTGTTCAGTATTAAGTTGTTGATGTCAGGAAAATCTGAAAACAATATCATATATCATGTTACATTTTCATGAACTTACATGAATGAATTTACATGAAAGTAACTAAACTGTAACCTTATTAGCACAATAAACATATTATTCATACATCATATTCATTCAGTTCTAATAAAATATAAAAATAATACTATTGTTTAGTACTTTATTTTGATTAATAATTTTCAGTATTTTCTCAATCAATCAAAAATTATAAAATCAGTGTTAGTTTTTTGAAGTTATATTCATAACAATAATAAAAACATAATAATACCACATTAAAGCGGTCACCAAGTACCTATGTTTATTATATTTTAATATGAAAGATACACACGCATTAATCCTCAAAGACACGATAGTTTACTAAATATTTGTAGTAGTCCTTAGACACATTTAAATTATTGAGTTTGACAAAAAAATAAGAAGTTCAATGAACTCTGAACAGGAACAATTCAAAAGTTGAAGTACCTACTTAACTTAAATGATGAAAAAAGAGAAAAATCCAATGCTAGTGAAAATAGGTTTTAAGCATTTGACTTAAAGTCGTTTATCCTATTCTTTTATTCCTATATTTTATATTTTTAACATTTCATTTATGTTGCCAGTACTCGTTGTCATTTCGATATAATAAAAAAATATGGACCAACCTACGATTTTAAATCGATATTTTTATTTGTGATGAAATCTAATAATATAAATTATGAATAACCTACCCTCGAATGGAGATATTAAAAAACGAATTATCATGAATAGTAGGTACTAGGATCAGTAATATATCATAGTATTATGAATGATTATCGTTTCAAAACCTTGTACAATTTAGTAAGGTTGAAAATATCCTTCTACAAAAGCAAAATTCGAGTATTTGTAAAGTTTCTTATGAGTATTTTTAAAAATTCGAGGATCCTCATATTTAGCTATCAATGTCAGTAATTTAGATACCATATAACACTTGTTTATTGAGGTTTCATAAAGGTATAGCTGACCTTATATACTCTATACCACATTCAATTCTCATTCATTAAATTACAATAAGTAAGAATTAATTTTTTTTAATAGAAGAACTATGTCACTAATGTCATTAATTGCTATAATTACCAGGGTGACCGCGTGGAGGTTGATATAATGGAGTACACTTGTATCAGATCAATCTAATTAATATTTCCCTCTTCAAGTTTCGAAGTTATGAGCGAACAGATAAATATATAGTACTTGCATACCTGTCAAAATCTCTCTATATTGCCGTCGTCGAGTAAAAATTATGCATTGCAATTCGTTCCAAATAAGAGTATAATACAAAATGATGAAATTTTACTGTTTGCAAAGACTAATTAAAAGCACCATCGAATAATGCGTTGTAATATCCTGTTATCGATTATTCGAAAAAATCGATAAATCTATGCATTTATTTTTAATATGGCAACACTTTCTAAATAAGTATTACTGGAATAATATGGTTTTCTTGTTTAGCTGTTTTATATTTACTTAAACTTTTTTTATGTTTAATTTATCATAATAATATAGTAAGTACTTATTATTTGAAAATATAAAATAAACATTTAAAATACGGTGATACAAATGAAAACAGCGCCATCTAAGAAAGTATTTTGGAAACAATAAGCCCCAATTAGCAATGATTAAATTGTAAACAAATACAGGGCAACAACAAAATGAGTAAATATATGAAAATTACTTTTCAAAACGCATTATTTCATTTTAACATCTATATATGACTTTTTAAAAATAGATTAAAACTTTTCAAAAACATAGTTTTGGGTTTTAAACGATTACAAAACAATGTTGAATTCCATTCGATACCAATGACGCCATCTAAATCCGTTTTTCGAACTAAAAATGGCTACTATGCCATTGATCCCCACTGATACTACTAATGACCTATATTACAAATACCTTATAGACTAACATGAATATATTTGTATAAACCAGTTAAAGTAAATATCAAATCTTAGTTAACATTATCCATACCTTCATGTGCGCGATCTGATCTTGCTCCCAATTGTACTGTTTCATCTGATTCTCGAGCAGTTCCATGCGTGTGCGCACAAACGCCTCATAGTTGCCAGTGTAGTACTTGAGTCGTCGCTTGCTCATGTGTACTATATTTGTACACACCCCATTTAGGAAGTCCTGAGAGTGCGATATTAGCACCAATATACGTTTATAACTAGAAATAAAAGTTACATTTTAATTAATGTCATATAGGTAATACGTACTTTCATATCAGTTACATCTTCATTCTCTGATTTCAATATTGTCAAATACTATCTTTAAGTATTATAGGTAGTTAGTTTTTAATGAATCAATGAATAAGATATACTAACTGTTTCAACTCCTCTTCAAGCCACACGCAGGCATCCAAGTCGAGATGGTTTGTAGGCTCATCAAGCAACAATAAATGAGGTTTCACGTACAGGGCGCGGGCTAGAGCGATACGCATGCGCCATCCTGATAACCAAAACATAGTACAACATAAATGAATAGTCAGAATAATTAGTTTCCATGTAATCGGAATGACAAACAAGATAACTGATGGTATGTGCTACTGTCTATATACCGTCACACAGCACCAATTCATGACTACACTGTGATCTTTCCATACTGGATTGTGTTTACGTTTTTTACCGGTGCTACGTTGTTTTTACATTCTGTCACATATTAATATGACAGCAATAAAAGACATAATTAGGACTAGTAAAGAATAGCCAAGACTTCTTATATCGTATGCCTTTATTGCAGTTATGATGATAACACCTAAGCAGAGCTAGGGTGGTTTGCTAGAGAATTATAAAATGGTAGCATCCTGGATACCTCCAGAGAAGTCCTTGGTGGCCTTCTGCTGCATTTCCTTAGTGAAACCGAGACCGTGGAGAATGTTCGCAGCTCGCGCCTCCGCAGTGTCCGCGCTAAGTTCATCCAAACGATCATATACGTCCATCAGTTGCTCTTGTGATTCTGGAAACGAATTATAATTGATTATTTTATCTTAATAATGGTTGTTCGCTGGGCTCCATTCTCTAGGCAAAGATTTATATAAAAGTAAATATGTGAAGTAGTAAACTCATAAAAGATCTTATTATTTTTCTAATTTTATCAAATATGTAAATACGTTTTTAGATATGGACCTTTGTTTCCCATTCATACAGGTGTTATTTCTAACGATAACACGGGGGAGGGGGGTGTTATTACTAAGGTGGACTAATGGTCCCATCTCTAGCAACGTCAGGTTGACCTCCACGCGAATTACCTTTGGAAACTATTGTAATAAATTTCCTGTTATTTTTCCAGGATGGGATGAAAGACCTGACCACACCCCCTACCCAACGACAACATCTATTAAAAAGCAACAACACACTATCTTTGTTTTTTTTTAGTGTCAATAATGCCAAACTACAACAATATGCAATACCAGTATGTCAAAATAAATATATTATGCCGCTAGTCGTAAATGCATAGCGTAGGTATTGAGGTTGAAATTAATAAATCACGGTAATACCTTGTAACATAACGAGGCAAGCCGCTAGCAGCTGATGTGTTACCCACGATAGACACTTACGTATTAAAAATAAATTGCAATCGATTTAGTAAGTATATGATTCACTTCCATTTGCCTATACCATACATTCTTCTATCACTACTTTCTCATCACTATAAATACCGTAACCTTTAAAGTATATACTAAACAGCAGACTGAATAGAAATCAATGGGTAGGTCAAGATGATTTAGAACAACTATATTGCACTCTGAATTATAAAGTCAGTGGCATTTCCGAAGGTATAATATTTTTAAACTACGTTGGTGGCAAACAAGCATACGGCCCATTTGATGGTAAATGGCTACCATATTCTTTGGATGCCTAAAACACCAAGGGTGCGTCACGTGCGCGTTGCCGACCCTTATAAACCTCAATATACACATTTGTAAAACCCCATGTTGTAGTCTCTTGGTAAAAACTTCTGCAGGTAGTTCATTCCACAATCTAAGTGTACGCGGGAGGAAGCTGCTCTGAAACAACTTCAAAATACTCACCATCGTCATCCGACTGCGCAAGCTCTTCAGCCAACTTCTCCAGCTTAACCCTTTCTTCGTCCACCTCCATGACGCATTTCAACGCAGTCTTATCCGATGCTGGCATCTCTCGCGTCAGATGAAAAATGTCAATATGTTCTGGGATTGGCACCTCGCGGCGACCCAGCGCTGACAGAAGTGACGATTTTCCTACAAAGTAAGGATTGACAATGTTAACTTTTTTTGCCAATAATCATGAATAGTATCACAGACGTCACGTCATTATGTGAGACTCGTAAGGCCTCGTCAAAGTTGTCGCATAATGATGACGTGACTGTTATTATAATAGATAAATGTATGAATAATATTAAATTATGTTATAGTTAGTTATAATAATAATAATGTTATGTTTGCGTGCCCTAACAGGGTCCATGATGATCTAAAACCAATTATGAACATCTTTCGTTGTAATATTATGGAATGCAATAAATATTGAGTATTGATATTCGTGATGCTGTGTTCATGTATATTGAAGAAGTAATGATTTTACTACATAGACGAACGCAAGGATAGACGATGAAAACTTTTTTTAATGTAATTTATAATGGCATATATGATGGCTACTGGTAATAATAAATCTAAACAAATATTGATTTTCATTAAAGAATATTATTATCATAAGTCATCGTATTAAGAATTCCGCAGGAGTCGAGTTATGAAAACAGTTACAATAAGTAAAGCAGGTGCATATGTATAGAAGTCTTTAGTACTAGTTTTCCCCAAAAAACCTTGAAAGTTAATGCCATAAGCAAACATACAAGTACTAAATCGTGTAGCATAGAAATGATTCTATCGTTTTCTAATCATGGCCGTCACCGTTTTATACTATTTCTGTACTGCTCGGATATTCATATAAACTGCAGCGCTATTGATTTATTCATCGGTATAGGAGTTTTATTTAGATTATCAACAATCAATAACAAAGGCTAGATATAGGTTACAGAATACTGTAGTGTTTTGTTTCTAGATTGAATATTTTATTTGCTGTGTGTAGGCGAGTTCTAAAATGGTAAACATACATTGTTTATGTGAATAAGTAATTAAACTATCGAATAACTAATGTTCAAGGATGACCTTAAACTTCAGCATTTCTGAATTACCTGAGAGTCAAAGCTTATTCTGATTAAAAAAAAATCCAGGGGTATTAATGGTGGGATTTGATGAAAATGTACAGAACTAACACTGCGCATTAAACTTTGTGAAAATATTTAGATATACAAAGTTGGCACAATACTTGCGCAGTAAAAAATAGCAACTCTCCTTACCTCGACATAGTGAATGAATGAAATGAAATTCAATATAATTCCAGAAAGGAACACGCGAGCGTGATTAAGTATAAAACAACCAAAACAGCGGCCTTAGTGTCTATTTACGGTCGGCTAAAGGATGGTTTATGATATTAAATTCGCATTTTGCAATAAGCAATTGTAGATAAAAAAGAAGTATAAAATCTATATTAAAGACGAGAGAGAGAGCGGATTTTGCTATGAGGAAAACACTCCATGAAGACTTTTTTTATAGCATATTGTTTTATAGCGTTTGCGGCTCATCCGATTATAAGTGATTATCCTCGCCCATGACCACCTGTAACCTCAAGAAAATTGCAAGTGCGTCGCCGGACTTCTAAGAAGGAATAAGCTCATTTCTTGAAGGTTTCAATATCGTATCGGTTCGGAAATACCATTGCTAGAAAGTTATTCCACAATGTGGTTGTGAGAAGTAAAACATTTTCTGGAAAAAAGCACGGAGAAGGAATAACGCATGCCGCCACATATATCTAGATTTTTTAAGATGATTAGGATGATATTATAGTGTCTGGTAGGTGTTAAAATTAAGCAAGGATCTACGCCGATTTGAGAAAATCATTCACTGTTTTAAAGGTACATTATTCCAGAGTTATAAAGGTATAAATATTAATAAATACAAAACTCACAAAGTTACGCAAGCGACTATTTTTAGGGAATAAATGTTTAAAGATAGATTAAATCTCGAACACCACACTTCTGGATCAAGATTGAATTGGAGAAATCGTAATAAAGAAATATGATTTACTGATAAGTAAAACTTTTAAAAAGTTTAATAATTTATCACAGTGAGTCGATAAGACGATAAATGACAAAACAGGGCAAATGAGAACAATAATAGACAGAAGTAGCAGAAGACTCTATGTTTATATAGACGCGTATGTTTTACTCTTTCACGCAAAAACGGATTTTAATGAAACTTTGCAATGATATAGCTTATGCATCAGAACAACATTATTAATAATTAGACTACATATTTCACGCGGGTGAAATCGCGGGCACAGCCAGTAATTTATACAACTATCATTACTGTTATTATGAGTATGAAACAAAATAATATGTACAAAAAATTGATTCATCTCATCATTCAATTTAATTTCATCAATTAGGAATGTAAATAGTAGGGTATACGTTACAAGGAATATACATATACTCCCATCTGATATATCATAATGATGTTGTGTGAGGGACGATAATAAAAATAGCAAATTTCAATTATATATTATTATACTATTGTTGTAAGTATACCCAGGATTACACACCCATGCGACCCAGGATTTACCCCAAAACCGATATACGATTTATAAATCTACTTATCATACAAAAGTTCCTATTAACATGAACATAGACCAAAAACCGAGGCATAATTTCTAACAAATGGCTATTTGTTTAAAATGTCTAACATCAATAAAGCAGTATAAACTTCAAACTATTCCGGTGTCGATTCCAATTTCAAGTGAACTATTATAATCAACAATCGATAAACAATTTTCCCTGAGTAAGTCAGCTATTAATAATGTTTTCAAGGTATGATACTAAAATAGGCAATACAATGTAATGAAGTGAACGTGTGTTCACGTAGGTATAATAAAATTGCCCATTTGATTATACTGTAAAATGTGCAAATAAAGAATATTTGCTTTTTTTATGTAATTGGAAACCGGCGCCTAATGAAAAGCACCGTGAATATCACATCATTATGTGACGTCAGGCACTTATGCGTTATCCTTTCGGCTGACAGAGACACGCAAGCAACTTTGTAAAATACTCTTTGTGATGTTAATTTTATTGTAAAAGAGTTATTTATTAACAACCAAATGACCCATATTAAATAAACTTGAACTTTTCAGGTGTGTAGCATTTTAAAGTAGCTATAACTAATGTAGTAACTGGCAAAACGCCAGGGATAAGAAATGTCGGTTCGCGAAATACGGACAACGAAGATTGTTATAATCACAGAACAGAGAACTGTTCTGTGGTTCTAACAATATAACTATATGTGTCGGCATGAAAAACGCGTTTGCATGTAAATTTGAGATCTACTATTGTAGAAAATTTTCTTCCCAAATTCTAATTATTCTTTCAGTCTATTAGCAATTACAGTAAAAAACACTACTACTTATATTGAGAATTCCTTTTAACATTCTGTAACCTATAGGTAGACACATAGTTTATTAAGTGTAATATTTTCATCTATAAAGTCCTTTTTTCTATAAAAGACTTACACGCAACAGCCGATCCAATAAATATTAAAACAATATACTTAATCAAAAGAAACTATTGAAATAAATATGGCTCCCTTCTGAAGTATATTAAAAAATTAATACTTAAATGGATTGGTATTCCATAATAAGCAACTTTATTAGATGTTACAGGTATATAAAATAACTATATATATTATTATTCAGTGTATTCGACTCATATGCATTGTAATGAAGAAGAAGAAGTTAATATTCTAATTATAATATAATTAAGACCACATTCTTGTTTATGTAATAATAAATATATATATTTGTATCCTGATATACTCCATATTAACATATGTTATCACATCTTATGTCATCTCATTAGGCATATTAGTGTACTAATAACAAACCCATTCAAATTGTTCAGCATCAAATAATAGACTTTTTGCAACATTTTTTTGACACTGCTCTTTATAGTCAGCTTGTTATGTTATATAACCCATAGCATTTCTCAATACAATACAAAAATATTTGAATTCATAGTTTCCAAGATGAGTGACCAACCAAACAAATAATTCATCTTTACAAAACTAGTATATATAGTACTTACCACAACCATTAAGCCCAACAAGACCATATCTTCGCCCACAATTCAACTCGAGGAGGGTGTCCTGAAGCAATTCACTACCATAGAAAGTGATAGAGAAATTAGCTATCTTGATATCCCTGGACCGAGGGTGCACTGCTAAGGAGCCAGTACATGATCTTGCCTCTGAGTTCATCTTAGCTTCTTCCTCCAATTTGAGACATAATGCCTCTGTAATAAAATCATACAATTATCCCACCAGTTCATCCCAGTGTTCATCATCATTTCAGTCAACTTTGTCTCTTTAGATTGTACCTAAAAAATATAATAAATAAATTTGATCCAGTTATTCTTCAAGTGGATACAAATATTTTTCTTGTCATCGTGTAATAACAATGTCCACCCAATAATCACACATAAATATAAATGTGTGCTTGTTTTGCAATCATAAATTAAATTTCAATAAAATTTGGTATTCAGATGGCAATGTTAGAAATCTCAAGGATGGAGTTACTACATTAGAATATCTTGTGCTGCTATTAAACATGCTATGTAGCTATGTATGAGTTTATGTCAACAACATACAAACATACTCTGTCTACCTACAACAGTACATTTTATTAATCAATGAAATATAAAAGTTTTTCTTTGGATCACTCTAATGCTGTTGCCCACAGCTAGACTTTACATCTTCACTGGACAATCATATACTAGTAATTGTTTGTTCATACATTGTTGTATCTATAAGTGGGTATTGCAACTTCTATATTGTACGAGTATACAAAGGCATACTTTATAAATTGGCTATTTTGTTTCAACAAATTGGCCTACCAAGAATTAAATACTCTGGACAAATCTAAAATAGCTGTAAGCGCTGATATTGTGAAGGTAAGAAACAGAGCTTGGGTTTCTGCTATATATTAATTGTTAAAAAATGGAGAATTTCTTGTGGCCTTTGTCTTTGTCTTAAGGAATTTACGGGGAATATTCTGGATGAACTCAATAAATTATTGCATATATGTACAATACACGGTTTATCTTATTATACAGCAATTTAGAGATAGTGCGGGAAAGGGGTATTATTATCAAAGAGAACCAATGTGGCCCTATCACAATTTATTAATGCAGGTTGACTGCCTGCAGTCTCCGATGGAAACTGCTACGATGAATTCCTGGTGAATTCACTATAATGACCTGACCTCATTGTTACTTTATCATTCTCCACTGGTGTCCCACCAGCACATACTTCAAGTACAGGCTGATATACTATTCCATTAACATACATCAAAGATACAACATTTTGAATTATATTTTTAGAAATAAAAATAAGTAATCACTGTTATTGCAAGAACCTAATCTGACCTGCAATAATGCTGATTATATCATTGTCATGGACCACTGACCACAGCTTTATAAATACAGATTATGTCACCAGTACACCAAATTTCTAATTGCATAACTAGAGGTACAATTATTTAGGTGAATATTGTGTTATATTTTTTTAAAAGAACAATAATGAATTGACAAAAAAATATATACATTTATACTCTACTGGAACAGATAACCAAGCTCACAACTGACCCATAGATAAAAATCTATCTGAATTAATATAAACAATACCCAATAAGTCTTAATAATTTTTTAATCAGTAAATTTCATTTATAGTTTTTAGGAAATAAAAACACAATATACTCTGTTTTTGTAACTTTGAGAATAAGAAGAAACTCAGTTGAACTTTTATTACTGAGTTTCTTTTTTATTATATTAACATTTTAAAATTTGTTTCAAATATTGTAATGTAAAAGTTTAAAACTGTTTTAAATGTGTTACTCATTTACACTTCATCAGTTCCATTAAAATATTATTTATTTCAATTTATTTACATTAAATTTATGTGCATAGAAAATTTAATCAATTCTTTTTTATGCATAAATATTAATGAAATAGTGCAGACACCTGATCTCACAGTATATGCTAGCAGAACACAAGTGAAGGATAATATGATGAGGATCAAAACTCTAATCTATACTGACAAATTATTGTCAGTAACACGGTAATTGATTTATATTAGTAACTATTGTCGCCCTACTCAAATCATATACAAGATTTTATCATAGATGCTAATTTATACAGGCATCAGAACAGGATATATTATATAAAATGATTGTTTGAGAAGAGTGCAATTCAATTTGTGAAAGTGTAAACAAATAGAACTCAATGAAATGATTGTGCACTTCCTCCCCTATAATCATTGAACTTATATATTAGTTAGTACGGAACTTAAGCTGTTATTTAGAACGGTTTATGCATGATTCATCCTGACCTGACATTTATTTGAGGTTAAGTGCTACGTACTAGCTAGGTCCTAAACATATTTTGTGTACATACATTTGTTTAATGCACTAAGTTACCTTCAGCTGTAAGTTCCCTCTCTTCTTTAGCGCTGCCGTTGGTAGTGCCATTTTCTTCTGCGTTATTCACTCTCGCCACAGGCTTCTTATTTCTATTAGTAGCCTGCTCTTTCTTTTTCTGCTGTGCCCTCTTTTTGGCATCCGACGGCATTTTTACTACTTAAGCTGTAAGAAAATTACAGAAAAATATTACAGAAAGAACTGTATGTCAATTTTAACAGAATACCCACACTGCGGTTTCCGCTAGACACTTGCTGCAAGTTTTATTTAATTTTGCCACATGATCAATTTAATTGGAATATTGGTTATTTCAGTAAATAAATAAGCATTTGTCAATAACTAATGTGTTATGTATTAGTTACTATGAATAGTTTTACCTAATATTCTAAAATAAATGATAGGCTAATAGTCAGCGTCTACACGTGCTGCTTTGAAAAGAAAGACAATCCATGAATTATTTCCATCCGTTTCCATCACACATCAAGTCGTTAACGAAAGAGATAGAAAATGTTCAAAGACAATCAGTTTCTATAATCTATGATTTTTCGTACCGAAACTAAGTAAAATTGCCATAAGGGTAAGGATAGCAATTAGAATTAAAATGAAATTAACTATAGTGAAAGTATAATAGGGCTGTTGTTTTATTTACCATAATATTTTTTTTATTGTTACTATTAAAAATTAAAAACTCATGAGATTTTATTTCTCTATCTCTAAGATTACAGAGATAGAGAAATAAAATCAGTCTCAACCTGCTTATAAACGAGATGACAGTGAAACTTTGTTGTTTTGTATCTCTTTCTATCTGAAACGTTTAACCCTTCATTTGGTTATTCATTATTATTAAGAGACTAATTAAGTGTAGTTACGTAAAAATTACGTGATGTAAAAATTCATATTCACCAATTATACAATTATTGCTTAACTATGAGTCTATATCAGTTAAGCAATAATTGATAATAAATTATAATACACATCATGTATCTCAGACGTCGATATGAAATTCATTACCTTACCTTTTCTTGGATTTTTAAACAATTCTTTATTTTATATAGACAGAGAAAAATATTGCCATATCTCCATTACTAATTGCTATAGTCTGTATTTTAATCCCGGAAACAAAATTGACAGGTGTCATTCCTTATATGAAAATATATAGTGATTACTTGCTTAACGCGAAGAGCGGGAAGTTTTGAATCGTAGAACGCTGAACGATATTTAATAATCGTATCTCTATTTTTTTTCTAAACTATATTTACCACAAAATATGTTGAAGCAATTATATGTGATAAAATAATAACAAATATGTCACCCCTCTTCTATTTTCACCATCAAGTACGTGCTAATTACAGTGTAATTTCTTTAAATTAACAGATTAAGTAACAATTGTTGTAATATGACGACATCTTCCTTCTAAACCTATATCGATATCTTTCGACTCTGCAACCGACTTTACAATTTATACGGATCCTTATTTTAAAATTCTATTAAATTTTATATGTGAATAGGGTCAATTCGGCTCCCTTCCATTAGTTTACATCTCCACATAACATAGATTTAAGTTCAGTGTAAATCGCGTTAACAATGTCATGCAGTACACTATCATATAGTTACTAATGTAGTCCAGTTATTTCATCTCTGAAAAGTGAATATCCACTCACACTTGTACAGGAAACAAATAATTTAAGTAGCGACACCTTAACACATTATATTAACACTGCAGTTGTGAGGTAATAACCATAGCAAGAAAAGAAAAATACTGTTATGTTGATCATCAAATACCAAACTTGTCTCGCTTATTCTTTGCTCAGAAAGCACAATTCTTTGACGCGAGAGTTCTTAATCCTGCGTAATTTTTGAATGGATCATAATGGAATGGTGTTAGCGCCAGCGGGATACACTGTTATCGCTGCCAGCTGGGGCATCAGTGGAAGATATCACCCCCCTTATCCGTGATTTTTGTGTAATTCTCCTTGTTAATACAATTTTTTCCAGGAAATTTTGTATTAATTAAATAAAAAACATATAAATGGAATAACTTTTATTTAAATACCAACAGACAATATTAATTGCGTTATAATAATAAGTACTTATACAATAGTTAAATAAAATAAATATCTTTATTAGCATGACTTACAATTGTCCATTATATCTATTTAAATTATGTTTACAAGTGCAGTAGTTGTAACATGACAAAAGCAGCCTAAGTTATATATATGTCAAATCCTCAAATTTTAACATAAAATACCTACTTTTTTGTAAAAAAGTAGATACCATCATTAAATCTACAACACATATGGAGCAAAATATCAATTAACCAATATTAAAACATTTCACTTAACAATTTTTAATAATTAAAAGAACTAGATCTTTTAAAAATATATAAAGCATTAACAACAAAATTGTGTTATGAACGATACAATACAAATAAAGTAGCACATATTCTCAATGCAATGCATTGTAGATTACAATTCTACATACATTAAATGAAACATTGTGTGTTGAATGTTATACATAGAAAGATTTTGTTGGTAATATCTTGTAATAAAATAAAATTGTTCTATATACTTTATTTGCACGTTTCAATGTGTCGTAGATATAATTGAAATGATTTTAAAAGCGAAAGTCCTTAATTCTTATTCAGTTTCTATAACTTAGCTTGCTTCTTTAAGCTAACGTAGCTTCATAAGTGCCACACAAATCAATTTGCAACAATGGACTAAAAAATGTTCTAGAAAAATATAATTAACATATCTATATATTACAACTATTAACAGCAGGTTCTACGGAAAACTTTATATCTCTTTGGCTTTTATATTTATTGCTTTAAAGTAATCACCGTCCGCGTTGTACAATTTGTTACCGATTCGTTTCCATTCCATAATAAAATGCTATCTCTTATTATCAGGTACCAATTACTATCAATATGAATATCTCTATATACATATATATGATTACTTTTTCTGAATAAATGACATATCAAAACAGTCAAATTACATCGGGGATAGAACCTTGGAATACTGAACGTAGGTTCTTTTTACTATGATGGCATCCATTAAAGAGAGGATTGCCTGAAAATTATTGCACATGGAATCGAGAGAATGGGTTCTCGTGCGAAGTCGCAGTAAACAGTATGTAATATATAATAAACTTGTAAACTATATTAGCGACTTTAACATTAAGGCGCTATGGTGTAAAAACGAAATAGTCGAAAAATTAACTATTGAGGTAATTATTACATTTTTATCTATTTATTAGAAATACAATCCAGATGAGATATTTATTATGAAGCGTGCCAGCGACCTCATGAAACTTTAGTAGGTAAATAATATAGCTAACCTAAGTAATAATGAAAATATTCATTAACAATAATCACACTAATAATTTATCACTGTTTAAGTCTACTTCAAAAAGCCTAGAATTAAAGATAACACAGAAATACTAGCATATCTATATAATAGCAACAACACACAGGAATTCGTTAAATGTCTACCTATATAATTAAATTAGTTATAATTAATGCGAAATTAATACATCCAAAGTCAATAATATACAAATACATGTCTACCAAATGTTTGATGATAAGAACACTTTTACCAAATTATCTAATCACAGCGATGTAGAGAAACTGGCAGTGAGTACGAAACTCAATGTGAGTTACACGTTACAATGATTCTCAGTTAAACGGCCTACCAACGCAATGGTTGAAACCAGTGGCAATTATAGGTAAGAGAGATTATTCTAAAGGTTGCCAGCCGCAGCCGGCCTTGCAGCTATGCTGATCAATGTGGGGACGAGTCAGAAGGCACTCCAAACTGGCGGAAGGACTTATGGAGTGGTCCTGGCTGACGGATACTTTAGTCTAAAGGCATCGCTGGACATTTTAAACTTGACTATCGGAGAAAACTACATCGCCGCACGTATAAATGTACAAATTTCTCATAGTATTCCCGCCGTGCCGATTTTAGCCCCACCACACCTGCTCCCATATTGCGCCCGATTTTAATGTTCTGTGTGTATCGTCTTACCCGGAAATCCTTCTCGAGTAATGAATCCGCTCATAAGATCAGGTAAAACGTTACATACCTTTAGAATTCTATCGCTTCTATTTTCGAATCAGTGGAGGTAATATACTGCCTACAATAAATATATTAAAATGTAATAATCTAAAAATATAAAACGACCAATTGTTCTATATACATAAATTTTATATACAAAATCTCGTAAACGCCTCTAACAATTTGAATCAAAATTTGTACTTTGATAACGTTGTTTATTGTAATTTCATCTATATAGGTACGTATTTGCACTGAAATAGTTTTTATAATAAAAATAAAATACCGAGCTAGCTCGGTGATACCACGATACATATTAAATAATAAAATGTTTGACCTGCGACTCATGCACATTAAAAGAGCTACGGATAGATAGAACACTGAATAGTTTTAATCAGACAGTTATAATGTCAATTAGCTTTAAAACAATTTAAGAGATTTTGTTGTGGAAAGTTTAGTAACCGTGACTAGAGATGTGCAAATAAAAATATACTCAAAATGTAATTATTGTAACGTATTACAGTTATAGTGAAATCTATACTTTAGTAGAGAGACAGAGAAATCTAATGCAATATCATTAAAACTTTCTAGAACGGCTTTTATTTATCATGTATTCGCCTAACTATTTGTTATATATTGATTAATTTTAAAATATTAAACGATCTCAAGTTGAGGAGAGAAAAATTTGAAGTCTACCTAATTTTCTAATTGTACTACTTAAATATTTAGAGGGAAAACGTTCATAAAGGCAAGAGTAATTGTTAAGCCTACCTACTTATATTTTAATATTATAATATCTACTGTTTATAGTAATAATTTATTGTAGTATTATGGAGAAGTTTTCATTAATCAAAATACGTGGTAATTGTAATGTAAATATGATGAATGCTTTGCATAAGATTTAACCAATTAGTAACCATAGAAATGAATTGTAAAGTTATTGTAGTAATTAACTTACAAGAAACAAAAAATATCTGCCGTTTTGTATAGAACTATGTATATAAGTGTATAATTTTATTGTTATTGTATATATTATTGCATATTAACGTAACAGGCAAGTTATAAATAGGTAGGTAGTTCAATAGTTTAACAGCTTTATATTTTCATTATTTAACGTTACATTCATTTAGTAATCAGAATTAACATTTTTATATTTGCATTTATTAACAATATTGAACTTTAAAGGTTGTATATGGTATTGTCTATTTTTATACTATGATAAACGCACATTTTCTATGATGAAGTCCCTAATGTGAAGGGTGCCATGAGTGTCACAGTGTATTGTGTGAAGTCCATTTGTTTATATGGATAAGCAAAACCGGATATTACATGTCTTAAGAAGGAGATTATGTTTTTGCCATCGAGAAGTCAATTTTAACATTACTGCTATTATAAAAAACAAAATTTTGCCTCCATAATGTAACATAATTAGAATGATCTTATTTTATGGAGCTGCAACGGTTTTTTTTAAATGTTAGATAACTTTATATGGTAGGTCAAATCAGGTTTTTGGTACACTAATAAAAAGTACTTGACTCGTTTAAAATAAAAAATATATTGAACTATATGTAATAAATAGGCCGCTCTTTCGAATTTATTTAAACTAATTGTAAATAAATAACAAACATTTGGGTTGACATGTAAAAATTTTTAACGCGAAAGACTTCGTAATACGTATTTTATAAATTATCCATAAAAGAAATCGGAAGTTTAGCTAACGGAACGTCAGAAATCTAGATTACTGACCTATTATATCGCACGAGTTTCAAAACAATATTTTGTCTTAATTGTACACAAACTGACCTCGCAATTGAAGGAACAGTAATAAACCTCACCTAATATATAAAAGTGTCGGTGGGTTCATGGCACCCTCCCTGAGGAATGAGGTAGTCATTTTACTGCTGTATATAAATTATTCTAGTGTTTAAACTTAAACATGAACACAAACCTAGTTCTTTACACCTTAGTGATAAGGCAAGGAAAACATTGCATATTCAGGATATTTGATTTGTCTGTTAGAATACTATACTGCAGTACTCTTAATACATATATATTGTAAAAATAAATAAATCTATTATCTGCTTAAAATAGTTATGTATGTAAAAAGACAATTAAAAATAAATCTTTTTGTATAATGTTGAGTGTATGGAAAATTACGGTTCCTTATACACATAAACATTCATGCCGTTAGAATATTGTCTACAAATATAAACATCTTTAATATATACTCATAGCAGCAGTTAATAAAAATTATATCGCTTCAATCCTATCACAGCTCGTCTGTTAGTTACCATTTGGTTTTGGTTTATCCATTTCTATTTCGAGTTACAACTTTGAGCCATCAACAAGACATGAGATCAATAAATATGCGCGATGGTGCGCATACACGAGCAATTTCTAACTAATTATTACGCAGCAACAGTAGTCAGTCGGTGGTTATATTATTTTGTTACTTCATATCGCACCATAATGATATTTCTCTAGAAACAGTTAACATCGTGCCACAGTAAATTACTTGATATTGTTGTGACACAATTAGTAAATATTGACTAAGATTGCGCAATTAAATTGCCCGTGTATGGGCAAGTCAGTTTATAAATTATATAAACTGGCAGAAATAGTAACATATACGGTAAAACATTATTCTAAAAACCAAAAACACACAAGGAAAATAAAAATAACAGAAAATTAAAAAAAAAATACATAATTTATTGTAATCACAGACATTTTAAATTGTAATGTAAAATTAAAGTGTATTGTAATATATAACTATTCAGCGCTAGACTGATCAACACTATACAATTCAATTATAATATCTGTTCAGAAATATTAACAAATGCAAATAACTAGCATTCAAATTAAATAAATAGCTTAAAATTAATCTGTCAATAATTGATTTCGTCAAAACGTAAAATTATTTAAAATGGAATAAAATTCACTAATAATAATACAATCGAATTCCACAAGAGCTAATAACAATCAAATGCATAATTCGCTAATATACATAAACTGAATGTGGTGTGAGTTTGAGCTCGGGCGTTATCGGCTACGGTCGCGATCCGGTCGCGGTCCGGTCGCGGTCCGGCCGCGATCCGGTCGCGAGACGACCACAGCCGTACGCGGACGTCAGCAACCGCGTGACGAAGGCCCGATCACGTCATGTTCACGCCGAGCGACCGGCTCGCATACTCGTACACGACGTACGATATCGACACCGCCGGAATCACCTTGATGAAGTTGGGCGTGATGCCGCGGTAAAGGCCTCGGATGCCCTCTTGTTGCACTATATCCCTGAACACACCCCGCATAGTACCCTCTGCGCCCCTAGCAGCTTTCTCTGTAATCAAAATTAACAAATTAACTACACATGTATCACACAAATATTACAAAAATTATATATCCATCGTTAACTGTATACCAGCAGCCTAAAGGCAAAAACTATTTCCCTTATATGTCCGTATCGAAGAAAAGCATGTATTAATAAATAAGAATTTATGAATACATGCTTTTTACTATTTCATCTATAACTAAATAAAATAAATATGCTATACCATACATCTGCCATTTAGTACGCTATATCGAATGCTACACAACAGTAAGTGTACAATAATTATTATTTAATAATCACAGATTATCAAAAATATTATTATATATGCAAATTATAGATACCTATATTAAACGTCACAGTGTATAACATGCATAGTCTATCCACGTAATTGTCCACGGTTCATGGTCAACAATCACACTTTCCATTTAGGAAGACTGTATATTTTTATTAAGAATGTACAAAAAAATGGTGGCTGCTCACCTTGGGCCTGCAATCTTGTTCGGACAAGTGCGAGCGGGTACGAACACACCTGTCCCAGGGTACAGGAGGCACTGCCACACGCGAGCAGCAACAGCATTCCTGGCTGCCCGTTGTGAGCTTGGTATTTGCTAATATACTTCTTCTTTAAAGTTTCGTATACAGCCAGATCGATGCCTGCATACGGAACAATGCCCAGGATATTTGGAATGTAACCTTTGTAGAAACACTTCAATCCTTCTCTAGCATAAATTTTTTTGGCCGCATCAACAATACCTTTGTATTGGCCAGTTTTTCTTAAAGCTAATCTTGTCTTTAGCACCTCTAGTGGGTAGATCACAGTTTGACTAACAGCTCCAGCTGTTGCGCCGGCTACGAATCTCTCATGAATTTCCAGAGGTTGATTCTTACGCTCCCCTTTTATTAACCGCTTTACTTGTTCGTATGCGGCGAATTTTATTGCTGATTCGGGGGCGATTTTAATTACATTAATGCCATTCCCTCGCCAAAGTCCGCCTATGCCACCTTCACTTATCATTTTTGCTAAACACTTGCTCATATTTTCTCTGGTAGGATTGACCTGAAGAATAGAATAAATTAAATGTAAGCGAATGTATACCATATCTTGTCGTTATTTAAAAATGTTTACAGAAATATGTGTTATATCACAAGAGATATTAGAATTACGTATTTCATTTGAAGTATTTTAATAAGCAATATAACTATAGTAATTATTCTGAGAGAAACAAATAGTACAGGTAGATTTGATGCAAAGTTGCAGCGTCACGCATTTAACAGTCACAAAGCAATATCTTGTATTATTTTACTCAAAGGCACAATTCCTTAATCCTGAATGGTTCTAGGAGCGTCACGTAATGATACGTCCGTAGCGCTCTTTATGTATATATATAGGCGACGTCTGTTATAAGTCCAGAACATATACAAAACTGACAAATTACGACGAACACTTTTGCAGAGTCTTAGTGGTCATCTTAGGTTTTCATATATCTATGGACAATAATAAATTTCTAATCCCTTACCTGCAGAAATACCTTCAACCGATCGAGCGGTGCTGTGCAGGTCCGGCTGACGGCACCGGCGATGCCACCCGCGAGCAGATGACGCCACCACTTCCCAGATTGTAACTCGCTTTGGGTGAAGTCATCGGGCACGTTCATATCCTCCCCGATATCGAGGTACTGGAAATAAACAAACACTTATCAATACGCAATCAGATAAGAATTAAAAACTTGCCCTTTGTTTTGTTTCGAATAGATTATTACACTTAATAGTACCTTGACCTGATCAACAATAATAAGTAGTAGGTATAGTATTAAATATATATTCGTATCTAGATAGATAGATAGATAGTATATATATTTACGTAATATACGTACGTAATAGGTATATTTACCTTTACAAAAAGACTAGTAAAGTATAAATTGAATGGAAAAAAGACAACTTCCGATATAACTGAAATATTAATGTAAATACAGAACACATAAAACTACGATGTGTGGACACGGATAATCCTTCTCATGCAATACATATAATATATTCGATTATTAACGAATGTTACAGTACAATCTACATCATGTATATTTTAGAGTACACTAATTATAAATATATTTTGCCTTATGTTACTAGTTTAAATTGGTATTATGTCTAAATTTGTAGATATACAAGTCACTAGTAAAGAAAAATTAAGTATTAATTGTAGTTAAGGAGTAATTTAATATATAAAAGTTAAGAGACATATTAGAACTATACGTGCTAAGTTTATTGTATTATTCATATCAGTGACGATATTACACTTTTCCACATAAGGCATCTTCGTCTTCGGTGCAGCTAGTAACTTTCTTTCTTTTTGCTATTTTTGAGCTCCATATTTTACTCTTATATCTTAAGTGTTCAGTCTGTAGAACGTAGAGATCGTATCAAATATTATATATTAACAGTGATTGACATAGTACTTGTATTTTTTCCCTATAAATGTAGACATTTCATTATCATTTATAAACGTAACAATCACGAGATAATGAATTGTAAGTATTTAGTGTCTGCATAATAATAATTTACTTATAAGAAAATGTAATATTTTTTTATTCAAATGGATATAATATAACAAATATTTTTTCTTTAAAGAAATTTGTGTTAAGCTAGAACGAGTGAGTAGTCATTAAACTTGAAAGTTTAAGTTGCGTGTTCTAAAACTAAAATACTGAATTATTGAAAACCAGTGTACAAAAGATGTACATCTTTGGATTCCTTTAGATCAGTGCAGTCTTTTATAATAATACCTTATGATTCTATGTTATTGTTGTCGAAGTCTACGATTATTCAATAGTAGTGAAGGATATCTTTTGTAGTCGAATAAAAATTATAGCCGTCAAAATGCAATGAATCAAGCATTTTGTTACTTTATTGCATCGGCTTATAACAGACGATACCGTGTAACCAGGATATCTAAATTCAATATTATTTTTGGAAACATTTAAAGTAAAAAACGTTGATTGCAATATTTACCAACTTAGCTACTTTACATTATTGTGATATGTAAAGTAGTAAAAACTTATATATTACAATAACTTTACAGTATATCTTATGATTTTATGCACAAGACGGTGTTTAATATCAATGGTTATACAAGAGTCCTAGCTCCACTGAAATACTGGTATTATTCAGTTTCAGCATTACGAAAATTGCTGCCTACACAAGGCAGCAATTTCTTTATTCATATCCAGAAACAAACTTTAATCAGTATAAACAAATAAATTACCGTGGTATCTGTGAAGTGGCACAAAATATTGTCGGGCCAATCCAAACTCAATGTTATGAAGGTGACATACATTTTCCAATGCATTGTGAATTTTTTGAAGAAGCCTGTGTAAACGAGAATTTTTAACATGAACTGTGCCACTCTGTACATTATAAAGATACCAATTAAATTGTAGTTCAGATATCCTTCATTCCAAATTATTGTTAGCCAAGTGACAGCTTATCTATTTTGACGCAAACGGTTATTACGTGTTTATAATTTTAGTCACTATTAAGGTTTCATTCAAATTTTTTTAGTTATCTATTACCGGTGACATTTCATTTGCATGATACATTTATGTACCTATATATATTAATATGTGATAAAATGTTGTTCAATACAAATACTACGTATAGTAAAATTATGACGATTTTTAAAACGTTTGTAATATTTTACTGTGCGTCTCTTATTTGAATTCAGATAATGAGCGTCCCGTCTGTGTATCTACGTTATAATCTATCTATATAGTGTATCAAAACTGAGGCAAATTCATTCATCTTTCTAAGCAGAATTAAGTATCAAATATAAACTTAAAAATGTATATAATTTTAGTACGATTCATAAATATTAACTGACCTGCCCAACTGCGCCTGCATCACACGTATCATTATAATTAGCATAATTTACATAATATATATTTAAATTACAGTCTATGTTATACTAACGTATTAGCTATACTATATTACTGTGGTTTCATCAAAATCCGTTCAATAGTTTTTGCGTGAAACATTAACAAAACCATCAATCCATCCATTCTCACAAACTTTCATGTTAATAATTTTCTCGACGAACATTTCAACTGTTTTCAAGACATTCTTTGTTTCCTGCCTGATTTGGCGAGGCGTGGGTGGACGTAAATAAAAACAGTACAACCCCACTATTAGCATCCGGCTATAATGACTAGTAGAAACCAGTATGTGCCGACATTTTGGAAAGTTGCCTACGAGTTGCGAATTATCTCGCTAACGTGATGATATCTCTACAACCAACTGATTATTAGAAAGCAATAAAGCAAGCCGTCAACATCGGTTCAATTTATAAAAGAAACATTAGAAATAGGTAAAAGGCTTTCCTACAATCGTCTCAAATTTATCACCTTAATTGAATTAAGACAATTTGTCCCATGTTAAAAAATACTGTTATGTAGTAACTGTCATAATTTTAAGACTTATATATTTTTGTCTTGCCTATTACGATTTTAAATTTTCTGTTTATTTAATGATAACCAACAGCATTTATTCATAAAGGTCATTTTTATGCAGGTCCATTTTGTATCAATGTTTGGGCTACTGTGCAATTTAGCTAAATTAGCTATTTGAGTTGAGAACTGTCACAAAATTTAAATTCAAAAGCAACATAAAACATCAGCAGTAGTGTAGTTTATTTAATTTTTGGACGTATTCGGTTCGGTTTTTGCTGTTTAACACATCGCTTTAATTGCAATAGTCGCGGTTACGATTCCTCACACGATACACACATTTCTATGATGAGTATAGTTGTTTGTAATATTCAGTGTGTTTTGTATATCAATATTATGTAGGTCTTAACAAAAATAATGTACCTTAGTATTTCTATTAGTTGGCTAGTAAAGCTTCTATAACACAAGCTCTGCTTTATTTCGAATTAGATGACGCTGTGCGTACAGAATTTTTATTATTATTATTATTTGTTACAAATATAGTGACAGTAAAAATTGACAACCGAAAGATATATACTTTAAGCCTGTTTCCTATAAGATTCATCAAATAAATCAATTTACTCGTTAGAGATGACAGAATACGTGTCGAGTGGGGCCATTTTGGTGTCAAGGGCAGTACAGAACAGCTGGTTCGGTGAGAATTGCTTAATAGTGTTCTAAGCAAGGTTAGTTCTCGACCTTTGCCAATTTTGTAGTTTCCGATATCCATTCTCCGGATATAACTGTACAATGAAATAAAATTGGAACATATGATAGTTTATTAAAGTAATCGTGTCTCAAATACTTTCACTAATATATTTACGTCCGTTTTCTTATATATCAAAATAGTATTAAGTAAACGCTTAAACGCTTCTAAAAGAGAACAAATTAAAGACATTTTTGTGTAATCATGTATGTATTTATAGAGTTAAAAAAAGAGAACATCTGACTATATTAATATAATTTACTAAAGTATGTTAACATACTATGCGTTGTACGAGTATACCCTAAACTGTATATAATGTTACAACTAAAAACAACTCCGTCTAGGCAAGTATTTAGTCTAAATGTTCATATGATCATAGCATAGGAAATTCTTAAATAGGTCTCGGATAAACAAATAAATTGACTACTTAGAAAGTGGTAGCCAGGACATTACGATGTGCATCACAGAATAAAAATAATACAATAGTACTGTAATTTAAATATATTATTCATTGTAATATTTAACTTATTTACCAAAGATAGACTAATCACGCACTCGTCATGACTTCCTGTCGTCCCCTTGGTCATTAAATTGTCAGTTGTGTAATAAACCTAATTTCTGTATTGAAATAAATATAAAATTGTTGTTCTATTTTTTCGAGCCATATTCTAAATTTGTATGTGACAAAACATTCAAATAGTTACGAGTAAATTGGGTTTGAGGAGCTTTTAGTTTTATTAATAAAGTAATGATTAAAATCACGCTTCATGATACACCCTATTTATGTTATTTGGCGACATATACTCCTGCAAAGTATGTACTTAAAAATATGACCTATAAAAATAATACTCACAGTAATGAAATGATGTGGGTGGGGATTGTTTAATAGATTTGATTTTTTATTGACCTTCCGTTGAGGCGAGCCAGGCATTCGTGAAGCACGGCCAATGACGACTTACATTCTAGACCCGTACCATTGTTAGTTCAAATTACATATATCCAGACATAACATCACTTTGGCACGTAACAATTTATTGTATTAATATTATATCATGATCAAATGGTAGTAGTATTCCTTATTTCATTCCATAATTTCTGGACGACATGTATATTGCATTATTTCGAAAAGTCATTTGACTACAAATCATTAAATGGTTTGTATGTAGTTTATGTCAACGGAAGGCCGAAAAAGAGATGGATGGACTGTGTGAAAGATGATATGGTAAGAAAGGAAGTAAATAACGCGACGACTGCGAACAGGGATGAATGGAAGAGAAAAACATATTACGCCGACCACAAATAAATGGGATAAGGAAGAAGCAGATGATGATGATGTAGTTTATGTCTATTACTAGTATATAAAATGCGATGCAAAAAAACAGCACATGGCGAAAAGCGAATTGAAAGGCCAAGAACATATCATGTTAACTTTAGTCAGGGGACGACCGAATTGGATAGGGGTAATCCCCAATCGGATCAATATCCAAGTTTTACAATA